GAAATGTTTATGCATAGTTTCAAGTTTTAAAGAAAAAAATGTCGCTATCAAATCGATGGTATATTAAACTATAAAAATCTAGTTCATTTAGCATTGTCGTTGTTGGGTTTTTTCTTTTTAAAGTGAAATATGTCAATCAAGACTTAAAGCTAACTATCAATACCAATACAAAAAGTGAATAACATAAACAAATAAAGCGACAAAACTCGCTAATTACAAGAGTCTCTATGAAAGAACGTGTAGACCACTAAAAACCACAAGAACGACAACAACAAAGATAATCAACATATAATGTCTGGACGGAGTCGCCAATGTGATTACATGAATGTAAATGAATCATCAATAATTGATAAACATTTATAAAATATAAGTGGGAAAACAACCAACAACATTGTGTAATGTATTTGAATAATGTTTGCGTAATATATTAAGAACAAATAAGTTATTGCACTTAGAAAAAAAAACAGAAAAATAAAGAGTATAAGAGATTTGTGATATGTATGTCAGTCCAATAGGTAGGATATATATATCTTTAAAAAATGCAGAAATATCCTGAAAGTTTTCCCAAGTTCCACCAAATATCTTAGTAGCCCAGTTCATCTATATATTCCCTTGTATACTTGACAATTGCATACGACATTACATATGCTATTATACTATTAGAAGTCCTCAAGAATTTCCCAGATATGTTTTCGGGAGCTGAGATAAGGCTGAAAACGCTTTATCTAATCAATATTCAATAAGAAACAGAGTTCTACAAAAATGATGGATTACTGACTAGATTATTACTGATTTTTTTCATTAATTTCAAAAAGCTTCTAAAAGATTAAGATCATATATAAACCTAAAATATTCATATTTACTGAAGTGAAATTTTAGCTTTAACAGTAAAGCTTCTGTTCGTACTCTCTACCTTGAAAATTCTGTTAGAGGCTCAATTGTAAGCGGTTTCTAGGAACTAGAAAGCAGTTAGAAAACTAGTGTCAAGCGTCGAAGTAAGAAACTTGATGTGAAATCCCACTCACTGTATATGAACATCGTTTCACATAAATATAAGTAATTTAATTCTGAAACATCTTAAACTCTATAGATTAGAACTAGTCACGTCGGCATTATTGCCAAATAATTAGGATATATATTTTACTAGGAATAACTTTCATCACAAACTGATATTCACTGAACAGCTATTTTGTTACGGTTTGAAATTCTTCAGCACTACACATTTATAGACATATCATTAGATGATGATTACATTATACTACCAATTGATCAATATTGGAAATTTAGTGCAAAGGATTACAATCAGCTAGTCTGAAAGCATTAGGAATTTTCTATATTTCCTTGGTTTAAACATGCCATGGAATCATGAGTGAGCATTGTCGAAAAGCTGTCCAATATTCTATAGTTTTCGATGGTACTCTGACTAACTTTAGATCTAGAAAAAATATTTTGAATTTATATGTCAATGTGAAGACAAGAAACCAATAAAATTATGCAATGTAGTAAATTAATGGACATTTTAACAAACATACACACTTCCCTATATTAATTGATCTTCATACCATAAAGAAAAATATTATCAGGAATTTTGTTTCATACTTTAACTTCATTAGCTATTATTCTTTCTTTCCTGATCTCTACCTCTTTATGTTTTATTTCTCGTGAAAATTTCACGGAATGATGAAAATTTCGATATTAAAACACTTGAAACTCTATATACTACAAAACAGAAGTAGTCTATATTACCACTAATCAATAAAGATATATATATATATATATATATATATATCCCAGAGGTGGAATGAAATTCGTGGGACAATGGTATCAGATTTTACACCAATAAAATATAATCGGGAATTAATATAAATCATGATTATTTATTCAAATCAAAAACTGTAGAGCATACATCATTCCATGTAAAAATTACGATAATGATCTCCCACTTAATTAGAAGAAATCCTTTAGTCAAGTATATCTTTAATACATGTGTTGTCTGTGTGTAGAACTGCACAATATATTTTCCCACTTATTACCATTATCTCTGATATAATTCTTTTCTAATAATTAACAGGTGATCATCTCTATAAAATTACAGTTCTAAGAAATTATTCTTTAAAGTGTAATAAACCATAGCAACAATGATAGGAAAGTGGAAAGACAATAAAATTAACCAGAGCAAATCAATGGTTTTGTTGTAGTGCGAACATACACCTATGGAACCAATCTAACACTGATATATAATAGCAAGAACTCAAACATTTGTGTTGGGGATAGGAAAAATCAGAGTTTTGTTGATTGTTTTACAGAGACATACAATAGGAAATAAAAAGGGATGCGAAATAGCAATTTACCATCAGTCAATAGATCTTGGTCGGAGATCTGTCATCTGAGTGTATCGTAGTCAGTGATTACGAAAATTCCACTCAATTGTAGATATTTTTGGATAATTTGTATTATAGAATTAGTTGGACTATGTCAGTTGCTATGTTGTAATTTTCCTTCCATCATGACGGACTGCCCTACACTTGACACGTCCCTAACATGATAAATTGATAATTTCGGAGCATAATAATTTACATTTTCCATTTAAACCAACAACAAAGACAGATACCAAAACACGCCCTCCATAATGAATTACGATAGTGTAAATAATAATTCACGCTTCGTTTTGGTTGGTTACCAGGTGCAAGGTCAAAATTGTGAACGAGAATGGAGTTTATCAACAGTCAATATTTTTCTCTAAATGTAAAGAGTTTGTATAAGTAATTTTAAAACTTAGCATAGTATAATGATGTTGTTGGCTAATAATAAACAGTACGAATCCCTTCTTCATTCGACTAAAAGTTATTAGATCCCAAAAAGATGCATATGAATGGTCAAATACAGTCAAACTACATTATATGACAGCAGTGTTTAACTGATCTACAAATGTCAATGAAAAGTGGAACAAAGTAGTACTTCAATTTACTGAATACTACTCTTGGTTTAAACTGTTCTTTTGAAGCAGATATTACGGTGAATTGTTAATAAGTGATTATAAGAGCGGTTCAGTTCACTTAGTTATGTATTTAATTTTGTCATGCAAGTATACACAGAAGAAATAGTTCAGTATGGTGAAAACAATAGCAAAAACGTGAAGTATTCCTTTCCTTTTGAGAAAGCTGAGGATATTTTACTTATGTCAACAAGTGGAGATTTACAAACGCATTTAGTTCCTTTGTAAGATTTTTATCTAATCACGCTAAATTTCATTCGTTTGTTGAGCATTTGTTAAAAAACAAATAAATATCAAACATAAACGTAAAATACAGTTCTTAGGATTCAGATGATGTTATCTCTACTCATGACAATCAACATCAAACAAGTCTACGAACTAATTCAAATTGTAAAACTGTACACTTTTGTAATTTGACTTGGATAGTATTATGCTTAATGTAAGAATTGTCGGCTTAGGAATCCTAGGCTTTATAAAAAAAAACACTATCCCTTTATCATATTATGTAAGTTTATGATATAATCATTTCAATTACTCAAAAAATGTATTGTAATCAACTTTGTTACTTGATAAAAATTCTTTGACATAAAGATAACTTTGAATTATTGAAAATGATAAAATGTATGTTCAAGAAATATGCAAAGAAGCTATTATATCTGTTTTTCGTAAAAAAGGTAAATATTCATTATCTAATTTATCACTCTTTTAAGGGTAATTTAGATCAAAGGAAGATTACAGTGAAATGAAAGTACCCACTTGAGATGGTGGAAATTTGTAGCTCAGGTGGATGAATTTGATAGTTTTCTTCTCTGAGATGGATGGTTTGGTTGTGGAGCTTTCATCGTTCTTCTGAATGATATCATCAGCACAAACTTCAGGTAGAAGTGAAGTGTTCGAATTTCTCCACATGTGGTTCACAGCTTGTTCTGTAGACCTCGATGTTGATTGGTTCTTGTTGACCTTTAACCTGACAGGTTTACGGTCAACAAGAAGAACGATGAAAGCTCCACAACCAAACCATCCAATTCAGAAAACAAAACTCCATCAGAAAGGACCTGCTGGTGCACAAATTTACACTGACGAATATTTTCGAGTGTAATAAATCTTATGATATGATATGATGAAGGATATTGGTGGTTATTTTAATGATATTAATGTGAGTTTTAAAAATGATTATGAAGATGAACAATATTTTAATTTTACCTCATATGATTAAATTAATTCATGGTTTCCAGTCTCTTTATCAGTTTATTAAATCAATGTTACATGTGCTCTCATAGATTACATTATATGCCGTTGTAAATTCAATTATTCAAACTAAAATTATGCAATGACACATTTTTATAGGATTATTAAACCATATGATATTGTAATGTATATCTATAATTTTATGAATATAACTAATACTAATAATGATATTTATACCATGAGTAAAACTAAGACGGTAATATTATGTAATACTAGTAAATGTTGAAAAATAAATAGATACTTAATTAAGCACTCAATACATTTGTGTATTAATTTCGATACAAGTGAAAAAGAAAATCAACATTGAACAGTGCATTCAGTGAAGCAAGGAGAACTTAGAATAGCTGCATTATTAACAAATGTACAACTACAGAGCATGTACAGATATATGTAGGAGTTAAAGGTTTTTATTTTAAAAGAAAAAAAACTATATTATATTGCTCAAACTCTGAAAACACCATTCCTCTCATTAGTATGAGTGTTAACAAATAAACAAAGTAAACCGAATAAATATGATTGAATTGTATATTTTAGCATTGAAAAAAGGCGTGCAAACAAGTGCATGAATGAAGCGAATCAAATAGATTTCAATGTGTTGTTGGTGAAAAGAATGACAAGATAGTCAGTTAAATGTAAGTCTAAAATGAAGAATCAGGTAAACTAAGAGAAATGTAATAACTAAGGATGAAAAATTTGCATGATTAATCCTATTAAGATGTATAGGAAAAAAGTTTTAATCACTTGGCAGAGCAATTACCTTCATAAGAATCATCATTCATATAATGGGAAATTTTACGACGTAACAATGATGATGGTGATGGATCGGGCATATTCAAATCACATGGCATACTAACACCAGATGTCATTGCTAAACAACCAAGAGAACTTAATGTACTACAAGTTCGAGGCGGTGGACATGGACGTGACATTCGAGGTGCTGTTTTTCGATTGATATGATATTGACTTATTGCTTGATGATGCTTTAAATGAACAGGTTTTGGCTGAATTGGAGGTGGTGATCTATTGTCAGCAGAAGGAGAAACTGAAGAATTGATTGGGCTACATGAAGTTTGTTGTACAAACAAACTATGGTTAGAAGGTGGATGATCATCATGATCAATCCCATTCCCAAGTATCTTTTCCACATTAAATTCGGAAGGACTAAGACAAGGTGAGTGTTTGTTACGATTTTCTTCACCGACTAATTTTTTCTGAACATACAACTGTGGTGTAAAGAAATCTTGTTCACAGTTTACACTTACAACTGATTCAGAAATACTTTCATTGTTATGGTGATAACAACTAGCGACAGAATTCTGTTCATTACATCTTGATAACTCAGCAGCATTGGTAACACAGAAACAACTGTTAACTGATGAAACATGTTTTCGGGTTGATAAACATCTTTGATGACTAGGTAATGTGCCAGTTAGTTGATTATGTAAACATTTTGAAAACATTCTATTTAGCGTCATAGTATTACCGTTATTAACTGATCGGTTTATTATATATATTAATTATTATTATATTATTATATTTTAATTAAAAACCATTTAATCAGTTAACAAAAAAAGAGGCAAACGCAGTATAAGATGGGTAAAATCAATCCATCCACACCCATAGTGTATAGAGAAAACAAAAGAGCACAAACCCAGCGTAGATCGGTACAGAATGGAGAGGAGAGATAAGAAAACAAGACAAATAAACAATAGTTATGTGGTGTAAAGAAAATAATTGTACATAATTTACATGTAAGAAGATTAATAGAAAATTGTATAAAATGTTCTTTACAAATTGATATCAGTTGAATAAAATTTACTAAATTAAGAAAACAGAATTATCAGAACAGAGAGTTAAACAATATGTCTAATCTTAAATTGACAAATCATGTCAATTTCTCAAAACGATGTATTAAGTTAATCTGTAGAAATTAGAACTTCTGTTTAAAAAAAAATTGACATAGAATATTCATTGAAAAATTGGGAATTGACAGAAAGATATTTTGTTGAATTTCTCCAATTATTAAGTTTAACGTAGTCATCAGTTTTCCGAAGATAGAACCTATCACTATTAAGTTGATATTTCATTATAGGTCTATATCGCTTAGACATTGAATATGGCAGGGTATCATTAATATACACTAAAAATAAATAGTACAACCAAGTATATTTATCTATAAAAAAGTTATAATGCCACCCACCTTAATAATCATTTTACCCATGAAGATTCAGTAACAATAATATGATGTAGGACATTCAAGTTACGAAGTAACTGACAGAATACATTACTCAATGCTGTATTAAAATAAATCGAAAGATTCCATTTGCGAATTAGATTCAATCAATCCGTCAATTCAGAGAGGATAACCATTCAAAATAATTAGTTTACCTAGTTGTGTAAATGGACTACAAATATGTAGAATTTCAGCACGTTTTGTGATCAGTTTCTAACAACAACACGGCAAAAACATAAAAATAAGTTAAAATATTTTTGTTTTACAGAAGACTACATAACATAAAAAGGACAATACAAAACTGTGACTACATCTGTACATCTAAAGGGGGAAAGATTACATTGAACTCATGAACCGATTAAGGTTAGATTACCATTAAAAATCCTGGAAGTACTAGACGGCCGTTTCGTTCTAGTATGTAACTTCTCAACAGTGTGTATCCACAACCCCGGACACGGGACTCGAACTCACAATGTTCGGTCTTGAAATCTAGACCTCTGAGTTGGTATTCAATGCTGTTAATGTCTAACTTCAGTCAATCCACGATATTGTGCGACAGTCTTCGATTGTTTTCAGTGGGTAACTGCATCACAAAAGACACGGATTAGCTTGACTGTGGTGTAAATAAATCTTGTTCACAGTTTTACATATAAAGGTTGTGTAATGTCGACTGAAATGTCTGGAGGTCAAGACTTCCCGCGCGAGACCGAACATTGTGAGTTCGATTCCCGTGTCCGGGGTTGTGGATGCGCACTGCTGAGAAGTTACATACTAGGACGAAACGGCCGTCTAGTACTTCCAGGTTTTCAATGGTGATCTAACATTAATCGGTTCATGATCTCAATGAAATTCAACAATTTCCACGACCCCTAGCTGACAAAAAAGTTAATTAGAACTAATTAATTTTACCTGGCATAACTTGATCAAGTTCATCCATTTCCATACTGAATGGATCTGTTCCACTTCTTTGATATGAATGTAACTCATTATTACCAGCAACAACTGAAGTAGAATTAGCAGTAGAAGTGGCATCAGACATTGAAACAGTATCTAGACAATTTTTTGAACTGTGACATGAATTAGATAGACTTGTACTGTTAGCTAATTTGTCAACTTGAGGTTTTAATACTGTTGAAGGATTAGCATACTTTCTTTCGTCATCATGATAACTTTGACTGACAGCTGAATCACTTAAATCAAGTTTATTTAAACTATCTGAAGCAGACCAATTACAATTATTCGTATTACTAATATTAGTAGTATTCGGTGAAGCATTTGTTGTATAATGATATTGTTGTGGATTTGTAGAAATTGAATTACGACTTGATGATTGATGATGAACAATTTGTTGTTGACAATTGGTCATATCAGTTTTACCATAACGAAGTCTATCTAATGTACTATCTAGATTTTCATATGAATGAACAATTGGTAATTGTGACATGGAAAATTTACGTTGTGCTGCATGAGCTAATTGAATGAGATTTGTATAGACTGGAGGTGGTACAGCTTGTTTCGGGTAGAGTACAGTGGACGAATCAACACCACTATCTTTGGAAGAAGCTTTGCCAACTTATTTTTTTAAAAGAAAACAAAATAAAGAAATAAGAGTAGAAAATACGCACACAAACAACAACACGACAATTATATCTAACAGTAATTGAAAGAAAAAAGTATAAATACACATTGAAGGATGAGTATAGACTGCAAACACTTAGTGTGACAAGCGTAAACAAAGTAGAATCTGTTTAAAGTATTAAACTTCATTATAAACGTAGTAAGAATAGGAAATTAACAGGATGAGGGAAGAATTGAAATGTTTCTTTGTTCTAGGGTTTAGAGAGAAAGATAAGAAAGGAATCCATCTGTGTGCTACATTGTGTCTGATAATTTCCAGCCATTTCACTTATCTCTCAAAGCAGAGTTGGATTATTTTACGGACTACAAATAGTAAGTTTGAAAACTATAACCTGATTCATATCAACTCTCAGTGACTGAATAGATTAGCACGGTGTGTTGGTCTAGTCACCTTGAGTCTAATACAAACTAATTATTTAAAGATAAAGAAGTGAAAATGTAAAAGAGGATAACGTAAAAGGTGGTAGAATATCATACCAGTTCAAGTTCAATCAGTCTTAATCAACAAAGAATATGAAGTTGGGGAATATTTCAAGCTGTTATACCGCATTAGCATGATGACACGAAACTAACAAGGCGAATAGTAAAGGAATCAAAGTAATTTGTAGTAGTGATGATAATGAGAAAGACTAAACATTGAGAGTAAATTTCGAAGAGACAAAATAAAAAGTTGTGGATGAAGGAATACTAGGACTCAAGATCTACAATGAGAAAAACTTGACAAGTCTGAGTCAATAATCAAAACCCTACAGCCTTCAAATATTTTCTACTCTCATAGATCGTGTCCCACAGTCGCAAAGCGATACAGAAAGGACTGGTATATAGTGTACTAATCCTTTTGACTGCAGACAGACATCTCTCCTACAATGAAAGTGACGCGAATCGACGAAAGCTGAACGAGCTTTCTGGACCCGTGTCGAAATTTCGTCAGATACCAACCCTTCAGGCCTTGAGACTTGCAAGATATATGTAGTTTTTAACGTACTCGATTACTTCACTCCCAACGATTATGAACAATTGAAATAACATACAACTTATTCCCATCTGTAAGCCAATAATCCATTCAAATTTAGCCACTGGCTTTATATCATTTCTCATGAAGGCAACGAATAACAGCCAACCAGAAGTTTCGGAATTTTATATTGAAACTATGATTGAAAAATCAGATTCATTGTTTACGAAGAATGAATATGATTGAAGGGTTACCAAGTGAACAGTTCACAAAGTGTACAATTCATTACTCAACTTACCTGGTCTATAAATTTGGTTGTTATGACATTTAAATCTCAAAAGTATAAGGGCAGGATTTAAAAGTCGGGTTAGGAGTTTGAATAGCACTTCCGCGTAATCAACTGTGCGTTATCTTTAGTCGTCACATCGATGTCCACGATAGCCAACGATGCAATATATATATATATATATATATATATATATATATATATATATATATATATATATATATATATATATATATATATATCGAAAAGCTCGGAATAAGTAGTGTTGTGTAAAACTTACCGGGTGAATTGAAAGACAGAGCAGTTATAGAAGCCCGTGTAGGAGCATGACCTCCTCGTTCATAAGCAGAACTTATTGTATGACGACCACTATTTGGAATTGGAGGATTACCAGTAGTACTAGCAGTAGTAGTAGTGGTAGTAGTAGTATTCGATGGATAGTTTTCCAATAGAAAATGTTGATTAGCAGAATTAGACAAGGAAGGAGATGTAGGATTATTTGATAAATACGCAAGAGCATTGCCAGAATCACTGCCTACTTCAACATACTCACCACCATCACCAACATCATCGTTACTATCATCATGATTCTCATCATCGTCATCATCATCATCATCAGTGCTCATTTCCAGTTTACTTTCATTGTCAGTCCTTTTTATATTTTCGACTTCATTATCACCATCTCTTTTTAGTGCATAGTTTTGACCATTCGTAGTGATATTATTATCATCATTATTACTATCGGTTAATTGAGATTGTGCACTGAAAGCAACCATAGATTTAGCTACCATATAAGAATCGATTTTATCATGATGAAAACCATTATTTAAATAATTTTTTGGAAAATCATTATCTCCATTACTTGCAGCTCGATAGTGACCTGGTCGACATAAAGTTTTAAATTGCGATTCTCCCTAAAATTAAAGTAGATGGCAATCATAAAAATTAGTAGTAAAGCAATTAACACAAGCGAATTTGTAGAGACTAGAATTTTCAAAGTTCAGATGAAAAACTCATATTAGTTAGACCATAAATGAAAATCTGAAAGTAGCAGACAGCCATTTCGTCCTAGCATGGGACTCCTCAACAGTGCATCACTAGTTAGCACTGCCGGATGTGAGACATTTATCCACGGTAGACAATGGATGAGGGCTGTGAAATATCGTGGATTGATTGGAGCTAGACACTAACACTGTTGGATTCCGACTGAGTAGTCTAGAGATCAGGCATTCGCGCGTGAGGTCGTGAATGCACATTGCTAAGTCCCACACCGGGACGAAACGACCGTCCAGTGCTTCCAGGTTTTCGATAGTGGTCTAGCTGAGATCAGTTCGTGATTTAAACTATCAAAATAATTAGTAATAAACTATTTAATGTTGAAAAGGGGACAATAACACATTGTTCACTGAAAGTGAACCAGTTAACTTCATTTCATCCTAAAAGCACTTTCATGGAGGTATCCATATACAGTACAGTTACGATTAAAAGAGTAAAACAGATGAGTTTGAATAATCTTACTGGTCTTCCAACTAATAAGTTATTCATCTTGATTGTTGATCACAAATAAAAAGTATTTTTCTCAATCTAAACATCTCTTATAGTGATACTCATCATTATATTGACCGAAATGGATCACTGAAATATCAGTGATTGGAAAAAATTGAATTAGCTATTACTTTCAGTTAGATAGCTATGTAATTAACGAACAGATGTGTGCTTAACTATAGAGCTTAGCGACGATTGGCAAAGGCTAGTTGGGTTTTGATAGTTGTGAAATAAATCAAAAAGTGATTACAGCATACAATTACGTCACTATGATTGCAATTAAATTAGTTTTCTATGAACATGCAGAAAAATCCTTTCGAATTTTATTGACAGTTAATATGCATTTTTCCAGCTCTAACCAATATATTCTTCGCTTAGGCTCATTTGATAATTATTAGCAGTATTTTAAATAAATAGCATAATATGAGAAACTAAATAACGATATTAAAATAAAAAAAAGCATCTTATATAAATAAATATTTAGTTGATGATAATTAACAAAATAACTGTTTGATCCTAGGTTTCAGATATTTTATACTTCACTAAAATCACAAACCGATCAAATCTAGATAACGATTGAAAACTTGGGAGCAATGGACGGTAATCTCATCATAGTAAGAGAGTCCTAAGTAGCGCACACCCACTACTCCACAGGAGGAAATCGAACTCAGAACCTTCGATCTTGTGTGCGAACGTTTAATCTCTAAACCAATGAGTCCGGATTCTGTACTTAGTCCAGGTGAATCATGATAGACAGTCAAAACAGATATGGACAGTCACATCGATATTTTGAAAATTCTTTCAGTTTCATAATTTACCAACAAAAGAAGGTATAAAGTCAAAAATGTTTCGGCAGACTAATCAATGCTCGGTTTAGAAAAATTGTCAATAATTTTAATGAGAATTAGTAACTTCTGAGACAAACAACTACTGTGTGATGTTTGAAATACAGATAACTTTCTAGGATATATGTTGTCATATTATACAAAAATACTGACTTTGATTATAGACAAGATATATTACGGACAGCGCTGAAGATTCACTACAACACAATAGATCATCTAGCCTTAGGTTACTCTTTAAATTAAAGTGATAGATTGATATATCAATTTAAGATGACATAGTCTTCAAAAATAATATTTATTGTTATAGACATTGCATGTGTGAACGCGTATTTTCTTTCATCTTATATACACAACAAAGAAAAACACAGATAATCGATCGTTTTTATGTGATCAAAAGCTATAAACACTAAATAATGGAGACAGGAATGCGAAAATCCATGGGAGATGAAATAACCGTGTAGATTGGATTATAAAGGAACGTATGTGCCTATGTATTTCAATCGTACAAGTGAATGCTAATATTATTGAACATAGATGTGAATAGTTAAGTGCAATGTAAATATATCCAAATCAACACACTGATACAGAGCGGTGAATATACATGGACAAGGACGTGTGTGTGAGGTGGTGGGGAAGTTGAATATTCAGGTAGACAAAATAACATCTATTCATGAAAATACTTTATGTTAGTGAACTGGAAAATGGTTAAAAAATGACGAGAACATTCTGCTAGATAGAACATACATTTCGTAAAACAAAGTATAAACCAGGCTACAAAACAGGTAGCTCGTGAATGTGATTATTTAAGATGAGTACTTGAGTGGAAATTCAGGGGAAAAGCTTTGAAACCACAAAGAGAAAAGTACACAAATATGGCAACAATTGAATAATAAAATAACTACTTTTTCTCAAATGGAATTTTATTGGTTTTATACAACTTGGAGAACATTATCACCATGAATGACACTAATTATAAAACCATTGAAAGTCATGAAACAATAAACAGATGATTTATTTTAATTTGCGACTCTTCTGCAATGTGCACTTATGACCTAACGAACAAGACTGAATACATAAACTTCAGACCTTAAAGTGAAAATGATAAAATTCGAATTAGGATAGAGTGTGTGTTGAATGGCTCTGCAGCTCTCAAATAATGTCAGTTTGCAATGAAAATAGCTTCATAAAATAACTAATCATATCAGTTACATGATTTAAGCTTATAAAACAAGCTATCATCAAAAATTACGTTTTAAAACGTCCCATATTAAACAACGTGACAACACTGACGAGAAGAATGTGAATAAATGAAGTTAAATGTGAAACATGGGACTTTCGTCTTTACTACTCATGTAGAAGTAAGAATGAAGGTCAGCTGCCAGGAGGTTAGCACAAACGTTTGGGCTACCACTTTTGTAGACGTTCATTCATCACCAAAATTATTTTCCTGTTTTAGATATGTTTCAATCAATTAAAATTATCGACTGCGTGTACATACGCTTCTCCATAAAATGTACACATAACGAAAAAATTTTTATTTAAGGAAGAAAATTAAGATTGAATGAATGATTAAAAAGTACAAACAAAAACATGAAACTTAATGAAACTGAAGAGTGATAATTACCTTTGTTCCGACACTTACAGTAAAACCCAGAAATTACATCCTAAGCTATTATAACTTGTATAATTTAGTCCATAATACAGCTGGAAAATATACGACACATTGTCTACCCATTGTAGATTTTGATCAGTATGGATTAAGGCGTCAATCTTTCCCCGAGACCTTGAAGTTTATAGGATGTGAGTGGTTTTAACTAAGAGCTTTAAAATAAGCATTTAATTACAGTAACTAAATTATTGAAAAAAGATTTTATATACTTAGTTTTAAGTGCGAAGGGAAACACGCAAATATCTGTCTGTCTGTAAACTTAAGTATATCAAACGAGTTTCAAATCTGTGACTTCTTGATTAAAAGCCCAGTGATTTAACCACACCAAAGAGACACAATACACTAGCTTACTTAATTCTAGCTGGATATCTGCTCTCATATTTTCGGCAAACACGTAAATCTCTCCTCCAGTTTGTCAAAAATATCAGCTTGAACTAATTATTCATGTACTTTTTATATTTACCTCACAATAAACGTAATGTTTATCATATAGGAAAGAGATATGTTAGTTGTGTATAGTTTAACTGTAAAACTGATACGAAATGCAAGCAAGAAAACAAGATAAAAGAACAATAATCAACAACGAAATGGATAATTTGCATAGTTTTGCATAAACATTTTTTGAGCCTAAGTCACTTTGTACAATACCATAACTAATATGGACAGTATTAGGGATGGGAATAGATTAGCTATTATACATAACCTTCACGTATGACTTATTCTGACATCAAAATACCACCATACAACTAATGCACTTGAATTCATTTAATTTTAAACATTTTATATTAGAAAATAAAATGTACTAGGCAATTCATTAGAAAAGTTTCTTAGGAAATAATGTTTACTATTTAAAAGAGTTATATGTCGATGGTTTAGGCTTTTGAACTTCAACCAATGGTTTTTATAATTGTACTTCGATCCAATATTTTCAGCAGATGCAAGCCAGTGCCTCGTGAGTGAAGCTGTATATGGTTGAATTGAATAAGTTCTAAAAAACAATTACTTCTTCATTAAGATAATAATGGTAGACAACTATAAACAAACACAAGCCAGGCACCTTTGAAAAGTCTGTGAGCTGTTCCACAGGATACAGTTCTTGTACGAAGACCTACCGTACTAGATGGCTGTCAAAATCTTAGCAAGTGAAGTCGTGACCAGATAATCACCTAAAGCTGTCAACCCCATTATATAAAATGAATTTAACAGTCAAGATGATTATTAGATGTACGACATATGATTTTTATGGGAACTGAAGGTCCATGACTCAATCTGTATCCATGCTATGGATTCGCAGTGTTGAGGGTTACCAAACTAGAAGAGAAACACATTCAGTGCCCCTTATTTTCTCAGATTTTTTTGGTTAGTATCAGAGTATGTGATATCAACTCTCTTTTAGTTAGACAGTTTTTACAAACCTTCAATATTAGTGGAAGATATGAGTTAAAACCTAGACTTTAAAAAACTTTCTGATCAAATGGTATGACTTTTTTTCTATTGTCCAGACCACGATGTGTCTTGTGGAATTCCACACTTATTCCAGTGAACAATCAACAAACAGCTAGGACAAAATGCACAGTTGAAAAAGGTAAAAGGATCACCGGGTAAGTAATGGGGAGGTTAGACTGAGGGTATTGGAGAATGATGGTAAATCAATTGATGAGGTTATGTATCTTCATCAACTGAGATGGTCGGGCCACATGTTACGCTTGCCCGACCACCGATTACCCCAAGGTGTAATGTTGACTAGTGTTGGAGATCGACGGATAAAGTTAAGGGCAGACAAAACAAAATGTGGCATCAGTCCATAAGGTCACTAACTTCTGGTCTGAGCCATGTTAGTAGATGCAGACTACTTGGTTGGGGTCTATGCGTCTACCGTAAGCAGTTGTTGGAAACTCTGGGTGACATGACTCAGAACAAACAACAATGGCGTAGGTGTATACACTCTTTGTCTTTCTTTAAACCATGAGATTATTTTATACCTTTCTTTCTAGGAATTAATTTTTTCCTCCCTGCATCATATCCTTATATACAATATTGTTTTATATACTAATACCATTGAAGTAATGGCTTCTATGAATTTGGTGTTCATTTTGTCGTACTAATGAGGTATGGAAATTTGGAACAATGCATATATGTCCCTGATCCTACGTTATACATGACTGACTAACGAAGATAATAAAACAGGCTAAAATGTAACTACTACTGCATAGACACAAAAACGACATATCGATGACAAGATACAAGTGAACGATCGAAGTGTTCATAAATTTTAATATTTTATTTACCACAAAAAGCTATACCGATGTCATAATGATTGATTTTTTCCTAGATTATCTAGACGAAGATACAAACCATATCATTACTTCATTGATAAACGTAAAAAACTTATGTGGCATAAGTTTGTGGTAACGTAGAGTACACTAATATTATTTTAATCAAAGAACTCATATTTTCGAATTTAAGACATGGGTTTTATCCCATTTTTAACTTGTCAGTTGAATATGCCTAAATCCCAGTTTCAACATCTACACAGAGATATGAATACAACTTGTTCAATTGGTTCAATATTTCCTATTAATTGTATGAAGTTGTATTTTTTGAATATCATTAATAACAGAGAAGTAAGAACCCCCATAAATCACAATAAATAAGAAGGATCTAACATAGTTTGAACAAATGACACACACTAAAGTCGGTGACTTTATGCCTTAATTTTAATGGATGAATGAGGCCAGAAGGTATTGTCAGTGAAACTTTATAAGGTAAAGACTAGCACAGAACGATTCAGTTTAAATATTTATAAGTTCTTCCATCAACAACAAAATCATTTCAATGAAAATTTAATTTACATATATTAAACCTATTGATACCACGGCTATGAACTGACCTGAGACAATTCAATAAAAATCAATCATTAATTTTTAAATAGTTTACAAGAGAAATAAGTGTATTTTAAACAAATATCTCAATTAAAATTAAAACACGAATTTCAGCGAAGGGATCTCTTTTCAACGAATTTATTATCAAGCTGTACAATCGTATATATATGAAAATTTTGTTTTTGTAAAAGTACTAATTCGTTGAAAAGAGATCCCTTCGCTGAAATTCGTGTTTTAATTTTAATGTTTAAATGGGAATTATCTGTCAAATATCTCAATGTAAGAGAAGAGTAAATTACTGATGTCTTTGACTTCAACCAAACGATTTCTTTGTAGAAAATAAAAGAAAACGTGTATAAGTCATCATAAGACCAAAGTAAATAAGCGAAACCGTACGATGACAGCTTACGAAACTTTTAATTCAATAAAAATGTCTGTTTTTAGCTTTTTGATGTTAAGCTTGACTTATTACATAGACCCATGAAATTCAATTACACATACACAAGATTACATTAACTTTGTAATTCATCAACAGAGAGATTTGTTGATCAGTGCAAACAAAACAAGCGTTCCTTCTTGTTCTAGATCAAAAGTGGTTGTTGCTCATGAGTCTCGAACTCACAAATAGTGTTGTAGCGTAAAGAACATATTTTTAGATGGCCATTGAATTATAAAAGAATCATATCAATTTGAAGTTATGCATTATAACTTACAGTGTCTTTGTTTACTACATTGTTTGCTTGCTTGTTTGCCGTCTAATTTATCAACCTTCGATTACAATTATTCTTGTCACAGCTGACAATTTAGTTCTCATCTCATAAAAACTGTTGTGCCATTAATATTAATTTACATTGGCAACTATATTGTCATGTTTTTTTTCAATCCAGAAATAATTATTCTTATTGAAAGTTCTATAGTACATGTTATTTTCTTAGAATACAAATGATAAACTGATAGATATTAAGAACTGTGACAAACTTATAAGTAATTTAAAGAATGTATGAAATACACATATACTGATTGACAATTTATAAATACATAATGAAATTGTACATTTTACATGGTTAAAAGCATCAATCACAGGTGAGTTTGAAAGACTGTATACACACAAACGGTTAGTTATTCTATATCATATATATTTCAAGAAAAGTTATTCAGAGTGGTTTATATGTACGCAGACAATTTAAACTAAAAATCCATAATAACCAATGTGAAATTTTTCGTTAAAATTCAGACGAAAATTCTTACAAAGCTGTAATAGTGATGATAATAATAGTAATAGTAATAATAATAATAATAATAATAATAAAGTAAAAAATAACAGCCACCATTAAAATTTTACCAATTTACCAAAGATGATTTCGTTGTAAAATTAACTACAGTGAACTATTTTAATTGACCAGTAAACATGCGAAAAGTAAACTTATTCACAGAGAACTGTTAGTAATTATAATAATACAACAACTCATTTAACCTCATGAGCAGCGCTATGAACCGTAATTATTATGTTAACTCTGATGACAGTATGTTACAATGAAAACCTTGATAGGTAGTAGATAGTCAAATTGATGAACGTCAAATGTATACCCTAATGAGTTACAACGATGTAAATACCCACTTATACGCTCTATGTATGGAGTGCTCCATTCAAAGATACTCTTAACCATTAAAGTAATGTATTCGAGTGATAAGCTAAAGACTGATGAACACAAATAATCATTTGTTATTAAAATACAACTTGTAATACATAATCGTCCTTGTTATTTAAATATATATATATATATATATATATATATATACCAAAACTTTCAGTGCTTTGGTTGACTGTAATACGCTTGAAGTAGAAAAACATAGGCCAACAACTCAAGTATACGTTGGTTAAAATAGTTCAGCAAAAAGTATAAATGGATACAGCCTTAAAACTATTTTTTAACGATAAAAATAATTCAAAAATTATACAGAGCATAAAGTAATGACTTCTCAACGTTAGACGAATTACCAGATCATAAGTTCTTTATTATAAAGAAATTAGCTAACAGTTTATTGCAAAAAAACAAAAAAATATTACATTTTAAGGTCATTTGTATGTTGTGTGAAATAATGGTATTATTTATCATTACTATTACTATTAATGCTAGTAGTAGTAGTGATAGCATCAGTGGTGGTAACAGTAGATCAATGTCCTCAGATAATAGTGAAAAATATCTTTACAATACCCGAATTTTACTTATTAAATCTAAGTAACTACCGATTAGCGTGCATACACACAGCGGATTTTTGAATTGTCGTGGGAATTATTTCAATGAAGAGCCTTGATATTACTTCTTAGTTAACAATGTAAATAACAGAATTTTGCAAACAACAGTTAAGATGTTCTCGAAAAGAAGAAAAAAGACATTATATAATTGTTATAATCTCTTTCTTACAGTTATAACCCAACTATTCCTATTGCTTAGTATTCTTGGACACCGATTCACTCGACAAGACCCCAAATCAGAACACGGTTGAACAGGAAAGAGGTTATATTCCAAATAACAAGGTTAGATGGAGACAAGATGCAAGCCAGAAGCACAATAGGGAAAACGTCAGTATATTTCTAGTTTTTACGTAAGAAGATTCCAGAGTATTCTCCAACAATCGACTAGTGCTGATTGGATAAGAATTAGCCACTACTCGGTTTCTTAAACTTTATCAGCTGAAGCAAGGTCTGAACTGTCAGTCATAAGACTGAAGGTTCAGAACCCATCAAACCTAACACAGTTTGAGGAGTTGGGAAATTTCACAAACTAATACACATGACTCAAAGCGAAGCATACAAACTAGAGATTGACAAGTAGGTTACAATAATTCACTGTCTATGCCAGGTTAGTAAGTCTTTAAAGTTATTTGCGATGAAATTGTTGATAAGTGTTAGGAATATATCTGACTGAAAACCAAAACTATAAAACTCCATAGTCATAACGCAATCAGTAGGATTTTTTTACATGGTTACAAAGTCATCGACAGATTTACCAAACTAATTACAAAGCGTATTATTTGCTAACTTTGCTTAAAACAACTAAAACAGTAAATTCCAAGTGCAAATATCTCATTAACCAAGAAAGTAGTTACTAAAAAAGCACAATCACTTAAAGACTTACAGGATCAGAATGTGGTATGTTTGTATTTGAAATTCCAATAGAATATGTAGAATTTGCATTGCCACTTCCTGAGGCTGCACTATCCACAGAAATAAGACTTGATTCACGACTACCCAAATGAGCGACATTACTACGTGCGGGGGACAAAAGGGATGGACAATTACTTCCCCCACTGCCACTATGTGAACTGGCTCCACATAGGGAAATATCAGCACTGTCACATACAGAATTGCATCGGCCGACCGTTTCTAAGTCACGACAAATTTGATATGGTGACATCATGTCAGCACCGTGACGACCAGACTCCGTATCACTTGAATTGACATAGCTTCGATTACCATTAGTCATGAGCAAACCTCCTAAAACTTCATTTATATTGTTCATTTTATCTCCACTATCTGGTACGAAAACTGACATGATTTTACTGCTACCTCGATAAGAAGCAGAAAAATCACGTCGTCCCATCCTCAGTACAATAGACTCTACATCCTCAACCAACTGATCTGGAAACTCAGTTTCTTTTGTTAGGGTCTTAATAAGTTCATCCATAGTGGCTATTTCATGTAACATGCTTGATTGACACTCCTAAGGCAAAAAGAAGGTGACACTTTTAAATTGTGAGATATCAACGAAAAATTTAACAATTGATATTTGAAAACTGACCGCTGCACTTTCATAAAAAGTTTCACATTTTCTTATGTTTTCTAAAAAATCCTAGTACATTACACTAACCGCATGCCAGGTGTAGGTTGAAGGTTTAAACACCTTTCCATTCGCTAACGCTATGACATATGAGTAGTATTAACGCTATCAAGAAGTGTAGTTCGTAGCTTAGCAGGGAGGCTTGTAAACTATTACTAGCTTGTATTTTTACCTACTTACGAGACGAAACTGTTCTGAGAAGTACACCCATCTCATACAACCAGCAGAACATTAAACTAACAGAAATAATACGCATAATTCCTAAGTAAATTTATTACGTACAGTAAAATATAGTTTTCAATATTTCTCAACAAACAGCATTACTTAAACAGGAAAAGGTATACATACTAGCTACTAATCACAACTTGACATAAATATTCATCAGTCACTTATCTTGTTCAGTTATTTGAAACAGGACTATGAGAAATTTGTGCTTAAGTATACAAAAGCAAACAGGAAAATTAAAACAGAAGCATTATTCGTACGTATTTAAGTTATGCATTGGTTAATACTTAAAGCAAACACAAACATATAAGACGACTGCTCTGGAGATGATTAATTCTTCCTTATTATTTTAGGAAAACTCGGAATAAGCCTGCATTAGTACAATATTCCTTGTTAGTATTCTTCAAACACCTACATATTTTAAACACAATCCAAATTTTTAGCAATAGTAATTGTTAAAATCCAATATTATTCTATATTTCTAACTTTATTTATAAATGTATGAATGAAAATATACGTTCTAATCGACCAACCCGTCTAGATTTACATTTTCTTTCGTTTATCGGTCAGAGAATGTCGCGATTGAGAATGAGCTATTCACGGACAAAATAACCTGAACATTGCAAAACAACATAAATATTGTCACTACTGACTCTAAATCGTTGGAATTCCACTTACAAGAATTGGAAGAAGGCAAGAGACGAAAAAACAAAACCGGCTTCGTTCCTCAAGTAACAATAAACGCATCGCAGATTTCTCTGTATTTTCAACTAATTCCTTCTTGATTCCGACTTCACGTGCAGCCTTAGCAGTTTGTAAACTAATTGCATTTGATTCAGAATTGGAGCATATATATTTTGCAGTAGGTATAATACCATGGCCTACACCGGGTCCCACACCACTACCACCAGTAACACCAACTTTAGCGGCCTTCTTCTCCCACTTTTGTGCTTCAGAAAGGGCTTTCTTCAATTCCGCACGCACTCTTTTAGTTTGACGAGTTCGGTCTTTTTCTAACTGACACAGATTACGTTTCCACTCATCTACTTTTGAATTGAGAGGGTTGGCAAGACTAGTGACCAGATGACTAAAATACGGAAGATTAGAGAAAAATATGATAGGCATGTAAGAATAATAACACCATTGTCCTACGGTCCAACTGTAACACAAATTTCTATTAAGGCAAAAGGTTAAAAAAAGAAACAGTGACTGCATATCCTTTGTATACGGCAGAGTAAAATAGTTTAAGGTCAGTGAGTCAGAAATTTTGTCTGGAAACACACACGTTTATTTGTAGACTGTGCTTGTATTATACTCGGAAGAGCTGCAGCCTATACCGGAATATTACCGTTCTATGTACTGATATACACGTTAAGCACGTGAACAACCTTATCCACCGATTAGATATCCCTATTGAGTGTTTCTAGACCAGTAATTTAATTTAATCAGTCCCTGGAAAGAGGTCAACTTACCAGCCAAAAATAGATAAACCTAATAATTTGAAGAGTGAGCAAATATCTAGTTATATGAGTATTTGTCCGTGCAATGAAAATTTGCAGCATATTATTAGGAGGTATGTAGTAAAATGGATTGACAGACCATGGCGTTTTGAAAATAGTCGAACTGGAAGACAATCTCTAAAATCCTACTACTAAAACAATCATATTAAGTATTGACTAAGGTTCTATTTATTTATTTATTTTAACACATAGATATTGATACAAGGAGGCATCAATACATATGCGCCACACAAGTCTCATTCGATATGTGTGAGGGCTGTGATACTGTCCGGGTGCCCAGACCGAAACAGGTCTAAGGTTCCATAACGTGCAACCATACCATCGAGATTAAGGAATTACTGGGATTTAAACCAAGAACCTCAGACCATAATAGAAAAACATTTCTTGCAAATCAGAGCTGTAAATAGTAAACATAAGTTTAAATGTACAATGCTATAAATTAATTTTTCCACACCAAAATAGCATTTGGATAAAGATTAACACATGACGGACTGAACCATGCTTACTTTCCCATGGATTTTACTTTGGATTCTAGGCTTTTTTGGCGCATACAGTAACGGGTCAGGCACGCACCGATTTCTTTGCTGCCTCCAAGCGTCTTTGTAGCCAGATCCGCCACTTTTTGAAATGTATCCAAAAATGCAGATGACGCCTGAGTTGCAACTCTGGAAGGTATGCTTAGAAATAAAAAATTTTACTTTAAAGCTGAATGGAATTTGGTACATTTTGAAATTAGCTCTTCCCAGATCTGATAGCTATTCTGTAAACAAATAATGAATACGATGCACGATTGGAACCTTTAAATCATTTAGCAAGTAATTTGCGATATTGACAACATCTCCACCGTTTGCTTGCGAAATATCCATCAATTCTTAATCGATATAAGTATGCGCAGGCTATACTTTCATAAGCAAGTAAACCATTCTATGAGCGGTTCTCAAGTAAGGCGGCAAATGCACATGTGACCTACAAAAATGGTCAACAATGTGTTTTAAAAACCATCAACGACCTAGTCCATTTTCATAGATCGACTACTTAACTACATTTATTACGTTTCTTAAAGCCAACTCATATTTCGTTCATTTGGTTACGTTAATTATAGTTTACTAGATCCAAGTCGGTATGAATGCGATTAGCCTTCAGTCTTCAATAATAAGGATAGGAGGTCTATCAATCTATATTAATCCCTAAATTTTGTAATACTGTGGAGTTACAATCTCGTTTTGAATATATTCACGGAAGGTACTGATGTTACGTGTTACGGTAGAGAATTCCAGTAATTCACTACTCGTTGTGAGAAAGAAAACTCCAGACTTAAACTATTAGATCTCGGTTTTTGAACTTTCTTCGAATGTCCTCTCAAATGATCCGTCCTAGACGGAAGCAGAACATAATACCAGGGTCATCGTTCATGACATGATAAGCCAATATTAGATGACCCCATATTTTACGGTAAGATAACGGAAATAAGTTGAGGTGTCTCAATCTGTCTTCATAAGATAGGCCAGATAGACCTTGTACCATATTAGTGCCTTATCGTTGGACTCTTTCCAGCATATCTACTTCATAATTAAAACAAGGACTCGCTGCTTGAATCCCATGTTCCAAATGTGGTCACACATAAATCGGGAATAATAGTCTAAACATTTCACATCTATGTACTGGAAAGACCTACGAATAAACCATAACACCCTATAATCTTTCGCCTTACTTAGATCTGTGAAGATCACATCTGCAGGAATATTCCGGTCTTTTGCCGCAGCCTAATCTTCGCTTGCACTAGTTAAGCTAACGGGTGTATAGTTAATAACTAAATTCCTTGACGTCACACTAAGCAGACGAAGTGACGACACATTAAGTAGAAGCGTGTATAGAAGAAACCCCTCTTCATGTCAATATACTCACTTCTGCATTTTCACACCCATCCGTTACAAGAGAAATTTGGTCAGATGTCTCACTAGCAGAGCAAAAAAGATCTGTACAGTAGACACTCTAAGTCGGGAGCTTGAATTTATCAACAACTCACTGACCGAGATCGGCTACCCCAGCGCGTTCATTAGGAAGTACATGCATGATATAATAAAGAAGTCGGAGTTTTCGACTGTTCGTAAGAAACTTTTATACATGAAAGTGCAATTCAACCGGGATGTGGCTAGTGACACTCTGAAATATAGGTCAACCAAAGTAATCACCAGGACATTCTACGCAGCCAATCTTGCGTTGACCTTCTCTTGTCGACCAGCGATGTCTACTCAAACGAAGGATGAGTTGGCCTCTTCCATGTGCATTTACAAATTCATCTGCTCCTGTGGAGATAGCTATATAGGGCGTACTACCAGGCAACTTAACCAACGAATGAGTGAACATCTACCAACTTGGTACATAAAGGGCCAGAGAAAATCTATTCGCAGTTCTATATTGGCACATCTTATTGATAGCGGTCATGCAGTAGATAAATCGAAATCTTTTCGAGTTATCTATCGTATACCTCCATCATTTCCCGACGGAGTCCGTTCCCGTCTCCTATATATAGCTGAAGCCATTGGAATTCGTACATATAACCCCAATTTATGTGTACAGAAGAAATACGTGACCCCCCTATCCCTTCCATGCCCAGTTATAACTTAACTAACAATTCTTTTTTATTTATTTATTTTATTATTATCATTATTCATTTTATTTTATTTGTGTTATCATTAACCTTATTTCCACATCCACTATTTGTTTGTAATTTTCCGCCTCTTTGTATTCTTCACTATCTAATTATTTAAACACATCTTATTACGTAATGATTTTAATATTTTGTGATTACTATCCCTAGTCTATTTACCCATGTTTATTTGACCTTCTATTTCCAACGATTAACTATTGATAAGAGTCTCGTTATTGTATTTTATTATTCTCACTATTATCAGTCCACCTGTCTTCCAACTATCAACTTGTACTTGTTCTATTTCATTGTGATTATTGACTCATATTGCCTTGATTGGTTTAAAATTTTCGCATAAATATTCATGTATATTAGAGTAAAGCCTGATGACGATCTAATTGAAAACAATTGTTCGCTTATATGTGTTGTTCTAATTTTCACAATGAGAATCTTTAATATTCTAAATCCCTACTCACAGCCTTATATACCGGACTTATTATAGCGTCTTTCCAGTCTCTGGACAATCTGGACTGCTACAGAGACATGACGAACAGTATCAGCAAAGGTTCAACAATTACATCCGATATGGCTTTCATAATCCTAGGATGAATATCATCAGGACCACTATACTTATAGCGTTTGAGATGCTGAAGTAGCCTTAAATCATTGCCTTTCTCAATGACTAAAGGGTCCAAACGAGAGCCGCCGCAATCCCAATTAATCGTTGGTCGTTCCTCATTACCGATGGAAAACACTTTACTGATAAAGCTTCAGCTTTCTCGGTATCATTTTCTGCCAAGAGTTCAAAACAATACAATTCAAGAATCTACACTTTATTTTTCGTAGGTATCGTATTTTTTATTATTCTATGTTGAACTTTGAAAGATCCATGTGTTAGGAATTATAATCTCGAGCTCCGACAGTTCTGTTCCACGATCTGAACAAATATTGTGCTAACATCGTCGAAACTTGTTTGTCATTGCATTTTTGAGGAAGCCCAAAACGGTTTCTTTACGATACTTATGTACTCATAGACTACTTGTAAATAATAATGATAATAGAAATGTTGGATGCATACAGAACTATTGATTTTAGGGATTTATTTACTGCCACACACCAATGTGGCAATATTCTGTAAAACAGAGCCAGGGTTTGATGTTATAAGGCAAGAATGTCATTAATTATAATGTGGAGAACGAGAGAATCTTAATGCTTATTAACTCATGTTTGTGTTCAGACATGAAGTAAATGAAGTATATATATGTACGAAAAAATCCGGAGATACAAAATATATTACGGCGAATGGCAATAATGTGCATGGTATTACAACTATGGAACATACTGATGATATTTCAATCTGTGTGCCAGATCAACTGAAGATGGCACAGGTATTCAGTGTTTGACAACGCTTTTACCAGTAATACCTTCCAATATAACTCATACCCACCAAGAGAAATCGAAAGACAGAATCGAGGAGATCAGAAGTTGTATTTGACGATTACCAATATATCGGAATTATCTTATCTAATCTCGCTAGCGATTGCAGTAGCAGTCGAGCACGGCGTTCCCACACGTGATCTGGTGCGGATGCATGACCGAGCACCTTCATCTAAGTGAGCCCATTAAAACATGTGGTCAGCATCCAATGTCGTAAACTTACAGAGCTATTTATTTTTGGGTATTATTTACCTCTACACCTCTGGCTAAATGGTGCAAATGGAACAAAGTATTTGACAAAGCTACTGTCCGAAATCCCTTCTTACACAAAAATACGTTAGTTAATCAATCCAGATTTTGAGGTTGAATGGGTGAAAGGATCTAAAAAAAGTTAAAAGTCGGTGCGATTGCAACTCAACAGTTTTCAGAGTTTAAGGTATACACTACCTTTATAAGGTTACTGATGGCGCGCAGTTTCGACCAACATCGTCACCTTGATAAGTGACAACCTGGTGATTGGTTGGTTTCTTCCTGGTTAACATGTAAGTATCATTCTAGATAGTCCACATAGTTCTTCGAACATTTTCACTTTGTCGCAGTTAGACCACTAAAATTTTCCAGTTGCTACTATGATAAGAGACCATATTCGTGGCCATATTTTCAGTGATTACTCGGGATCATTTGGATGGGTTTTCTAAATATGAGGCTCGAGTCTGCTGCTCAGTATTTCGATGTTTCTTGTTTGTTCTGTCAATAAAAAGGAAGGATTTTTATCGAGTTTGACTACAAATGAGCACAGATAATCTTCCAAAACAATTCACGTGTTTCGTGGAAAGTAAACTATTCTTCCATATATCAGCAAGTTACCTGTTCCCCTGAATTTTCCTCTTTATGCCCCCAAGTTTACTTGAGTGAGAATATGTTGTTTGTTCTCAATTATGTACAAACTACCACGTGATAGTTAACTGATCGAGATTTAGCATCATATTTCTTCATACACATCGCCCTAATATACCATTATAAAAGCGCACAATAGAAATTATTATTCCGTGCTAAGTATCAGAAATCTCTGACTTGTCTACTATTTACATGTTATGTCTAAAAAGGTGACTTTGGAATGACGGCGAGACTCTAATTTAAGGACGACCTTTGAACGAATCTTAAATGACGACAATTATTAGTCAATCAGGACACAGTAACTATAAAGTGAAAATATATTGTAAGTAAGTAATGAATTACAGTGGATATTCTTCTTTTACTTGATTTAAAAACTTGTTAATGTTTCATAAAGGTTTAGAGGTTCTGAATTCCTAATGCATATGGTATAGAAACTCGTCCATGGGATTAGGGTTTAGGTTAGGGTTGTAGCATTTCAATAAACACCTCTTCTACAAAATCCGATGTAAACCGATCGCATGTTAGCACCCTAACCCCTAACCTAACCTCAACCCTAATCTTAAATCTAACCCTAAACCCTAACCCTATGGACGAGTTTCTATACCATATGCATTATGAATTCAGAACTTCTGATCTTTTATCAAACCTTAACAAGTTTTTAAATCAGGTAAAAGAAGAATATCTACTGTAATTCATTACTTTCTTGTAATATATTTTTACTTTATATTGTCTTCTAGTTGGCTAATAATTGAAATTGCTCGAACGCTTCTGATTGGCTCGTCCCTAAATTAGAGTCTCGCCGTCCCATCTGTTGTAACGTCTCATTAATCACCTACTCTCTAAAATCCGCTGTGAACCGATCGTATGTTAGCATCGCGTGTTGAACTCGGCTCCGTGACCTTGAAATTGCTCAAACGCTTCTGATTGGCTCGTCCCTAAATTAGAGTCTCGCCGGAATGACTATCTGCAAATGCGAAATGGAGTTTTTAATTAGTGTGAAAATTTTCGTCCCGTCTAATAAATATTGCAAATCGGGTGTAACTAATTTATGGATGTTCTTTGAGAGACGCTAGATTGACCTTGAGAGCGTCCAGCTAATAACCGCTACCAAATGAGGGTTATATAGCTGTGAGGAATTAGAGTTATGATTTACAGTTAATGATCAAGGTTAGAAATTAGACCTAGGGTTTTCATCACGAACTGACTTCAGCTATAATACCAAAACTATATAGCCAAATAGATGAGTGAATTTCTCACCACAATCCGAGACCTGTTATACGTGATTGGTTCGTCCATAAATCATAGTCTCGCCGCTTCTCCGTTTGTAGTTTGTCAGGAAATTGAATAAGTCTAGTATGGAAGTTGGTATTACATGATTAGTGCTTTCTACGTAACGACTATTTCTTAAGGTAACTAATATTTAGCTGTGCTTCACTAATGACCGAGATTGTTAAACATGGTTTCAGAAGAAATTATAGACGAGGACAAGTGTGAGTTTTGTGGATATTATGTCGAAGCGTGAGACTAAAATCCATAATCAGAAAACTTTTTTTGGGAATTCGTGTAGCGAATCGACGGCGTTTTCCAAAAGTCAATAGAAATGCTGGTTAAATTTCTAAAAAGAAATTCTCGACCCAAAAAAATCTTTGTCAATAGATCCTGAGTGAATAAAGATTTCTTGATTCTTTATTGAAAGTTGGAAGAATTTTCTTAATGTCAGTTAAAATTTCGGGTAGATTCTGTGTGGTAATTTTGTGAAATCACAAACGCAAGTGTGTCAGAGAGCTAGAATGTTAAGACTTTAGTACTTCAAAACACCTGTTTGATACTTTACAAAATTAGACTTACGGAACATTTCGTTTGATCGGACCAAATATTTTCGTTATTCAAGGAAGATAGCTAATATATACATCTTAAACTATGCGTTTAACCTACATAACTCTTGAATGTCTGAAGTTGTAGAACTGCTGTTATGCACCAACCGGCGGTAAATTATCGGAAATGACAACTATTCTATTTGAGAGATGCCAAATAATGTATCTCGTTACAATTAATCTGTAACTTGGAGAAGCATTTAAACAAGCTTCACTGTAAAATGTTTCTTTTCACTTCTTTTGTTAGAAAACTATCTCCATCTTTTGTAGGCTGTAAATGATCTTTTGCTGAGCGTCTCTGGGTTAAGTGAAATCTGATTACAAATGGATGAAATTAATATGAGTCTACTAAATATATCAACAAATGATAATAAAGAACTACCTGTCATGTGGATAAGACAATTAATTTCAAAGCTTAATATTTCTCCAGACATTCGAAATGAACCCTTATTTGAAAAAGCTGTCAATGAGTTAGCGTCTTCAAATCTCGAAAACTTGTCTTCCTCAGTGTATCAGTTACGGACCATTCGCGATGTTCTAAAAAACAAGATTAAGTCATTGGCTGCAGAAAATTATCACATTTTTATAGATACCAAAGATGCAAGTCAGAATATCTTGGAGAAGACTTCAGAAATGTCAACCGCCAATCAAGCTTTTCTATCACAAATTACTGACTTTACACAATGCTGTAGTGATATCTTATTAAAGACTCGCTCCATTGAAGCCTCTCTTAAAAAGAATAGAAGTGCCTTAGAAAATCACACACAGGTAGATTTTTCTTCGTTTCTATTGTCATTGATCATTAAGTTACTAGAGATAATTGAACTTCCACAGCTAATGCAAACTTGTGTGCATAATGGTCATTACGATGACGCAATATCTATTTTTGCTTATACTAAGACGTTGTTCAGTAAATATGGGTCAAGGTACTCTGTTTTACGTATGATATATTCGCAAGTGTCTGCTGTTGCTTCACAGTTTGTTCATCAGTTGTATAACCAGTTGAGATCACCTCTATCTCTTTCTTCGTGTATCAAGGTATGTATTCTTGCACCACTTTGTATTTTTTAAATATTGCAAATAATTCTCAGTATATTCTATATTGAAAAAACTATCTGGATTATGGTGTAGCATATTTATTTACATCAATCTGATAGTAATGTCATAATATGATGGACAAGAATTTAGGAGTGAGTTAAGATGTGACATTTAGGATCGACATTTTCTGACCACTACCTTCCGTTGTGAAAAGGTAGTATCACTGTAAATGCTGGTTACCTGAAACACTCCACTGCTGTCACAACCCCGTACAGACATCTCAAAGGACCGATAGCAGTGATCATCTGCTGTATCTATCCTAAGACAACAGTTTATTATTAGTATTCATCAAGTCCAAGCATAAAAAGAGATACCGTTTGACATGATAACCCTCGCAGTCGAAGAAATGATAAACAAAAATAGACCATATAGTCACCAGAAATCGTTGTAGAGGCTCGATAAAACTCACTTATTACGGAGCACATGTCTGGACTCTGGTCATGCTCTAGTACGAGCACGTGTTTGTTTACTTCTTACTGGACTCAGAAGAGCCATATGAAGTAAATCCTTCAGAGTTCAACGCAAGGGTGAAAATGTCAAGAGCATATTTCAAAAACAACTAGTAATGCAGTCGGTAGTTAGTTAGCTGGCCTTCAGCTACTCTACAACTACACACCATTCCCAGACAGCCTGAATGGAACATTTAAGTAGGTCACGCAACTCGAGATGAAGCTCAAAAGGCTATAGCTAATCTGGAACGAGAAAGAGCAGTTGGTTCATATGGATTGGCTCCATAGGTCTTTAAGTATGATGGTCCAATTTTAGCGATTAGGTTGACTAATATTTTAACTAAGGTCTGGGAGTTGGACGTAATCCCATCTAACTAGTCACAAACACTTATCGTCCCAATATATAAGAAGGGGTCCAAATCATCCTGTGACCACCATAGAGGGATTAGTTTGACTAATATAGCATCTAAAATATTAGCCTCGATAATTATCGGACGTCTAACTAAGACTCGGGAACTGCAAACACGAGAAAATTAGGCTGGCTTCAGACCTGGTTGTGGCTGCATCGACCACATATTCGCCATTCGTCAGGTTCTAGAACACAGACATACTTATCGGCATCCGAAAATTATAGTTTTTCTTGACTTGAAAGCAGCATTTGACTCTGTAGACCGAGAGGTTCTGTGGCAGTGTCTGTCATTTAAAGGTGTACCTCAGAAGTACATAAACCTTGTGAAGGCTCTTTACTCGAACACTACTAGTCGAATGAGAGCTTATGGCGAACTGTCGTCTGCTTTTGCAACCACAAGTGTCCGTCAAGGCTGTCCACTATCTCCATTTTTGTTTAGTTCCATCATAGACCTACTGATGGAAATAACGCTCTCATTGACTCAATTTTCGGTCATTGATCTCATATCAGAAGGTTCACTTATCGGCTTAGAATACGCAGGTGATATAGTCCTGTTTGGTGAAGATGCTGATAAAATGCAGAGTTTTCTGGTAGCACTGAGCAACAATGCCAGAATGTTTGGAATCCGATCCTCTCCCTCTAAATACAAGTTGTTGCTTCAGGACTGATCTGCGTCAACACCTGAATTATGGTAAGTCAGTTGATGAGATTGTGAATTTTAACCTACTGAGATGATCGGGCCACATGTTACGTATGTCTGAACACCGATTGCTACGACGCGCAAGCTGACTGGTGTTAAAGATGGTTGGAAGAAAGTTAGGGGCGGCCAAACCGAAACGTGGCATCAGTGCTTGAAGTCACTAACTTTTAGTCTGAACCATGTTGGTAGATGCAGTCTACTTGATTGGGGTTCGCGTGACTGTCGTAACGTCTACTGAACTGATAGGTTCTCAGAAACTAATCAAAGGAGCAAGTATAAAAAATTCATGAGTTAGTAAAACTATTTCCGACAAAGATAAGACAATGATCCACTACCAATCTAGGGGTCTGAAAAACTTGGCAGGACACTTTAGAGAACAGTCCAACTGCTCTCTAGGTGCTCTCCAGTTGCCTTCTTTTACCTAGCGATTTGAATAGATTGTCAACATAAGCCCCCGGACTATTAGTGAAGTGGGAAAAGCCATATGTAATCTGAAGCGATAGAAGGAAATAGACCATGATGGATCTGCCTCTGAGTTCTTGAAAAATAGTTTTCCAGTATTAGTCGTTAAATTGACTGAGATCTTAGCTAGAGTCTTATATATCAGGTCTCGATCACTGATCGTTCCAGTCTATAACAAAGGTCAAAATACCTCTTGTGACAGTCACGGAAGAATCAGTTTGACCAATATCGTATCTAAAATATTACGCTCAATAATCATATAATCCTTAACCAAAGCTTGTAAAAAGCGAACTCTGGAGAGTCAGGCTGTTTTCAGACTTGGGCGTGTAGACCACATACTCACACTTCACTAGGTTATAGAACACATAAATATCTGCGAACTACCAACCATAGTTGTGTTTCTCGAACTTGCGACGGCGTTCGACTTCGAAGGTGGGCAGGTTTTGTGGCAGTCTCTTTCATTGAAAGATGTACCGAAGAAGTGTATCTACCTTTTACAGGCTCTATTTTAACACTGCTAGTCGAGTCAGAGCTTATGAGGAAATGTCATTAAAATTGATAGATTCAAGTGTTCATAAGGATTTTCTGCTTTCCCTGTTTTTATTTAACTTCTCAATAGATATTCTTTTAGAGATAACGTATCGTCTGACTTATCAGGAATCAATCTTCTACCAGGAGATTCACTTGTTGACTTGGAATACGTAGATGATACAGTCCTGTTTGATGAAGAGACTGACAAAATACTTTCTTCCAACCAGCTTAAACAAAAACGTACGTATATTTGGGATGCGTTTCTTTCGCTCTAGATGAGAAGCTTTGCTTCATGATTGGTCTGCATCAACATCTGAACTAATGATAGGGAGTGAAGTAGTTAGGTATGTCGACAACTTCATTTGTCTTAGAAGTTAGGAAATTAAATTGACATGGTTCAAATTCGGTCCCATCTGTTCCTTTTACTTGGGTTTCCTTTACTGTCAGTTTTAGTTTTCATCCGCTCATACTCATACTTGTTACATTTATTCGATTGTGCTGAAGTAAGTTGTGACTTATTAGACCGATATACATGTCTGTTCCACATCTGTCAGCCTATCATTATTACTCAGCATATGTAAGCACTGTTTTTTATCCTGTCACACTCCTCACACTTAGCTTTCTCATACTAATTCTTCTCCTATTGGTTTTATGATTTTGATCAGGTAATTGCTTTTCATTACTTAACACATTTACTAGCAAAGCTAGTCAGGAAGGATTTATAACCTCATCTGTTGATTTATGTTTCTGCTTATAACTTTGCATCTAATTTCAATAATACTCGTACATTCCATATGATAAATTAGAGCTCTGAGCTGTGTAAAGTTCGTGCTGTTTCATGCTTCGCGTTCTGAAGTTGTTATTGCTTACACTTCAGGTGTTAATCAAATAATGTTTTTTTCATGAACAATTTTTAGTGACATCATTCTTAAAATGCTTTGCGTTTCAGTTTTTCATTATTCACAACTAACATTGTTTAATTCCTAATTAAACCGAATGCATTTCATTACAGACCGTCGTATTTCTTCGTAGAACAGGACTATTGAGTGAACAAGAACTGCGGTTGAAATTTCTCCAGACACGGACAAATTGTCTTAAGAGTCAAATCAACTCATCTTTATTGGCATGTACACCAAAGGAGTTAGTTGGAGTAGATAAGAGGGAAAAGCTGTCAGGATTTCTCCCTTTTAAAGAGTCTCATGATAAGTCCTATTGGGTGGCTACACGACGTATTGAAGTGACGCGCGTACATCTATTTGACATAGTCACACAGTATCGGTAAGAGTAGAATCAAGTAGTTTGTATTGAAATAATTTTTTTAACATTCATAGTTAACTTGGACCAATTTATAATACAGTACCCACTGAATGAGTGTTGGAGTGATGCACCGTTTTCCTATTATTTCTCTCAAACTAAATATTTCTCCATTAGCAAGCTTGTATGATTAATCTTGCTAACCGGGGAGCAATTTATTAAATGATGGAGATAACTGAACTGATGATTCGTATAGCAGACAAAACGTCTAGTTATTTAATTGGAAATCTTGTGAAACTAAAATGATTATTTATTTTGAAGAAATTTAATCGAATTATTTTAAGCATAGGATACATTTCAGATAGCATTATTAATCAAGCATGTAAATAATGATCATTTAATGACCAATAAAGTTTCAGTTTTATCTTTTATATCAACCTAATCGTCAATGCTTTGATTATCTGTCATCACTTGTCTTTAAACTTACCATTTTATCTTACTATACTTGAGAAATCATTAGGAGTGGGTGTGCATAGTGCATCTTATTAGTATACTTTAAAATGTACTGTCAAACAATGGTTAATCAAAAATCAAACCCAAATATTATTGTTGCATGTGCTTGATTAATGAAAGAATGGGTGCGATCTATGGGAAATTGTAATATTCACATGGTAATCTGAAATCCTTTAAGTGTATTTGTACTGAGAAGTTTAGGCATACCAAAAATTAAGACTCTATTTTGAAATCCACTTATTCGCTTGTTAATTTGAGTGTATAATATACTTTTTCTGAACTACAGGAATCCATTAACTGTAGCACTGTGGTATTTCTTCATAAATGGTAGATACTAATTCAATGTACAGCTTTTATTATTTTCTTTTTTAGAGCGGTATTTCCAGACGAAGATAGTATTCTTCCACAAGGATTGAAAATTCAAGGAAAGTCACTACTATCTAAATACTCGGGGAATCCAATTTACTCAATTAATTTATTAAAGGGATCTAAAGATATGGATTATTATGAATCTAGTCCAAATTTGTTACATGCTTGGTTGGTTAATCAAGTGGCAGAATTTCTTAACAATCTCTGTAGTGACCTCCAAACTATGATGTATCAACCTAAATGTACTCCACAGGAGCTGACAGATCGTCTGTTAAGAGCTACTGCAACAGACTCTAACAATTACAAAAATAAACCATTAGGAAATATTTGTTTAGAGACGCTATTCACTCAGGTGCAGTCATTAATATCACAATCAATGTACTTTGGACGATCATTTCATCGGATAGGCTGTGATTTCAGACCACATTTGGCTAACCTTTTTTGTTACCAAATTGAATCATTTATCAAGGTTAGTTGGGTCGACACTAGGGTTACTATATTTTGACTTATGTACCGGATTTTGTTTGTATAATGATTAATATTTTTCCCTAGTTTCCTGAATGTTTTGTGGCCCGTTGATCTGACTCCAAGTTCAAAGCACGAATGAATATGCCATGAATATAAATCTTCCATTTAACTTCGTATATTACCCAGGCTAACGCCGTCTGGGTGATAGCAGTCATAAAGAGTCATATATGGGTTAAATTCGATGAATTTACTTCAAGCACTCATTTATTCAGACAGACATCAAAAATGAAAAATGGGAAAGCTAAGCAAAGCGGAGAAGGCGAGTAAACCAACTTGTTTTGATAAAACGTGACTTAATATTTATAACCACATAAAAATAAACTGAAAACATATAATGAATCGGGTAATCAATACACACGCGCTCATATAAAAGCAGCCAAGGTTATAAGTCAATAATTGACGAGGTTAAAGTGTTACTCAAGAAGAATAAATAATCTGATCTGTCTGGAAGCAAGAATAACTCATGTGAGCTTGACAGACACATCTTAATTTGTAATGTTTAGTACTTAGTGAAAATGTCCCACAAACTGTGTACAGCTTATTTTAGCACTAAATGGCTTGACATAGAATATTTGTGGGTTTGTATTAGTGACGGCGTATTAAGCATCCCTCGGATTACAGCGCTACTTCGTCGTGGTGGTCTGGCCTACCGGTCCTGATGGCCCAGTCAAGTTATATTAGCGAGGTAGTATCACATCAGGCAGGTCAGTTGGAGAGCAATAGGAATAAAAGTACCGAAAGTTGGTCCGATGGTGACGTTGTACTCCCGACTGTAGTGGAATGTGACGGGAGATGTTTGCACCAGACAACTACCATCACCAGCAGTGATGCTTTCTCATAATGGAAGAAAGGGTCGTGTATAGTCGACCTCACCTTATCTCACGGACTTCCGTAGGCGGCATTAAGATCTGAAGAGTCTGGGGCTTCTGCATCAGAGACTACTCATGAGACGGTTATGTGGCCTGTCTTAAGCAGTTGTTCCTTGGCTCTGTGATCACGCTACCGGGTCGACAAAATCATCCTTAACCCAGTTTGACTCCTGAATCCTTCAAGAAGAGGTGTGTAATATTTAAGAGATAGAGTGGATCATGATTCCAAGTCCAGCAGATTAGAACAACGTGCTGAATACTCGAAAGGACAGTTCAACTGACCTCTAGCCTATTGTTCAGTTACCTACTATTTATAAACAGCTTAAATAAGAAACTGACAGGAATCCCCCAACTTTTAATAAGACTGAAAGGACGTAAGAGGGTCAGTTCTTAATAGGCTACTTCCAGAGGTAAACTTAAGTAAAAGCTAAATATACTCAATTCATCTATGTTTTAGATATTTATATGCATTATCAAATAATAAAATATCAGTCGGGCAGTCACCACTTGTTATTAAAGATCGATGACTAAGCTTTGAATTAATGATTACAAATGAACTCTATAAAGTAAATATGCTAGGAGACTTTTTCCGAGATAGAATAGTTCCCGTTTTTTTCTTTTTCCATTATGTTTTGTAGAATTATATTGACAGTATTGTATCGGAGTTTAAATTTGCACTTGCTAATTTTATTTGGCGAATTCCATCTGATGAAAATGTTCAGATTAATGGAACAACTCATGAAGAAGTAAATAACAGTGAATTGAATTCTTTTACAAAACTGACTAATATACTACTAGAATTCCCTCCACTAATACTGCTTTACAATCATTTTGTTGAATTATTTCATGGATTAAATATCTGTTGTCCAACTGGTTTGAAAAACAGGTAAGCTGTAACTTTTTGAGGCATTTCGAAAATTAAATCACATAGGTACAAAGACTAGACAGTCATACTTCTGTATAGAAAAGGATATAAATGATAATGGGTGGTGAGATTGGGCATGAAATAAATTTTTAATAAATTAGACAGGGGGGAACCGAACTAGTATAGAAAATTTAATCCTACTTTACATGTTCTCAGCTTAAGCGTACTGCTTTGTAATCCCTAATCCCTTTTTAATGTCATATATAATGTGAAAACTCAGAATATCATGGTATATATATGCAGAAAGACAGAAGAGGCTGCTTATTTACAAAGTAACGACATAAAATAAACATGACTATATATCATGGGCGATTAAAAAGAATCAGTTGTATAAGTTGTTTACTCTAAAATCCAGTACAACCTGACCCATCATATCACGAGCCAAATAGTTACGATATTCAGTCTATGACCCTCAGTTTCAAAGAACCTTAAGATTTTGATATCTGATTAGGAAATCTGACGTATTTCGTACTGTTGTAATGACGAAGTGAATTGTGGCATATTGCAGTTACGTTTATGTTGTTTGATCATATGTTATTTGCTATGTGAACGTTATTTGGTCTTTGTATCCAACCAGATGTGAAAATCGATAAATGAATAAAAATAACGTCAATTTGTCACCACATGATGGAGGCTGAAAATACAAATGACCTTGACACGGCGATTAAAAGTCAGCAAGTAGAAAATACATTGTGTACACCGAATAACAAACAATATGGATTCACAATTATACTTAGTTTGTTTCGGATAATCGTTCTTTTCCTTTTACTGACTATTTTTCCTCTTAGATAACTAGACACCACAACTAGAAGTTTAAAAGGGTGGGATTCCTCCGGAACTAAAAATTTGTATCTTCTAAAAATTTAATCTCCTACTTCTTTATTATTCCAGTAGAGTTAGTGTAAATGAGAATGTGCAGGCCAGACTGCATCGATAGCAATATTTATGCAGTCCTATCTATACTACTTAGTAATTAGGATAATTAATCAAATAAAAATTCAAACTAATCTTCGAAAGGACTGGTCCACATTAGACGATATAATCAGTCATTTGTAATTTATTAGTCACATTATCAAATCATAAAATTCAGGTGAAGTAGCTTTTTAAAGATTTTCGTACTTAATAAAGGTAATTTTCATCACGAATTGACGCTAGTTGAAGAACCATTGAAAAGCTAAGTACAGGTATTCATCTAAATATGGGACTTTTTACTAGTGTATCACAATCCTTACATGAAACCGAACTTTGTATCGTAATTGTGTGTTGTATCTTAAAAAGAAACGAACAATTTTGTTTTGTCCACGCGTGATCATGTTACTTATCATTAGACTACATAACTATCGTGTCCACTTATAGATTATTTCGCTCATACCACTTGTCGAGTCAATGACTTAATTTACCAATAATTTTATTAACCAATGAACAATGACCAAGACTTTAACGATTATTGATCCTTGAGTTCCTTCCAAGTTAGTGTCCAATAAGAAGTTGGATTTCGCAATCACGTATCTCTATTGGGTAACCGTTTTGTTATATTACTCATGTCATATGATAATATAAACTAATTTCTTGACTGCTAATCAACATAAGAAAATTAACTAAAATTAATTTATCATTAACATTGGAGATCTGCACATAAGTGAAACACGAACTAAATTATAGATAGATCTGTGATTAATAAACAATAACTTAAATAAGATAAAACATACAAACATTAGTTTATAAGTTTAACAAAATAAACTACAATTAAGAGAATATCAGAATTTAATAATTCAAAATGTCTGCTAGTTATACAATATAAATATCAACAAGAATTCTTTATAAGATAGTTCTGAAAATTAGAGCTTTCTCAATATTTATTCTATGTCATAATACTGTGCCATTTACTTTCAAACAATTTATGCTTAATTACAGAAAATTTGTGATATGATTAATTACCTATTATTTTATTCGATGTGTTGTATAATTAATAGATTCTAATTGAGTCCTAATCTCCCAATTGTGAAGAATTCTTGAAATATACATTTCAAGATTTCCATGTAGATGCAAATGATTGAGACTCGTTTAATTAAATTTCTTTTTGTTATAAATCTGCCCTCGAATACCCTGGTACGGCCGAGGGTGGGGAGAGTTCACTCTGCCTCTCAAAATGCTCTCACATGGCCACGTGTATATAGTCGCTGTCAGGGTGGTGGGATTGTTGTTTAAAAAAATTGAGAGGACAGAAAGCGAATATCCGGCGCTTTAACCCGGTTGGTGGATATGGAGTCTCCACGTAAGGGAGGGGGAAAACCTTGATTATAAACCAATGGTATACATACGCTCCAGGATCCTAAAGAAACAAATGGTGTATGAACCAATCGTTGGTCACCACCTACCATGGAACTGCATCTCTTGACGTTGCTCCATTGCCTTGTGGATTAGATCTTTATGTCGAAGGTTCTGTTTGTGGACCCCTAAGAAAACCACTTATTTCGGTCTGGGCACCTGGACAGTATCATAGCCTACACATGAATCAAGTGACTTGTGTGGTGAATATGTATTCGGTGCTCATTTGTACCAATATTTATGCGTTCAAATAAATAAATAAAATACATCTGTAGTTAACTGAAATAAAAAAATATGTATATATCTGTTGAGATTCATTAAACTATTTAACTAAGCTACAATTTACCTTTAACCCTTTCATTTGAAATTCAATTAATCATTTATTGTTCATTAACATTTAAATAATTAAAAGATGAAAGTGAAATAAAAAAACAATTTCATACTTGATTATTATTATCTTTTTTTTTCTAAAAAAAATATTTTTAGAATTATTATTATTGTATCAAATGGTTTACATGCTTGTTCATTATCTATAACAGAAATTTATGATCAATTAAAAGAACAACAAATTGATAATTGGTTAAATAATGATGTTTATTATTTAGCTAATGCATTTTGTACATCATTAACTTATTGTATTTTAGCAAATTTAATTAATTATTTATTTGTTGAAGAGATTGATAATAATATTCAAATACCAAATGGTAATCATAATAATAGTAATAATCCTATGTTATTACATCGTCCACTTTTATCAAGTTTATGTCAAATAATTTGTAAACCTATTTATATAAAATGGTCAAATTTACAACCATCAATATCATCAATGGAATTTGTATTATTAAATAATAATTCTGATCATAATCTTAATCAGATTTCATTAATAAATAATGAAAGGGAAACAATAGATTCTGTTGTGAATAATACTTCAAAGATTGAAACAATGTCATTAAGTGAACAAATCAGTGTAAATGATATATCTGATAATCATATTAAAATTGATACAATAAATAGTTAATCATAGTGTGTATAATACTTATTCTCTTTTATTTTATTACATTCTACTATTGTTATTTGTGTAAACGACTTTATTTATTTTTGTATATTTTAAATTATTCTTATCTGTATTCATTTTACGCTCAATTTTTCTTATGAGTTCGTTGTTTTGGATTGTATTAACTGTGATAATAATACATATAGTTATAGTAGTAATTGTTTCTTAAATATATAATGGTCATTCAATGTGTACGCTAACCGTTAGAGACTAATGCTGTGGTCATCGCCATGTTAATTTCTATTATCAACAAATATATATATTCAGTCATTTGTTTGTAATATGTTCAACAATGACACAATGAATAAAATACCAGATAAACTATTTGAAGATCCTATGGTTGAACTGCGTATTATTGATATGCAATAATGTGATAACGTGCATCAGGCGAGAAGAAAGTCTAGGCTTATTACAGATATCATCATTATAAGCTGTAAAATTAATCTGTCAAAACATGACTTATCTCCCATAAATCAATGCTTTTAAGCATACTCGATTGGGAACTTTGTATTTGACAAGTCGAGAATTGACTTGAGACAGAAATTAGAAAGATTAGTTTATTAAGCCAAAACGTTTAATGAAGATAATGATTTCTTCAGTGTTGAAAACAGAATTTAGAATAGATAGAATGTAGCTAGTAGTGGGGTCTAGGATGCACATTTATCTTGTTTGGGACTCGACAGCTAGATGTACCTGCATCTCATCTGTTCTATATCGACTTACATCATAATGGCCGTATTGAAATAATCCCTCACACTATGCACGTAATCAACCAAAACATTACATTCCTATCAAAATATAAACGAGAGAATCCAAACCAAATTGAAATGCAAATATATATTTTGTGCTTTTAGGAACTCATCTATTGCAATATATTTAAAAACTTTAACAGAGTATTCGGTCAGTGGATTTCACTGCAATAAGACCCATAATGTTATTGTTAGGTTGAGCATTTTGTTTTTTATGGGCTGTCTTGATCACTCTTGGGGGAACTACCATTCCCAGATGAATAATACGCCACTCTGGTTTTGCAATGCTGCAGTTGTATATTCAGATTTTACACAGCATTATTTACTATATGTATAGGTCTAGTTATTGATATAGAGAGCCAATCAGAAATGGGGAAAATCAATAATGCGTGTGATTGGTCAAGGTGTGGTGTGTGCTACTTATATTGGGATAAGTAGTATATAACGTGCGTTAAATGAACGTAATATCCGGCAGCAGAAGATGGCGAAGTTCAAGAAAGGAAGAGCAAGAACACAATGGAATTGTTAGAAAACGCATGTACAATGGAATGGGCGACAATGGATTAGTGTTTGCAACGGGAACAGTACAGTTTGATATGATCGAATGATATTTTGCAAATTGAAAATTGACTTTATGATATTCACATTTTATTGAGATAGTCTGTAATTTTTGTGCTAAATACAATCGATTGTCCCCACCTGTGTTCTCGTTCACTACAAAGGGATGAGACATATACAGTTGTTTCTTGAATTGGTCAAGTTCAAATGAACTTTCTTGCACTTACTATTTTATCTTAAGTAGCCAGTTTTGTGTATAGGAAGAATGTGTATCAGTATCAGTTCTAAGAAACTGCGTCACAAAAATTACCTTAAAAAAATTCATAACTGAAAGAACTATATACATATTACAGATAATGAAATACTATATTGTAGGGAAAGATTAAGTGTACATTATACTATTTGATTAAGATGTTTAAATAAATGTTTTCACAGCTATAATTACATTCCATTTTATATAAAAAAAAAGACTACCATTTTCCTCTTTGTTATGAAAATAAGCAAAGATAAACTAACATAAATGCAATGTAAGTTAAATAAGGATAATAACGCAGATTACTACCGTAATTGTTGTATTATTTAAAAAAATCTCCATTAAACAATATAAATTAGTATTGTGTGGTTAATAGGAAAAAAAGATTAAGAAATTTGAAAAAGATAAATCAGAACCATACAGGAAACATAAAAAGTTTATTGAAAATTAAATTCCTTTAAGTGAATATACTTTGATATTAATTCAATGTATGTATACATTTTACTTAATATAAATATATTTTAGAAGAGAAGTAAACAATATCAATAAGAAATCATACTGGTAAAGGTATAAATAGTTTGTTTGTTTGTTTTTTCAAAGAAAATATTTTCATCTGCTCAGTTCTACTGAAAATTAAAAAAAGTCAACTTGATGTAGATAAACAAACAAACAAAAAATCAAGCAAAATTTCTTGTAAGACAAAATTATATACAGTAATAGGTGTTAATAATTATACAATACGAGTCAATATATATGTATGAATGTATGTATGTATAATAGTAATTATTATTATTACCATTATTATTATTATAAAAAATAATGAGAGGAGCAAAACATGCATTTGTTTTTCTGAATAAATATTTATAATGTTTTCCTTGAATTATTAAACTGTACATGACTACTAGTATGAGAGAAACATTATACACAATATGAAATGTTGAATAAAATGGGGAAAAAATAATAATAATTATTATTATTGCATAATATAGAAATAATGATAAGAAAATTTCTTTTTTTTATGAATCATTTAAATGATTATTTTATATTTAAGATGAATAAATATCAATTAATTGAGAGAGTTGATTAAGTTCAGTGTTCAATTTCTTTTCTAATGATAACAAATTGCTATATAGATAACAAAAATAAGAAAAGAATTTATCATATAATACAATGAATATTATTAATATATAACTCAAATAAAATCTTATAATTTGACTATGATTGATAGAAGATAATCTTTCGTCTGATGGATTGATTATTAGAAATACAGATAAGACTGGTTTATTTTTGAAAATAAGTCAAAGTTAAATCTTATGTTCGACATATTTTCTATTAAATATTTATATCATAAGTATGTCAGTAAGTCAGTCGAAACGTAGAACTTCGTACGCATGTACATCAGTTCGAATTGTCACACTATATTAGCACAGAGATGCAGTGGTCAATTCAAATCCCGTAGTGGTAGAAGGGGTAAGACTATAAACAATAATCGGAAAGATTAAGATGTTATTCAAGGAGTATAATCCAGTGAAATAAATTTGGAAAGAAAATAAAGGACATGAAGAATTCAGAAGATTAGAATTTGAGAGAACACAAAGAATGGATGCATCTGCGCCATTGCAAACGATTTTGAGCCATGTCATTCAAGGTCTCTTATCATCGGTTGCTATCACCTCGCGGCCCCCAACCTGGTAGTCTACACCTACCAACACGGTTCAGTCCACTTGTCAGTGACTTCATGGATTTATGCCATGTTTTGGTCTGGTCGTCCCTAGCTTTCTTCCAACCTACTCCTATACCAATGAGCATCGCACGTCGAGGCAGTCGGTGGTTGGGCATACGTAACACGTGTCCCAGCTATCATAAGTATGTATGTAAAGAGAATCATGTTACTATTTAGTTGTATGCAAGCTAACTTCTTCGAGTCAGTGATGTATGAAATCTATCTATCTAGTTGATCAACATTGCTTACAAATAATTGTTCAGATTCAGTTCTAAAATGTGAGAAGTTCCGTCATCTGTGCTTGTGATTATTGAATGAGAAGTATAGAAAAGTATTGTGCTCAAAATACGGTTGGAAGAATGAATATATTCACACTACCATGGCCGCTTCTGAGACGTTAGTGCTCGAACTATCAATTACAATGATTGCACGGACCACAATTAGGGAGCGTTTATTTACTGTTATGGCCCAGCTTAATAGTCAATGAATTAATAAACTGTTATCATTTGTTGATTTGCTTGCCATCAGCTTCTCTAAATTAAACTTATAGTACTTAAAGAATTGCGTCGTGGTAATCAGTAACTAAGTGTGCATAACATGTATCCCAACCAACTTGATCGACATTAGTTTAGAGTCTTGCCATCCGATTTACTGTCTCTGTTTGGCACTTTACTCAAACTATTTCTCAGTGTGTCCTGCCTATAGCTCTAATCTCTTGATCATGATAGTAAATAAGCGTTCTTGTGTTATCAGAATGTTTTTCTAACTGTTGGGTTTCTAAGCACAAATAAATGTTAGTGAAGGTGGATGACTCCAAATAAAAGACAAGTAACTATGTGATTACAATAACTGTTACCTGATACAAAGAAATAATTTTAAGAGAAATAAGATGCTCAGATATTTAGATATGATAACTTACTTTTCCATTGAACTAAGACGTGTTAACAAATTTACAATGATATCGGATGAACTAATTCTACTCAAACTTTGATTTTCAACAGGATTTGATCCTTCACCTAAAGTTGAGAAAGTCAATGTTAAACATGTTATCTGTGGAACTTAAAATATAAGTTATATGTTTCAAATTTTATGAATATAAAATATAAGAATCCAATACAAAGTATCATAATAAACTTAGTGAACTGGAAAACAATCTCTAGTGCCTTTTTCTACTTACTGCCTATTATCACTACTTATAAGATACACAAGAAAAGCAGTACTTTAATTTACTGGTGTAGTTTCATTTTCCTACTTGACTGGTTGTAATATGTCTTTATCAAACCTTATCCCATAGTGTATCTGAAAGCAGTTTTTTACATGCACTACCAAAAGATATTCGTATCTAGTTTATGACGTAAATTCAAGATCAAGTCTTGTAGTTTTCATATGATATTATCTGTTAAATCTAAACGAATCTTCTTTAGATTCATTGATATAATTTAAAAGCGACTACAATATTAGCGAATGTACTCGTTTTTTATATTAGATCTCAAGTATCTTATCGTTTGATACCTATTTTAGCTTTTCTATTCAATTCGAAATCTCTTGTTTACACGTTGTCCTGATGTAAACACTTGAATTCCAACGATTATATTGAAGCTTCGAATTCAAAATTTTAATTGAAACAACCAAGTAGTAAGATAATCAGTAGTTAGAAAGATTTCATCCCAATCTTTGAATACATTTAATAATCATACTGTCTTATGACTGACAAATACATAATTACATCTGCTTTTTATCATCAACATCTTGTTTAGTGTGTCTCTTATCAACCAGTTTAGTCTAAAAATGATTGTAGGGCAGAAGTACTAAATCAACTGGGACTAAAGAATATAAATCACTGTCAGAAAACGTCTGATATTCCAATGTGAACAAACTATTTGAACCTCGATTTGGAGTTAAAAAAAAACGTTCCTGTAATAACCAGTGGGAAGCTGCATGTTTTAAATTCTTTTAAGCTATATAATTCGAGTAAATGGAATAAAATCAAAGCTGTTAATTGCTCCAGTTTGAGGAGCTTGATGTTTGAACACTAGCGCACCGTTAACTGAAATTATATGCTACATTTATGAGTGTATTCTAACAACATAGATGTAGGCTTGCCGAATAACCACTTGAAAGAGTTATTGTCATATTGCACCTTTAATGTTCAGTTCAGTTTCAACAGTGAAATATCTGAATATATACGACTAGTATACACTAGTAAGAATTTTGATTTTTGTATTCTCAAAGGATAAGCTTTCTCGTCTATGTGCATTTACCAGTTTACCTGTTCTTGTGGAGCAAAGTACATAGGCCGTAACCAGTGCTTAATTTCAAGTTGGATACGAGATGTACCAGTGTGGTTCTACAGGAGTAAGAGGAAAACAGTGAGTTCTGTTCTTGAGCATTTAATTGATTATAATTAGTTCACCGATCCAAAGGTTATTTATATAATCGATCCAAATGTCCCAATATTTCTTGGTATTTAAATTCTTAAAACAGTAGAAGTTCTTCCCATTCATGAAACGTAGCCGGAACTTTATGTATAAACGAATTACCTTTTATCGTTTTCATTTCATGATCATAAAATGTTATTTTATTACTATTATTGTTACTATCTTATTTTGCTTTTGATGATATTCTTCTGTCTTTAATTATTTTTTTTTATATCCTCATGATTTTATTCATAATTGTTTCTAATGTCACCTCACTTCATTTAACCCCTTTTATACCTCAAATTATTGTAACGAAAACGTTTCAATTATCTTATTTCATTCACAAAAGAAAAAAATCTTGTTAACTTATTAATTTTTACATGGCTTTTATTATTTACACTATATAATCTACTATCATAATCTTTCTTTCACAATATCTGTTTATTCATTATTCCTATGTCCTCACGAAATTCATACTTAAAATTTTATATACGTACAATTATACAACTTGATTAGCATAAAAAAAGGCATAGGGCAGAGTGGGTTGAAGAATGCTGGTCGGCTGCCTATGCTCCATTGGGAGTAACAGGTGTAAGTAACTTGACTAGCATAGGATAAAATATACACGACTAGTTAGGTAGTTTCTTTGAAGTAAAACAAAAAAAAACACTTACAGAAAGTTAACAAACTATGTAGTATGCAATTCATGAAATAAATAAATAGTAACAATAATGACAATATTTATTGGGAAAACAGTACTATACCCCTTTTAATAAATTGCTTGTTGACTTTTTTAATTTTCTTTATAGTTGCATTTATGGTCAATGTTGATTATATCTTAATTTATAATAAACAATGAAATGTTTTAATAATTGTTCATTTATGTTAGAAATGACCTTAGAAATTATTTGGTCACTATAGATAGTAGCCTCATACTCATGAACTTGAAATAGTTACATGTATAATAATAATTATTATTGAAAATAGGGACAGACTAATGAAAAGTTAATATAATCGAATATTATATACTCAAATACGTCGATAACGATATTATTTATGAACATATGTACATTAAATATATTAAATAAATCTCATATGAATGATCATGGATAGGCACCGCTGAGGAGTCCCATACTAGGACGAAGTGACCGTCCAATGCTTACAGATTTTCAATGGTGGTCTATCATTGATAGGTTCATGATCTCAGTTAGAAACCCAACAATCTCCACAACTCTATGCTATCTGAAGGTTGTACTGATAATGTCGTTTAGAAGAACGATGAAAGCTCTACGATCAAACCATCGAGCTCAGAAAAAAAAACTCCTTCAAGAAAATAAATATTATTATCATTTATTAATAATTGAATAATAATCAACCTTATTGTATTACGAAAGACAATTCTATATGAATGCTTCTTTTGCTGCAAGGTTATTTGACTATACTTGGTTATGATAATAACGTAAACAATATGAAGTCATTTCATAGAATAAAGTGTGACTTTTGAAGGATTTTTATTGATTTAATGATGAAAATTGAGGTTTGAATTGAATAAATCTTTATAAAAATTATCATTTTTATATTTGTAATAATAATTTGCTGATTTAATGAACAATTCTGTTAAGAACCTAAATTCCTATTGCAACCGTAAACCTAAAAACGAGTTACACAATAAATGACCTTTATGATATTATACAAATTATCTATGTTCAGATATTTAAATGACTTATTGCACTACTATTTATTGTTTCTGTAATGTCTTAAAAAGTACTTAAGTTTTATGTGAAATACTGAGGAGGAGTTCTAAACTAGGACAAATAAATTCTCCAGTTTAATTGTCAATTCGTGATAAAAAATTATCAACTGTAAAGTTAATGACGTCTTATATTTTATATTGATCACAATTTATCAGATTAGTGAAATTGTTATATAGTAGCGCAAATTAAATTCTGAGTAACTTCTGAGAATGATTAATGGACAAATATTATATACATATTCAGTAACTAGATTATGCATATTTATATTCCTCTTATTATCAGGTTTATTTTGATCTACATATTTATTATACGATTTATTATTCTTAAATTATGCCCAGTTTATTAATTACAGTCTCTCACAATCACAGTGACTATTTGGCTTGATCTTGTACAATTTTTATTTTTTGTTTTATGGTACGATGTGGTCTGGCTGGTTTGTATATAAACCAGGTATGTTTGACATAAGTGATTCGTATAGTGGAAGCTAATATTAGTGTTCTGGAATCAACAGGCAAAGCTAGGCAGAAGAAAGGACCGATAATGACGCTAGGCTGCTCATACAGGTCAATACATCATTGGTTCGGTACAGTGCTAAGATTGTATAAGTCGTATTCTGATTGGCGAGTAACTCACGTGATATTTAACCAGCCAACAGTCACAACAGAAATAATTCACTTAAATAGACTAGGATTTACTAAGATGATAAAAATCCATAAGTAAGAAGGGATCCGTAAACTACTACTAACCTACAAACTGATTATGTATTTGACAATATCTATCTTTTTTAATACAAAATAAAGTATACGCTGTAAAAACTTCTAAATGATCCAGTCGTTAACTGGAGATTTTTAGACAATTCGGTAATAAGCCCCTTAGTGATAAGTTTTACAGTGCAATATAATCATCATGGTATTAATAAAATCTAACAAAAACAGTCCCGATTGTTCCATATTTTAGTATTTATAGAATGCTTTTTACAATATTAGTTTAAACTGGCTAATGTACACATGTTTAACTAGAGATCATTTCAGCGTGGATTTTATAAAATACTTATATGCAGCACTAAAATTTGTAGATCTTTGAGCACTACTACAGAAGTCGTTATTTGACAGTAGATTGCATCAGAGGCTAGCAACAGTGTCATATTGGATAATCAAAGTTAGCCAGCTAGCAAATTGTCATTAAAACTGAGCCCAACTTCATAAAGACAGTTCAGTTATTAGTGAACAAAAACCAGAAATACGAGAATAAAAAAAACAATAACTTACAAGGCTTGGAATTATTAATTAAGGAATGAGTCGGATGAGTTATTGCAGATGATGGCTGTGAAGTATCAGCTGAATCTTCGACTATTGATTGTTTATCATGAATAGGATAGTACATTATTTTATTTCTTGACGACAAACCAACTATGTCCAGTTCATTATTATTATCATTAGTAAATGAAAACACATTAGGATCACATGTATACATATTGTTGTACCGATTAATTTGTTCAAATGATTTAGTTGATGAGATATTTGGGTTAATTAACGGCTTTTTCCGAACAATTGGTGATTGGTCATTTGAGTAACAATCAATAAAAGGCATACTATGTATGTTACGAATATCTACAAAAAATATCAGGTTAATAAATAAGCAGTCAAGATAAATCATTACTTAATGCAAATTCCTAAGTAAAGCTAGCTTAACTGTTATGTCATTTTTACTACAGAAGATTCGTCGAGATTGTATAATTTTTCAAGTGTGAATCCTGAGTTCAATGCCAGTCGGATGTAAGACAGTTATCCACCGCAGTCAATAGATAACAGTTGTGTAATATTGTGTATTATCCCGTTTTTATCAATAAGCTCTTATCTAATTCCTATTTGTTTGTTTAAATACAAGTGGTGATTATCCAATTGAAACATTACTAAGTTCATTTCAATGTTAATCTCGTCAATGCACACGAAACTAGTAATTAATTGTGATTTTGCTGAAATTTGAAAAAATTTCAACTGTTCATCATTAAATGGAACTTAGTTCAGTTCAGTCAACTAAATGATATAAAGTGTTATTGTTTATTATCATTTGATTTACATGACTATTATAAGTATTACCACTACATTCTTGGTAGTTATCCTTCCAGATATGTTTTATATTACGAATGTACAATTTGTAAATAAATCCTACTGTTGAAAAATTTTCTATTTACTGAATTCATCATTTCTACTATTTAGAGAAATAGAAACGAAAAAAGAAAAATAAATTTACGTATATTTTAAAATATTCCATGGATTTTCCCATAAACAAAATGTTTTTCTCATAGTTTAAAACTTGCCTCACATTTTGTAAAAAAAAACTCACTTAAACAAAACAAAAATTAAATTCTCTTTAGTGTCTAACATCAAACTGAAATTCTTGAATATCTAGTCAGAAACCAACTCATCTGTTAAATCAACCAAATTAGAAATGAGTAAATTATCATTCTATGCTATTGGGTAAAAATTGAGGTTTATTGACTGAGGTAAAAAAAACAAACATTTTAAAGACTCGTCATTGAAATGCATGCTTTAATGACATTGTATCAGTCGATTTAATGTATAAGTTGTTCTGTAGTCAAGCAAAGGTTACAACTTCTTCTTTCGTATATATTGTTAAATTGTTTCAAACTAGAAATCGTAGGGTTTTTTTTTTAATAAGTTGTCTTCTTTTCGTTATCAATGATCATTTAACTAATGTCGAATTTTTGTGATATAAAGCACATTTAAAAACGGTTTTTCTATATATAACTAACAGGTGAATGTATATCACATAAAGATAAAGAGCTTAAATCCCGGTAACGTTAGAATGTAATGAAATAAATATTAAAAAAAACTTTTATCAAAAAAAGAGGGGCCATTAAACTTATTTCTAGTTCTGTGCCTGTATAGATTATATACAATAAAGTTTATATGAGACATTTTTTTCATATATTTTCTTATAACTTTAACTCTGGTCATTTCATTTATGCCATTGTTGTATTATACATTTGTGTTTAAAAGTTAATAGCCTCATGATTAAAATATTTTAAATATCATTATGATGACGAAAATATGTATTTAAATACTTTTAGTCATTTAATAGATAGACTGTTTGCTTTTTTAGATATACGGTAGTTTATATTGATTGGTCTCGGTTGTTAATTACTTCAGTTTATGAGGAAGAATAGAAACCCTCTAAAATCCAGTTCTGGTAATTAATAGATGCAATGACATTGTTTGTCATTGAAAAGGTTAGCAAGGAAGTAAATTAACTTTGTACAGGCTCTCTACTCGAAGACCATTGATCAAGCCAGAGTTTAGGAAGAACTTTCATTGATCATATCGAGTGAAGTTCTTCAGGGTTGTCCACTTTCCCAATTTATATTTGAGTTTCTCACAGACATTATCATAGAGATAATGTTTTCGTTGTCTGGGTTTATAGGAACTGATTATCTACTAAAAGAATTACTTATTGATTTAAAATAAGCAGGTGACATGATTCTATTTGATAAAGATGCTAGTAAAATGAAGTCTTTTTATCACTTTGGGTTACAATGCAGGAGAATTTCAGATGTGATTTCTTCCGTCTTGATGCGAAATGTTGTTTCAGGACTAATCTAAGTCAATTCTACAACTGATGATAGCCAGTGAAATGGTTGATTATGTTGATCACTTAACTTATCTTGAAAGTTTCATCTGCCCTGTTGCATTGGTGTCAGACGACAAATCCCCAAGAATTAATAGAACTCATTTAGTTTCTGCTCGATTACACCACATGCGGTTCAGTCGACGCGTGCTTCTCCCAGGCAAAGGACGAGTTTACTGGGCGACCGTGCGCTTTTTTTAATTTCGTGTTGTGAGACATAGGCTTTTAGAAATAGATATACGTAGGTTATTAGCACTTGGCCACAGATGCCTTCGAAGAATTCCTCGAGTACGTTGGGACCGCTGAGTGAGTAACTTCGAATTTAGATGCAGGGTATTAGGTCAAAAGAAAAATTGGTTGATAAGGTGATAATTTTTCGTCAACTGAGATAGTTGGAAGATGAATTAGGTATTTTATCGATCACAGTCTACCTCAACACGATAAGCTGATTGAGGTAGGGGTAAAACGGTCGAAAGACGTGGGATAACTGTTTGAAATCCTTGTCTATTGGTTTAGGGCATGTTCGTAGATGTAGACTGCTTAGTTGCAGTCCAGTTTGATTATCGTAACCAGTGGTTAGAGATATTGGATAAAATATCTCAAAATCGATCTCAATGGCCCAAACACATTCCACTCTTCGTTTACCTTCAGACCCCAAGTTTTAAAATTATCTTATATTTTTTTCTTCCCACAGTTCTCCCATCCTTCTTAAAGTATACTGTCTATTCCTAATCATCCCTACTATCATTTATATTGTCCCTATTTCTACTACTCTTGATTTTATCATGAAAATCTTATTTCGCTATCGTATGGAAACTTGGATCAAAGCACATATGTGTCAGGTTTTACGCTAAGAATGACTGATTTCCAGCAACCGTTTTTTGTTGATTCGGTGAAAAGTTCATTTTTCTCACTATTTCACTTTTATATGATATTCATTGACTAGTTATCAAACGATATCAAAATCTATCTATAAATGAGTGTTTTATAAATTGCCGTCCATTTTTAGGAGGTGCATTGAGTCTTCGTCTGTCAACAATCTTTGTCTTCTTCTTTGTGTCATTTACGTTTCAGTCTCATGCTGCATGTACTGGTCTTTGCGGTTACATTCCATTTTATCCTATAATTTGTAATACGGATTAAGAAGTACTGAAATACAATTCTCTGACTTCATTTTATCACTTGTTTATGCAATTATGTAGTTTTTAAGGTTGCCAAGAAATTATTTCTTATCATCAAAAAAATGTCATACAATGAGTGAGAAGTTAACATGTTCAAGGAAAAATTCTAAACAGTTCATTCTATTGATTATGCATATAATTATTACCATTTATTTCATGAAGTTGAAAGCATTCGTCGAAATCTTCTTCATAATCAGAATTGTCATTACTTACACCACCATTATCATCAGCGTCATTGTTATTGTCACCAACATCAGCATTGGTTTGATGTGATATGCTAATATGTTTAGGTGAAGGATATTTAGCGAGTTTATCTGATGGTTGTATTAATTCCGGATTAAGAATGCATGGATCCGAATACTAGTAAAAACAAATATATGATATTTATATGTATAAATAGGTAAACTAATCATATATATATATATATATATATATATATATATATATATATATATATATATATATATTTATATTTATATATATATATATACATCAAAGATGAAATAGGTGTGAAAAACGATATCTTTTCGTCATCTACGCCTAAGCACTGACAAATTGCAGCTCGGATGCGATCAACGATGAGTTTTATCACCAGTTAACTGTTTTTCTCCAGAAAGTGCGTTCGACAGACATTGTTATACTAACCGGAGACTTGAATATTCAGGTCTGGAGTCTAGACACAGAAGAGAGTCGTTTGGGTGGTCGAAGGTGAAATAACGAGGACCGTCTACTGCAATTGTGCGCAGACCACAACCTGTTTCTGGCTAGCACTAACTACTGGCACAGTTATCGCGAATGTGCCATTTGACGTCACTCAAATGGGGTTAGTTCGGGTAATATACGGAGCTAAATTAAAGATTTGTGTTTATAGTATATTCATACAATGGTCTACAATGAAGTCAGATCAACGGGCCACAAAATACTTACTCATATTCATACTATTGATGGAATTATAGGATGCAAACACTTTATATTGATAGATTAATATGTAACTCACACTATCTCACGTTTACAAAATGACAATTACAATACTTATGAATTCAAGAGAAAAGAAAGCTTATATGCGTTGGTAGAAGTTTCGAAAGTTAAATCTACTTTTATTTTCTGTCTAAAACATAATTAATACATTTCAATCGTGAATCATTTAGTGTAAATGAAATTCATAGATATACTCAATCTTTTAGCTCAAATAAAGGTATGGATATGAACTGAGGGTAATAACCTATGCCTTGTCGAGATTTATGTTAATAATATGGGTTCATTGTAAAAATGCCTTGATTTTATTTACAATTTTAAATTCCCTATTATTTTCCGTGTTGAGAAAATAGAAACTATTTCACTGATATTTTTGGAATTTCCAACACCAATGTACCGAGGTATACACACTAAACAGATGACCATGAAGAGAAATTCGACTGAATTAAAAGTGAACTTGAGAAAAAGTGAAACTTATATGAGTTATTATTTATAAAATTAAAGTGTTATTAAGCAAAGTTATTTACATTTAGTCGTAGACCTACCTATACATAAGTGAAAAATTTATAGCACACTCACCCATACTTTAGTTTGTACACGTTTAAATTTACCAAACACTATTTAACTGATTTAATAGATAGTATCATCTATAGCATTAATAGTTTACTTGTCACGACACTATTTTCCTTATACTTCTATGGTCATGTATGCTTGATCACATGTTATAGCCCACGCAAATATTCTTATTATAGGCTTAAACGTTGGTTACTTAAGTCGCTCAATGACTCAATAACTTGTCTATATATTTGTTTTTCTTAAATCCTTTCAATTCATTAGCATCTGTATTGCTGTTCGTATTCGCTTCGTCTGTTTGGTGGCTTTATGATCTGCTTTGTACATTAGTGAACTGTAGTTTTGTTTTCTGAAATTTTTACAACGTTAGTGGTTATCTAATAACGTATTTTCAAGACAAGTGATATACAAAGTATAGGAATTATCTTGAAGAAATTCCACTAAGTATTGAATGCCTACCAGCAACTAAGAGCATAAATATCATTAGAAAAATATTAAAATTCTGAATAGAGAAAACAGTTAGAAGTCTAGAGAATTTCTAAAACCCCATGAATTTCAGGTCAATCTGTAATCGATAAACATTTCAACATTTTTTGTTTTTAGTTGGATACAATAAATGTTAATCAATCATATGTTAAGAGGTCAATCAAGTAAAAAAGTCATTGAGAATACATAAAGATAACAAAACTTATGAAGATAATATTACGGTGAAACTAATTTCACTCTTGTAGTAAAATTTTCGAAAAATCTTACTTCCACCAGAAGTAAGGAATAATGATGTTGTATAAAACAACAATGAAAAACTGATGAAATTATAACATTCAGGATATAGAATGCAATACATCATAAAAAATTATTTAATTGGTATGCCAGGAGAATAAAATAACTTACATCACGTAAATCAAAAGTTATTTCTAATTCTTTTTTAAATTGTTTTGCAAATTCTGGATACATTTCTAAAATTTCTAATAGATCATCACGTTGAATTCTATGCAAATCACAATAAGTTAATGCTCTCACATTATATTTTGATTGACCCATACTAATAAAATCTGTTGGATTCTCACCAAATACATCACCTTGTCCTAATACAGCAAGTATATCACAACCAATCATAATTTCAATACTTCCACGAGCAATAAAACATAAAAAATTTAATACATCACCTTTATGAACAAGTGTATCACCAGGTGGTACATGTGTTGTTTTTAATTTTAATGCAAGAGCTCGAAGACAACCTTGACTTGCATCTTTTAAGAAATAAAAAAATGGAATATACAATATAGAAATACTTTTTGAATTATGAAGGAAAAAGTTATGTAGACAATAAAAATACAGAAAAAATATTAATGAACTATGTTTGTTAATGAAGGTCAATCTATAGAATGATCAAATTTCATAGACTTTATAGCTTAGCCAAAATATACATTGGATTGATAGAAATATATACATATACACATAATGAACGAAAAACTCAGAAGGGGAACACCAATTCACTGTTTATTGTAAGATTACAAAGTGTTTTTGTAAAATGTGAAAACTATGCATTAAATACGTTATTTGCACATCTTCCCTCAATTGTCCTTTACATGTTTGATGATTACTTTAATCCTGTTATTACAATTACTATCTGTTTACATTCCTATTCTCTTTAATTCGATCTTTCCAATCTTTTGATGCAGGGCGTTCTACTTCTGAATGTTGTTACATACTACTAATATTTGTCAGCATAAGTAGCATATACTACATCGTATGAAAATAAACGGGATCAAATCCAGAATATAATGTCTTATATGAACATTAGTTCAGTGCCTGTGATGAGATATATTTTCAAACTATACAAAACATTTTTACAAAAAAATCGGTTAAAATTTATTGGCAGTTTTGTATTTTAGTTACTGACATTGTTGTTTAATTTTAATTTGGATTAAAAATTCTGGTTGACATTGTATCCATTTTTATGTCCATTTAACTGAAATATCGTGTATAGAAAATAGTATCCGTACTAAATTTTATGGTGGATTTAGATAACATTAGGATGTTAAAAGCCAAATACTAATTTAAAGTATCACACCACAGACTGTTTTTTAAACACTTATTGAAAACTAAGAAGTATTAGACATCCGTTTCATCCTAGAACGAAAATCATCAGAAGTATGGATCAACGACTCAAACATTTAAAACAATTAGTCCCTTTATTAAATTTCGACAATGCAATAAAAAGCTGAAGTTTATCAGAATTATGTGATATTTAATCACTGGGTAATCATTCAATTGTTAACATTTCCAGCTTAAGTTAATTTGTGATATTGTGTAACTATCACTAGATGTTATTAGTTATACTTTTGTCACATTCAATATAGTCTAATTCCACTGGTCTTAGCTTCATAATAGAACTCTGAGAATTATCTCTCGAATTTAGTCATTAATTAGGATATTATATATAATCCAGGAATTTGTTGAAATTGTTCATTTAGGTAATAAAATTTCAGGACTTTTTTAAAAAAAAGACACACTGTACAGAAGTAAAATATTTTACTGATAAAATTTCAGAATACTTCATGAATATGGTGAAGAACATTGCATAAAAAGAAGATTCTTTTCCTGTTAGTAATTATTCTTTTCTGTAGTATTGATATTTACTACTGAAATACAATGTATACATAACTTTGATGAGAAATTTTTTATATCGAACAAAATGATCCCAATTTAAATATTGAAATAATGATTCATTAGATTTATGATAAACAAATAGGGAATGATTCTTCATGAATATTAAATATAATTCTTCTATCAAATTTGAAATGTACTTGTACATATCAATGCTAAGGTTGAATTTGATAGTTTCATCAAATGAATTGAGCATTGAGTAATAAGTTAATAATAAATTTATTTTTTTGATATATTCTAATGAACAGAAAAATTATATTTTTGATGTTTCATAACTTAGTGTAAGTCACTTCTTCAGAGTAAATTAAATAACCGAAATGAAATAAATACATTTATGTTAGTTATATATTGATTTTTCAAGTTACTCTGAAGAAGTGACTTATGTTAAGTCACAAAAAGTCAGAAATACAATTTTCGACTCATTGGGATATCAGTCAGTCAGTCAGTCAGCTACAACGTAGGACCAGGCACATATATGCATCGGTCCAGGTTGTCATACCGCATTAGCACAGCGAAATGAACACCGGATTCATAAAAGTAGTTAAGTCAATGATGGTAATATATAAAAGAAAGATTGCATATAAGGATATAGTATAGGAAGAAAGAAAGATATGAAGCGATTTTAATCTCTTAGTTTAATGGAAGACAGAGAGTGTATACACCGACGCCATTGTGATCGATTCTGAGCCATGTCACTCAAAGTCTCCAACCATTGGTTACGGAAGTCACGCGGACCCCAACCAAGTAGTCTGCGTCTACCAACATGGCTCAGACTAGAAGTTAGTGACTTCAAGCACTGATGCCACGTTTTGGTTTGGCCGCCCCTAACTTTCTTCCAACCATCTCCAACACCGGTTAGTATTGCACATCGTGCTAATCGGTGTTCAGACATACGTAACAGGTGACCCAACCATGTCAGTCGATGAAGATTCACAGCCTCATCAACTGATTTACCATCATTCCCTAATACCCTGCGTCTAACCTCACTATTGCTTACCCGGTGATCCCAACAGACGCCAGCAATATTTCTAAGGCATCTGTGGTCAAATACTAGTAGCTTACAAGTGTCCTCTACTCTTAAAGACCATGTTTCGCTACCGTAAAGTAAAACAGAACGGACTGCTGCGCAGTATACTCGTCCTTTTATTGATAGACGGATATCTCGCCTTCGCCACAGGTGACGTTTGATACGATCGACTTCAGTCAACTTTGGCGAAAGCTGGACTGGCCACCCACGCTCTTGTCAACGCACTTAGTCGATATTTTCGTTTCGAATGTTTGGCATACGCTTGGTTCCGAACTTTGTCGTCATAGTCACTTCTGGTTCATCGGCTCAACGTGGTTTCCTCCTACGTCTTCAGCGTTTCTGGTCCGCGTCCCTTACGAACGCAATCTTCAGATTCTGGATACAAACCACTCTGGTGTGGCAGGCCAACTCAAGCAACAAGTACAGCACACCACCCCTGGTACCGTTCTCCGAAAAAGAACTTCGTTGGCAACTCGACGATCAACGATCGTTTTCCTGTTCCGCCAATTCTTCCGTCCTACAAACGCTCGTCAGCCGATCAGTCCCACGATTTAAACCGCTATTTATCGAAAGTGTAAACCCTTTCTAGCGGGGAGCTCCTGTAGTGACTCACATTTATCACAAGAACACGACTGGTTTAATAAAAACAATTATTATCATAACCAACTGTACCAGTGTTTGCTTTAATGTGCTTTTGTTTAACTGTACTAATTATAGCCATTTTGTGATTCATTACCTTCCATTATTGTCCCGAGGTTTTTGGCTTTGTTCGCACGTTCTCCTTTCTCCTGTTTCCATTTGTACCATTCCTTGGCACAATCTTGGTATCCGTTCAATACCACGAGATCGCCAACGAAATAAATCTGGTTACGTTCAACCTTCGCCTTCTGATTCGCTTGGCACGTGTTTCTTGGTAGCGGTGTTCATAGTTTATTATTATTATATATGTATGTATGTATATATGTAAGCTCTTGGAATAAGAAGTGAGATTATCGTCAGAAAGTTTACACCGTTTATTAATGACAGTCAATTGTATATGGTTTATGGTATATTAGATCGAGTTTATCATTGATTTATTTTTTAAGAAGGATACTTTAAGGGATTTAACTTATCTAAGACGACTATAACTACAAAAAAATAAAACAAACTACTGTGAACATTTATAGTCAATTGTTTTTAAGCCAAAAATAATAGTTATCATAATAATCACTAACAAATTATACATTAAAGAAGGATATATGACTGTTATTCCGAAAAAAGGTATGTACAAAGATCAGAGAAGAAATAAACGATAATGGTAACTAAGACAACTAATTTAGTATACATCTATTGAGAGAGTATTAAGTTTGTATTAGGATTTAGGAAAATAAATGAAAGTGATTAATTTTTCACCATAAAATTTAGTAACAGAAAATTCTGAAATTTATTAGTCTAGTGTTATTTTTTAACGACAAAAGTTTTACACTTGAGTTAAAGACGTTTCACTTAAGTATTAATGAACGAAATTATTCTTTTAAGAGGATAAACATGGCTTAGCAAAGAAATAACATAGGTTATTTATACAGCCTATTCTGCACCATGAAGTAGATTCAGGATATCCAGATATAACTTTATATTTTGATAACATTTATATGGTCTAGATAAGCATTTTAAAAAGTGTATATCTTAACTTGCTTTACACTTAAGAAGCTCCTGGGAAATTAAGTGTGTTAAAAATAGTCTGTTAAATTTTTCTCGTTATTATAGTTCTAGCTTTTTCATATTTTGCTCTTATGTTTACATCATATATCCAAAAAAATTGTTTTGGTTTTTCTATTTATAATTTATGACTATCAATTCAATGTTGATGACACACATGTTGTTAAATCCATCCTTCGATAACTAATTATTTATAAGAACTGTAGCATTATATTTCAAATAATCTTATTATGCTCTAACAAACAGACATGAATTAATTATTCAGTGACTTAATAGATCACTTCTGAATTTAATAATAACTGTTAAAGGGATATGAAACAATTCCTCTTAAAGAAAAGAAAACTAATAAAATTTAATTGATATGACTAGAAAATTTTAATTTGTACAATTCTATCTACATATTATGGAGATTTGTGATTAATATTTATCCAAGGAAACTTGTTAATTACTAATATTTGAAATTGAAATAATTAAACTAACATGATTATAATCAGAAGAGGTTTGTGGAGATTTTAAAAATTTTCACAGATTGAAATCATGGGTCAGTTGAAGCGGTGGCGCAACTCCGTGGATTGGTTGAAGTTTGACATTAACACCGTTGGATGCCGGCTCAGTGGTCTAATGATTAAGTGCTCGAGAGCGTAGCCAGTAGGTCCTGTGTTCGAATCCCGCGAGGTGCGGGGTTCGTGGATGCGCACTGCTGAGGAGTCCCATGCTAGGACGAAACGGTCGTCCAGTGCTTCCAGGTTTTCCATGGTGGTCTAGCTTCAACTGACTCATGATTTCAATCTGTAACATGATTATACTCAAACATAACCAGTAGTACTTACTTTTAAATGGTGAACATGTATTAAGTAGATTTCGATTTAGATGTAAGCATATATCAGCTTGTAAACATTCAGGAAAACTTCGTAATACTAAATTCATATCAATACCATTTGTATATGACCATGCATGTTGAAAAAATTCTTCTAAACGTCGTTTTAATGGATTTGGTATTTGATGAAAACGAATAAATTCTTTAACACGTACCATTTGAGCATGATAACGAGCAGTTCCACTATATAAACGTTGAATAATAGCACTTACATGTCCGAATATTCCAGCATACATTAATGCTATCAAGATAAAATTTAAGAAAAACAACAAAAACAGATGTGAGTTAACAACGTTTACAAAGAAATGCAAATATATTATGAAAAATAAACTGATATATAGATATTTAAAGAATTTTCAAAATCTCAACATAAAACGTTTTACTTAAACCTTGTATGATGAACAGTGCATGAAATAAGTATTTATAAGAGTACATAGTAATAGATGAAAAAAATTATTGTCTTTGATCCGGTATCCCATACGTAAGATGTCTTTTTGTCTACCAAAATAATCAGTAGACAAAGGATCTCAAAAGTTTTTAGCGTAGGATTGTGAAGATATTTGAATTTCATTGAAATCACGATCATCATTGAAAACCCGGAAGCGCTGGATGGCCGTTTCGTGTTAATATTGGACTTCTCACAAGTATACATCAACGATCCCATATGCAGTATTATTATGTGCACAGTATTATCTAGCTTCGTGAGGAAATGTTTGGAGCTTTAGTGCGAAGCCATGATTATTGAGTAAGACTTTTTTCCAGAAACTTTAATTAGGATTTCTATGATCTTAATTCTTACTTCTGAACTTTACATAACTAGCTTTTATTACGTAATCCATCTCCAGTTAGTCAGTCATCTACAACGCAAGACCAGACACCTATATGCATCCGTCCAAGTCAACACACCACCACACGATAACTGCCAAATTCATAGGTGCAGTTACTTCAATGGTTGTAATATATAAAAGAAAGATTGTGTATAAGGATATAATACAGGAAGAAAGAATTAGTTCGTAGAAAGAAAGATATAAAGTAATCTCACGATTCAAGGAAAGATAGCGTGTGGAGACCTACGCCGGTGTGATTAATTCTGAGCCATATCACCCAGTCTCCAACCACTGATTACGATAGTCATGCGGACCCCGACCACATTATCTGCACCTTCCGACATGGCTCAGATCGGAAGTTAGTAACTTCGAGGGTTGATGCCACATTTTGGTTTGGCCGTACTTAACTTTCTTCTATCGGTCTCTACCACTAGGCAGCATTACGCGCAGAAGTAATGGGTGGTCGGGCATGCGTAATACGTGGCCCAACCATCTCAATCAGTGAAAAAGCACAACCTCATCAACTGGTTTACCATCATCTCCAGTTTTAAAAAATACTCTCACCATGCTCTTCTAACCTAGAAATAAGGGAAAGTTCGAACTATTTTAGTTATTCTGTATTACCGTCTCTTAATTTTATTTTATCTCCATACATTAACCCAATTTATTCTAGACGTTTCCGACTTAAAGTTTGTGCAGTTGCTTCGTTTCAATGATTAATACTTTGGTTCCAGGTTGCAAGCAGCTGATGAGAATCCACGAGATAAATGAATTCACGTTATTCTTCAACTATATTTTCCCTTTCTTTATTCAAATGAATGAATGAAAAAGATTGTATGAAAGGTAGTAGTCTGCTTTATAATAATAATCTAAGTTTACAAAGTCAGAACTTTGAAGAGAGATACATGAAGGACATTAACATTTGATCGTACATGTATTCTTAGCATTTGTCATGTATGATAGGACCACCGGGTGGAGACTGTTGAGTTTTAATGAAGATTAGTAGATAAACATAGCAGACCAGTTGATGAAGGTAAGAACATTGATTGATGAAGATGTAAGTTATGCATACAAAGCCACCAACGATCCTGTCGTGTTAAAGGTTGCTAGCATAGAAGTAAGTCTAAAGAAAGTTGGAGCTGACCAAATTTTTGATCGATAATCCGAGTTAATATCCATGTCAAAAAGTGCAGATGTATATGTTGCCTATGTTTCCCTGAATCCTGAGTTTATAACATTATTTCGTAACTTATATCTCTCTTTTTTTATTCGTTTTTTTCTAAATTATATACTGCATAATTGCACTTTACTGAAATTTATACTATTATTTGTACAATAATGTTAATACAAGGGGTTTGGATTTGCAAATTATGCTCTAATTTGTTTGCTAATAGCCATCTTTTTTCTGAAAACTAATATGGACAGTTCAAAAAATAATAGGTCTACTTGCTATTAACAATATCAACGATACAAATATATAAATTGAGTATATCTAACAGAAACAAGTAGTTAAAAACTGCATTCTGTGGTTTAACTCTACATACTGCTAACCTGATAAAACGTTTGAAGTGTATCAATATGGTAGTGTGAACAATTGGACCTTTGATTTACTTCTAAAAAGCTCTGTCATAATTACACAGGACGATTATCTAACATATACGTTAGATTGACTGGAACTATGAAATGTTATAGTAAACAACTACTGGTCAATATTGGGGAAAAAACACAATCATCAACTTTTAACATCATTAGAATGAAAAAATCAAAAATATTTAGAGTGAAATTCCGTGAACCTATCAACCTAAGAGTTCATTTACAGAAACAAATCGATTTAAAATAGACAAACTGTACATGTATATGTCAAAAATTAAATGTGAACATGAAAACTTTTCCCGATTCTCTTTTCATTCTTTAATCATTCTATCTTTTCATCAGTCTAATTTGTAAATACTCTATTTTCTTAATTGTATTAATTAAAGTGATATTCAACATTTTTTAATGTGGCTAAACAGCAGTTTAGCTAAGTTTTTCATAATGACGAAAAGTATAAATAAAATGATGATCGATTACTATGGTACATAATGAAGATCCTTATTGCAAGTATTTTTGGATAACAATGATAATTGAAAATAATAAAATAAGACTTAAAAAAACAAGTTGAGCGAAGAAACACTTCTTTTCAGTTAGTTTTTAATAAGGACTCTAAACTAATATATCTACTTTACAAACGATTAGTTAGTCATTACACAACGTTGTGTAACTAACTGATTATTATTATATTGTTCAATTGACTCATTATCATTAACTGGTATCAGTTTTCTATTCATTTGTAAAACATCTTTATTAATATAGAGCCCTGAATAGGAACTAATTGAAAGGGAATATTTTTTTGCTCAAATTGTCTTTTTAATGTCTCAACGGGAATATTAATGAGAAATAAAGATGTTGTAGTATAGAAAGGATAAGAAATAGTTAATCCGTTATCAACATGTAAAATATAAACAAACAACTACAACCTGTCCTTATGAATTATTGATGTGTGGTAATGAAAGTAAAATATGATTGATTACTGAGCGTGGACAAACAGCCACTTGGCCTACTGACAATTAAATACATGGTTTCCTTTCCTCTCATTGATTTCTACTCAGGACCCACTGAGTATGACGGCTTGTAATTGTGTGGAACAAAGAATTAACTAGTTCTCTATCCTGCGTCGCCAATCGTGGATCTCATGTAATGTGACTATTCTTATTAACGTATTATCGTAGTGTACTTGAGAGAGAAAAGTATTTCAAACCATCCGTTAAATGAATTCTTAATAAAAAAAAAACAAACGTTTTGAAAATGTTCACTTTTAAATGTGAAATCCACTTAGTTTCAAAGGTTCGCTGCTGGAAATGGTAATTCAATAAATATCCTGTGAAGATTTGATGTTAAGTTTTCTGCATGGTTAAAAACAGAGTTTATGCTATCATTTTTCTAATTAGTTTACTCTTTAAAGATATTTCGACCTCATATTTTGTTATCGGTTTGATCTGCATGGATAAGAAGAATTAAATAGTTACTATATTTCCATGAGTTACAGTTGAGACAAATAGCTCAGGTGAAAATAAGACATAGAGATCATTTGTTAAAATAGTATGAGCAAGACTTCTGGGCTTACCTTCAATATAATTTTATTAACAATTACCAAAGTAATCTAGAAAAAATCTTGGGGGAAAATACACCTGATATTTCATTTTTTTTGCTCACTATGACACTGACATAGTGATTAACACTAGAAATCTTCAAACAGATAGGCCAGAGTCCTATCTTCCGTATATTGGATAAACTAATCATATTTAGCGAAGAGAGTTCTCAAAAGTAAGGCGATTTCGAATGGCAATCACTGACCAATGTAATCAGTACTATTACTTTCAAACTAATAAAGTTAACTAACTGTGCCTAAGTGATACGAAATTTAAATACCATGTATACGACATTAAATGATTACAAAATTCAGAGTAAATGGTGTATTTCAGAGGTACTCGACAAAATCTGTCGATTCAAGTCTATATGTATTTTTTATCGGATTTTGAAATACTGTTTAGGATGAAAAATAACGCACACTGTGATTTTCAGATTATGAATAAGCATACTACTCTAATATTCAGCACAGAATTCGAATTTTGAGTCCTTTATTGACTTTCTTCTAATATTAAGTCATAATTTGGGACCACAAATAAGTTCTACTACGATGACGTAATGTATTGCTAAAGGGACAAGGAATAACGTTTTTCAAGTGGTATGATACTTAAGACTTCTACGATAGCTTTCATACGGGACTGACCAGTGTGAATGAGCAGCTGAAGGGCAGATACTTTGTAGTATGAAACTCAGGAGCCGTTGAAGCCCACAACACCAAGAAAGATTGAACACAAAGTCACGAAAATTGTGACTGGTGCGTTACCTTCAGAATGGTCTTAACATATTTTTTTAGTGTCCCATACACCATTGAATTTTGAAAATAAATTAAAAAAATCCAATAATTTTAAGATCTTCCATTTTATCAGTATTGACATTCAGAAATGAACGTAATCAGTTCTTGACAGCATATTATCTGTTTGCACAAATCCTTTCATATTAGCAGCACTAACACAAAGATAACCGGGCATCTAGCTCTTATTATTATTATTATTATTATTAACTAGAAAGAGTTTTACTGAGTCATCTGAGCTAATTAACTAATATATATGGTGATTAATAATCCCCCAAATTAGTAGCTTATAAGCAGTTATCATTCATACCAACTATTTAGCTTTACCGAATACGTCATCTGTTGAAACCACTAAAGCAAGAATTTGCATCAGATCACATTTCAATGAGTTGTTGATCGCTTCTCTTCTCCCATGAATGATAACTAACCAGCTCAGAAACTTTTCGCACGAGGATCACTTTTCCTGTCATTCAAATATACTTTCTCACTTATCGATTTTGGGATCATTTCGTTTACAAAAACTGGCACAGTAGTAAATTCAAATCTTGACGTAACCGATACCACTTCATATACATAATGATATAATAAAATGTAACAGATAAATACTGATCACATGGTCTGTAAATATACACTATACCACTTAATGGTTAAAGTCAAGATTTACATTTCTAAATTAATAGAATGAAACATATAAGGAACATGCATTCAAATAAATGATCAAATGGATTTGATTTCCAGAAAAATTCTAATTTGTTAGGTAAAACACAATTGTTTATTTTTTGATAATCACACTGAATTCATATAAAATATATTAAGAATAAATGTAAGCATTGATTGTTCAGGTGACTAATGTGAATTGCAAAAGATTTCCGGTAATAATAATAATAATAATAATAATAATAATAATAAACTTACATCCAACTAACATAACACATACAGAGAATATTTTTTCCGAATTAGTATTTGGGCTTACATTACCAAATCCAACTGAAGTTAAACTTGAAAAAGTAAAATATAATGCTGTAATATATTTTGATTTAATACTTGGTCCAAGTGTTGATCGATTACCAAATGGTTGTTTAATTTGTTCAGCTAATTGATCGAGCCAACCAATACGTACATTGAATTGTTGACGTTCAACATTACCAATAGCATACCAAATACATGCAAGCCAATGAGCAATTAAAACAAATGTAGCCATGAGTAATAAGAGAACAGCTGCACCATATTCAGAATAACGATCTAATTTACGAACAACACGTACTAAACGTAAAAGACGTGCAGTTTTCAATAAACCAATTAATGTAGCCATCTGCAAATAGAATTCAACAGTAAAATACATTCATTTTAACACTTTATACATAGTACATAGACAGAATGGATGTTTAACTGAATCATAGGAATTTCAAAAAAAAACGATAGTGAAATCAGATGTTTCAAGTCAAATGACAAAGAGCATCATATACATGTTTCCAAACATATTGATACTTATTGTTGTTTGTATTATTCAGTATGTTTACGTTAGTTTACAATTTAAAATTAAAGTTAGATAACTCATTAGCGTTTAAAACAAATGGTACTGAGTTTTAGTAGCAATACAGACATCAACAGTGGGATGCAAACGCATCCAGTCCTAAATAGGACGAAAGGTGCATCACAGATACTAATGCTACCTAGCGTCCAACTGTATTACTTGATCTTTGTTTTTCGTAAAACTACATTTTTAAAACATCTTATTTATAACAAATATTAGTATATATGTGAGAAATTAAAAAAACGCATACAATAAAAAGAGATTCAACTAACTTCACAATATCGGTTATTTCATACGTTACAAATTGTTTACCAAGAGAATCAACTATATGAAATTCCCTAATTGTACTGTAACATCAATTCTTTTTAATTTATTGTAATATATACTAAACTGTTATTTTGATTTACTGAGGGCCATAAATATACTTCATTTTCTGTTAGTTATTAGTTGATGAATAGAAGGTAAGTGATAATACTTTTTACAGACCACATCATAGTTACAATTCTACACAACTAGGAAGGAAATAGGTTGAACGTAGAAACGCTTTGTGGTCTATTTTGCGTAAACATTTGAGATGAAATCAAAAAATGTCATAGATAGCATATGGTAAGAGTTTCACTTAGAAACATATTTGTCTTAAGACACTGAATCTTTTAATTTTCAAGGTATGTTGTCCTGATGAAAATTGAACAGTTCTCAACAAGGCAAGGAAAGGCCAGAATGATTTATTTCCATAGAACCTGAGGACAGGTTTATGTGATAATGACTGTCAAATGTATTTCATAATTTGTCTTTAGTTAAAAAGTAGGTTATCTACCGAAATCAACTTATCTTAAAACTACAATGTGTTATCATTAGAGCGTAATGTTATGGACTTAGAAATCTTGTACGTACTCAACTTCGTATGATTTTTACCGTGTTAAGATATGAACTACTAAATCACCAATTCAGCAACCTCGATGTAAACACACATACACCTACCAGTTGTCAGTATAGGGTTATGGAGATTATTGAGTTTTAATTGAACAGATCAATGTTAAACCACCAATGAAAACCTGGATGATGGTCGGGTGATATCGTTGATTGGTTGAAGTTAGACATTAACACCGTTGGATGCCAAGTCAGTGTTCTAGAAATTAAGCGTTTACGCACGAGTCCGAAGGACTTGGTTCTGAATCCCATGTGCATGATCGTGGATGAGCACTTCTAGGACGAAACGGCCGTACAGTGCTTCCAGGTTTTCAATGGTGATCTAACATTGCTCGGTTTATGATCTCAATTAAAACTTACCAGATGTATCTACTTTAGAATTTGTAATTAAACATATCACACCTACTTCCCTTAATCCTTAACACTAAGAAGTGATTGACACAAGAACAGTGTAAAGTTCAATATCATCATCACATAGATCGGTAGCCAAGTAGATCTTAGTGCAGTCACCTTTAATTTGTATCTTTCAGGTTGTTCAGATGAACAAACAAAATAGATACTTTGCATCTTGTTAATTTATTGTCACTATGCTGCTGAAATTTAGCAACTTGAATCATTTTGAACCTGACATTATCATCTATAACCGGATAAATCACTTGATACCTTAAAATATCGATTATTTTACCATGCAACGAATAAAAAAAATAATACAATAATCAGATAGCGGAGATTTTTAAACTTGATGGTTTTCACCATCTACTGGATCATAGTCAAATAACTAACGAAAAACAAGAAGCCCATTGAACAGCTATCTCATCCCAGACTACATTCTTGTTCATTGCTCCAAGGATTAAGAGATCGCCGTGGGACCTGAAGACCCTTTCTTTTACCCCTGGAGGCGTCGTAGGTGCAGAACATTAAGGGATTTCATAGACGAGACTATAATTTAGGAACGAACTAATCAAATATAAGATAACGATTCAAGAATTTCCGCGGGAAATTTATTCATACATTTAGCTAAATAGAGTTTTGGAATTATAGCTGATGTCAGCTCGTGATGAAAATCTTAAATCTAATTTTTAACCTTAACCATCAACTTTAAATGAGAATTCTAACTGTTTTATAACTCTCATTTAGTCCTAATCAGTAGGTGTCGGCACTCAAGGTCACTTCAGCGTCGCTCAAAGGTCGTCCATAAATATAGTCTCACTGTTTCATACAAGAGTGAAATAGTTGTCCAATGTGCTTCTTGGTTGCCCATCTAATATCAGTCTATGATGTAAACCATAAAAAAATCATGTCAAACATCCGTTATGATAATGAATAAGTACTTACAAATTAATAACTTACCTCATCTGTTTCAGCACCGAATAATAATAAATCAAATGGTATGGCTGCTACTACGTCAATTAGAAACCAACCCTTAAAATAATGTATAGCAATTTGACCAGGATGTGAAATTAATTCATCATTTCTATTCACATAAGTTGTACGAAAATTAATGAATATATCCACAATAAACATTATATCTACAAATAAATCGATAATTTGTAATGGATTCTGATACGATGTAAGACCACTATATCGACCCCAACCATCCTGTATAAACAAGAGAAGAGAAGATGATAGACAGAAATTTTTAATGATAAGCTAATTTTCACACATGCATTATCTTATTGGAAAAAAACAAATCCAACGTAAAATTAGCTTATTTTAATTGATAATGTAAGTTTCCCCGAGTGGTCATGTAGTAAAACAGGAAAATAAATTCAAGATTTTGATTTGATAAACTGAATACACTGGATATATTAGTTACAAAGAGATATAGGAAGACGAACTAGGAAAATTTATTGATATGTATTCTCACTATATAGACCTATTTACTCTCTATTCTATGATAAGTACTACTGACAATGCAACATTTGACTAATGTTTGTAATTTTGTAAAACATTCTGATTGATTACATAATAAGAAAACTTCGTTTCATGAATTGACATTAGTTGTAGAATCGACTTGAAATAAAGTGGTGGACAGTTCTTCCATCTTATTTCTTAATCATCAGGAATTCTGTTCTACAACACATATACCTGAATATTTTGTAGTAATACGGTAGTCGGTAACCAAGGATTCAAAATCACGTTAAATCTTTACTTAATAGAGTATATGAAACTATCATTATTTAGTGAAATCTTTGATAACCGTCTCCGTTCCAGGTAGGCTTGAGACACCATACATCGCCATTTTTTAACTGAAGTTTGAAAATATCTATCTCTAACTTAGCCACTAATGAGGATGTGAATATTAATAAGATGAATAATTTCGTGAAGATTTGTTTTTTGTGAAGACAGTTATTATCTCGAAAGGACATTGACTGAGTTATAAAAATAGATAAAGATAAACATCTAACGCTTCTTTTTTTATAAAGATTCTTCAGCTGACGTCATCTAGTGATGGAACCTACCTTTAAAGTCAACGATGTTCTACAGACGACTTGAAATCCTTACGTTTTAATTTTAATTAAATAAATGTAAGTTAGTTGCTATTGAATGAAATCACTTTAATTATAGATTCTTTTCAGAACAGAACATTGCAATTTGAATAGCACTAGCCATAGTAATAGTAATAATATATTTTTGTAACTGGAAATCAATATAACAAAGGAATCCCAGTAAAAAATGTTGGCGCTGTTGATTAGTTTATCGATCACTTAATTTCAGTTCAATAAAATACTAATCTCTCGATTTTTTTCCGTTCTTACTTCATTTCATCATGTTTAAAGTTAAACAATAGCCAGTTTAACTACATTTTTGACCTTCAACAAAGTAGGTGTGGTTAAGTAAAACAATAAAAAGGAAGTTCAACAAATACAATTTTAACCACCAGTCTTGTCGCAACCTTTACATTTTCTACAAAGAAGAAGAGAAAAATACCTTACTTGACTTAAACAGAGTGACCAAAAAACTTACAAAAGTAATAAACTCTTTATTTTACATTAAGCATCCCAGGGAATGTAAACATTGAAAAAGTCATTCAAAGACAGAAGAACAAATGAAAATGAAGAGAAGTGAAGAGAGGAGAGGAACACTATTTCAGCCGATCTCAACTAAGTTATGTAGTTAATTATTTATTTCTTCATGTATGTATGCGTGTACATTCAATTCTATCGTTCTCAAATGATATAAAAAAGCGTATTTAAAGACAAAAATTAAATTAGCCTTTAATATTTCATTGCTAAATACTTTTTTTGCAAAATGAGTAGGGTGATCGTTGTTTTCTCTTCATGAAAAATGAAAGAAAGAAAGAGATCGAGAAAAAAACGATGTAAGCAAAGACTAATTGACAGGAAAAAAAAGAAAAGAACAAAGAGAAAAAAACGATTGGATGAAATTCTGTTTTTGTTCTCAAGGACAAAATTACGATAAAAGTATGTCTAGTAGACAAGTAAATTTGATCGTTCTTGGCAGTTTAATCATTTGATTCTTCATTTTAATTTTTTGATCAATGTATTTAACATTGGACAAATACTATTGCTTCAATGAATATTTAAGTTAGATAATTTTAAGTAAAATGGTAACATATTGACTATAAAAGTAACTGTGACACGCTAAAGTAATAGTGGTTGGTACATTTTTTAGTAGGAGATTTGGATTAAAATGAAATCAATTTTTATTGAAATATGTAGTTTAAAGGGGTTCGAGGCTTGAATGATTTTATTTTTAAGTATACTATCGTTTTATAATTTCAGAGACTTCTAAACTAAGATTAATACTTTAACTGTTACATCTCACATTATTATGCATTTCGAACAACAATACTTGGACTCCATGATATAAAAACTGTAAGAATAACTAATCGTCTTTATGTGGTATCGATAAAACGTTGGCTTATCTTAACCCATGCACAATGAAATTCTTAATCAATTAATGGATCTACGTAATCAAACACAATGAGAAGCCGTGACCTATGGAGTCCAATCCGTGTCGGGTGTGAGACAGGTATTTAACTCAGACAATGGATAAATGGTTGCGCAATCGCTCATGGATGGATTGGAGTTTAACATGAACACCGTTGGATGTCTTCTCAGTGGTCAAGAGGCTAAAAGTTCATGTGCGAGACAGTAGGTCCTGGGTCCGAGGCCCACAAGTGGGGTCGTAGATGCGCGCTGCTGAGGTGTACCGTCCTAGAACGAAACGGCCGTCCATAGCTTCTAGGAATTCGATGGCGGTTTAGCTTAGATCGACTTGTGAATTTAACTGCTAAAGTATAGATTTGTTTATTAGTTTTTGATATAAATAAACATTGGATGTAGTCGCAAAATCGTCCAGCTGTAAGAGGTCAACCTGTAATCTTAAAATTATATATGGAGTGCTTTACGAATTACCATGCCATTGATATATATAGGGTTTTTTTCCTAATTTCGTATGAGGTTAATATACAAAGCAAATTAAAACATACTAAATAGAAAATTGACTTACATTGTGTCTTCTTTTTCGCTTAGCATCAGGAAGTAGAAACGCTGCTGCATAAGGCGTGAATACAGCTGTATAAATTACAAATAGAAGGACAAGCCAATCCCAAACTGCTTTAACAGGACCATAATGTTTTAAGGTGAATGGATGAATACGTGGAGAATGTAGTTTTTGTTCTGGATTTAATTCAGGACCCATGGAAAGCATCTAAATTGAAAAATGACATTTTATGACTAAATTCAACTTTAAGAAAGTCGAAAACAAAAATGTTCAACTGTTGATGTGCGTTTCGCACAAAAGCAGAAAAATGCAAACCGAGTTATTTGCAATTTCGATATTAGTATCTAAAAATTGAGAGTTGGAAAACTAACTTTTGAGAAGAAAATTACCCTGTTATCGGTTTCTGTGACGACGTGGGGAACGACAGAGCTTGCGCTTTGCACGTTATTACCGTCCATAATTGTAAGAAAATGTGCTCTGTCGTCCAGTCCTGACATTTTATATCAATTTTAAGAAATAAACAATCATTTATAACGAACTTAAAACTAGCTATTTGATAAATCAACTTCTAGTTGATGAGGTAATCAAGAAAAGACGCTGGAAGTGAATAGGACACACGTAGAGAAAATCATCAAATGACATCACAAAGCAAGCCCTAATTTGGGATACTATAGCAACTCTTCTACAATCAATTTAGACTGTGGTTAATTTTTGTCAAGCCCTTCCATTGACTTAGACAATGTTATTTGATTAGTAACAATTAGCACGTTTCTTTGTACTACTGTGATTACTACTATCATATCTGTACGCTTGATCACATGACGGCCTACCAGCATATCTCTCTCTAGCTTAAATATCGCTCGATAAGTCATTCTCTTTCCCATGTATATATGTACTGGAATCCTTTGCCTTGCCTAGCCGATTCGACTATAAATCTGCTTCTGTATTTGCTCATGTACACACACTCGCCTCTCTGCTTATGGCTTTGTTATCCGTGCTATCAGCTAATAAACTGTAGCTGCTGCTTCTAAATGCCTTCTGATTTTAAACACCGTTGGCAATTATATAATAACGGTCATCGAAGTGATTGATATACGAAGCTAGCCACTAAAATCCTCAAGGTAAAAGGAAAAGAGGCAAACCAAAGGACACATTGCACCAGGAATTGGAGGCAGAAATCAAAAGGACAAAATGCTCTTAGCAAAGACTCTAAAAAATTCGGACAGAGTTGGTTGGAGATTCCTGGGTGACGGCTTAACCTCCAAGAGACATAACAGACTTAAATGCGTGTCAAGTGTAGTTGTTTAATCTCAGTTTGGCTAGCTTCGAGATAAATTATGGTATTAACCAAGTCTAAAACGTGGCAGATTAATGATTTAATTTGAATCTACTAGGCAGAATTCTATCCACAGTTACGACTAGACAACGAGATATTGGTTATTATTAGGTGGTAAATTATTGTAAATATATCATTTAAACGTAATCCTTTCAAAATGTTATCTAATAATGTAAATTTTACACTGCTATCTACTGCCTCACAAATATTAATATATATGGTTGTTTTTATTCTTGTTGAAGTCCCATGAATACTCACACCTCAATTAGAAGTTAGACAAGACAGTTGATTAGATATTTTCTTCCTAAAAAAAGTGTTATGACTTGTAACATCCAAAATTGTAACAACTATATGAAGTATGTACACGAAGTAGTTTTTACAGTGAAATTACCATACTTTTCTCTTAGATTAAAACAATAAATCATGTATATTACAAATTATTTTTAAGAATTAAGCTGGAAATGTAAAGAAAACCACAGTGGTTTAGCAGGTATCAACTAAAAAGATTGTATTAACTGACCTCAGCAACTTTTTCTGAAACATGACGACGGGATGCGTTCCATGAGTTGGTATTCACCACAATTCCACCACATCCACGAGAAAGACCAACGAGTGAATTACCTCTGGACATATGTGAAGATGTACTCACAATAGAATGTCCTCTGCAAACTAAATAATTACGACCTCTTTTTGGTTCTTTCGGGACATTTGGGGAAATGCTTACAAGAGAATTAGATCGAGGTAGAGGTTGTTTCAATTCGCCTGGTTGCATTAAGCATGTGCAACTTAGATCTCGTTCTGTATAAACAATACATTAAAAAATATATTCAGTTAAACATTCACAGCTCCTCGGATGTTTATAAATGTATTGTACTATTCTACTAGTGAGAAAGCCCTCAGTTATATTGGTACTCCGATGAAGACCAAAGTTATAATATTAGGGATTTTATAAAGATTGTGAAAACATTTAAAGATAGCATACAGTATGAAGTCGTTTGAGATTAACAGAAAGCGGATTTTTTCCAAAATAAGTTTACATGCAAAACTAGTAATTCACTTTTCATTTAGAACTTTTGCAAATGACGTTTCTTTAGGTGTAATGAGATCAGAAACCTAATTTACTTGAATAGTTACGATATAATCATAAAACCTAAATAAATTCTTTTTCAAATTTTAATCACTCTTTAGCATTTCCAACATCACAAATCGTATAACTTTTCCAAACGCCACCTCTTTCATCAATGATAATTAAACAGTATTATTGTTGATCAGTTCAGTTAATGCTCTTTTATCTTCAATGGAGATCATATAAAGTCAGACTGGACTCTACAGGTCACGGCTTCTCACCAGAATTCCAAGAAACCCATCTTGATGCTGGTCACTGGTGAACATATGATTATTATCAGTATGGGGATTTTTGAAAATTGAAAGACGAAACAGCCGTCCAGTGGTTCCTCGTTTTCAATGGCGGCCTAGCTGACATCGACTGATGAATTCAACTAACAAAATTACTACAATTTCCACAAAAACCCATTCTGATCATAAACTAGAAATTATCAAACCGCTTTCAGGAAAATACGTTTGATAAGTTCTATCATTGTAACTACTCATGACTTTAATGGTTTTGTGAAATAACAGTAATAATTTGAAATAAATTATGTGCAATTTTTAAATTACAATATGCATGACAATATTGATCATTATGGAGGATTTCATTTCAACAACTACTGCCTTCCAGATAATTAACACTGAAATTAGCCAATAACAAAACATTCTATGACATTTTAACAAAGAAGATAACCTATTAGTTCGTTTATATATAGATGGTAAATCATCAATTTATCAAAGAAGGTTATAAACGCAGAAAGGTCTGACTGAAAACTCATTGTGCATCTGAACGATAAAAAAAAAACATGAATTACAGAAATATTTACCAAGTTAAAGATAAATGTTTCAGAGGTCTTATCAAGACTAATAATTGAACAAAAATATAAATAAAAATAATATATTTGTAATATCCCAATGAGTAGAAAATTGGATTTTCTGACGTTTCGTGACTTAGTGTAAGTCACTTCTTCAGAGAACAAATAACCAAATTAAAATTCATCCAAGTTTAAATAGTACAACGGAACAATGCAAGAATGCATGTTTTTGTCCGTTTTACATATGATAAGTAATAAAAATGGTAAAACGCAAATTCAAGAAAGGTCTCTTCGATGGAATTTAAGATGAAAATATAGAGAATCCAAAAAAGAGTTAACATATCTTCTAAAATTACTTTACTATAATCAAACACAACACTCGGTAAAGTAACTATTATTATCGTCGATAAACGCAATCTATCCAAATTTACCAAGGGAAATGATCACAAAAATGTAATGACTATTAAAACGATGAATCAGGAGGAACAGCAATTGATAAATTTTGATAGTGAGCATATAAAAAAAGTTTTGTAACGTTATTGATAAGACTCCAATTGATTTTCCAGCAATCTAAAGCCTAACTAATCTGCAAAAGAATAATCAACTTTGACTAAAGCTGTAAAAGCTTTTTTAAAATATATAAGTCCCCTCCACATATTTTCGAGTGTATTAGTCAAAAGTTCCTGATTATGTAGTGAACTAGAACACTGGTGGGGACAACCAAATATATTTTAGTGAGGCATTACACAATATCTTGGTAAAATCTGAGAACCATACAGTAATACTTCATCTGCAAAATATCTATTAATTGTCTTATACTTTGTTGTTCCTTCGTCTCCACACCAATTACTTTCCGTTTTCGTTCACTTCTCTTCGATTTTTTCAACCTTCTGTTGCCAGGAGTTCCACTTTCGATTGGTGATACATACTACTTATATCTGTCGACATCAGTAGCACACATCACAATCGAAGTAAATGAAGTGTTTTTTAAAACATGTAAATCGAACATAGTTTATTTCCGTAAACCTTAGCCTACTTGATCAACTGTTTTTTGGATTCCATTGAATTTCATAAAACATAAAATTTATTTAGTACCCTATGCCATATACCGCTATTTTTCATTCTTCGACAACATAGAGTTCTTTTTTAAAATTACAATTTTAAACTGTGAATATTCAGCAGGTACTTTTCATTTATTATTCAAAAACTTTTCAAAACATAAATCCCATTCAACCGAAAACACCCATTTTATCACTTAATTACTTGGTTAGACATTAAATAGTTACAGTTTTGTATCACATGCTTTGTAAAAGAAAATTTGTCAAGTCTATTAGCTAAAACTGTAATTTGTCAGTAAAAAATTGGACCTTATTTTTTTTTAATCTAAACCACTAACCTCGCGTTTAAGAAAGACAAATAGACTACCTAAATTTGAAATGAAATTTATAAACTCAGGGGTACCGCATTGATCTCTATCGATGAGGTGGTTATTAAATAAAGTTAGCACCAGTCATCACTGATGTTTCTTTACGAGATTCCTAAGGTAAAAATATAACTTTGAACAGCTTTATTCAAGATGATAATTTGTTTACAAAAGAAGGCAACGAAACAAAATCACCATTTCGATAAATGTTGATTTAACAGGTAACCTGATAAGTATATAGTAAACTTCAAAAATTAGTTCATATGTTCAAGTGAACCGAGTGTTTTTAAATGCAGTCGTATATGATAGGTTAAACTTGTAACCTAGCGAATTTTTGCAGTATGCAGTTTAAGAACACTCACCAGTAGAGTTGGCAGAAGTTGAGTTTTCTAGTTCACATCTAGAAATGGGTTGTCCAAGTTCATCCTTGTGATCATGAACATTAGTTAATTGACTAATTGTTCGAGACTCTTCACCAACTGTATCATTGACTGATATACAACACAGCTGTCGTTGATAATTTCTACTCGTTTTCCTATCATTTGTTAAGCCTAAGTAGGAAAAAAAATGAAAACGGTCTCATCAAAATGCACTAGACGGTATACTTTTTTACACAAAAGTTTAAGAAAATATTGTCGTAAATATTATACGAAAAAAAAAGACCATAAAAATAAATCATTGGACTAAAGATAATATTTTTGGGGTAGTCTTGATTAACAGACTCATTTTTCGATACAAGGATGATTTTAAATCAGTTTAAGTTGTAGTATGATAAGAAAAAATGGACATTGATTCAACAAGTCAATGAGTTACCGATTGAGCTACAATATTCAACTCAAAACTATGTGTTCTATTTAAACTTAAGCATCATTGGAATTAAAAATGATTTTGAACAAGCACTAATAAAGTTTATACTAAGTTATTTATATGAAAAAAAAGCCATACTGAACTATGTAATGCTATGAACCGAGATGAATCAGGATATATTTCATCCTTTCCTTTTTTCGTTTATTAACAAGTTATCATTTATATTTGAAACTTCAAAACGACTTTGTATTAGTTGATTCTGTATTAATTTGTTTATAAAAACGTAAGTAATTTATTGGTACAATTTATAAAATTCATTAACAATTATGAGCTATCCAGTTAATACTACAAAGCTAAGAATATTTTATATTTCTTTATATTCAATCGGCTAGAAGTAATCGATAATATGCTTGTAATGAATCTAACAGAAACCCATTTTATTCCATTAAAAGAATATTATTTAGATGATAAAGGGTGAAGTCGAGAATTATTTTGTAATAGAAAAAAGAAGGTAGAACTAATTACGTAAATCATTCATGATTTAGCAACTAAACAAGTGAACATTTAACAAAGTTAATTAATAAATACTCTTAAGTGGTATCATATAACGGTGCTTATTAAGAGAAAAAGAAAATAATTTAAAGTAAACAAATGAATTAGTAAAAGCTTGGACCAGATTGCCAGGCGAAACGTTGGATTTACTTAAAATTCATTCGCTGAGATTTTACAAATATATTCTTCTTTTTAATGTCTCAAATGAACTCGGCGCCCAAATATTGTGAAACTATTCGTTTAAATTTAGACGAAAGTTCTTATGAATTAGTAACTTGTTAGGAAAAAAAAGTATGATACAAATATGAGAATCAAGAAGTGATTGAAATTTTTTAAAGTACATTATATATATACAGACACATTCACTTACTTGTTTTACTAGGGTGATTTGTACTTTTTGTTTTTCTAAATTCAGAATTAACCACAAAAGTTAAAATGTATAGGCGAACTTGGCCTTCTGCATTACGTACTGGAGCAACTGTTATTTGACAAATAAATTGATTGCCTATTTGATAAAAAAAAAGTAATACTTTTACTTTTATTATTATTATTTGTTTGTAGGTTTGTTGATTTATTTTCGTAAAGTAAAAAAAAAATTGATGATAACTTCATATCACAGTAAATCGCACAAAGATTATCAAAGAAAATTTGCGTTCGTTTTCTTTTAAGAAATGGACTATAACAGTATAACTGAAGAGAAATAAATTGATATTAAATTTTAAAGATTATTAAAATTAACTAAATATAGGAATTAAATGAACCCAGTTACTTAAAAAATGTTTCTGGTTAGGTGTTTTTGACGAGGTTAGTTCGTAAGAAACGCCACTAAGATGCGATACAAATACATTATTGGAATGATTATTGTTATCTTAAATATGTTAACTAATAATAGTCAGAACATAAGATAATTGATGTCAAAGATATAACTTGTAATAGTAAAGTAGTAATAGTAAAGTAATAGTAAAGTATTTACATTTCGTAATATCAGAGATTGTAGCTTGATTGTCCGAAATGATCTCTTTTTCTCGCCCAATGACTCAATAACATAGTAAACAAAAGAAATACATGACCTAACTGCTAAATTTCAGCAAAAAAGAGTCTTCAAATATGGCTTTATTGTCTATCTGAATAAATAATCAGTTCATCATGAAAGAGATGATGAATAACTGAAACCTAACTGTAGGTAAATCTGTGATCTATATGTAATTACAAATACAAATTGTATTGTGTAACTTCTGACTGGTCCTATTTTACATTATTAAACACTCGTTAACAGTATTCCAACTATAAATTAAAGGATCCGTAGTATAAATAGGCAGTAATTGCAAACTAATAGTATTACTATAAATCTACCTGATTTGTTGCAAAGAATAGCCATGATCACTTTCTCCTCATAATCTGACAGTGCTGTTTTCAGATCCTTGATAGATGCGAATGAAGTCGATGGTCCATACAGAAATTCCAGAGCGGCAGAACGACATAGAATTTGAGCCCTTGAATATCCACAAAGGGAGCAAAACTCATCGTTGCAGAAAATAATTGGTGCTCCAGGAAGAACAGCATTAGCAATCAAAAATTTCCGACCTGCAAAACAATGATTATTACTAATTATATTTGATGATCGGATAAAATGCTTGTTTTAATGATTTTTTTACCTGAACGTTATGTTCACAGTAAGCCGAATTAATGCAATTTTTTGTGATTGATGAAGTAAGTATAAAAACCACATGATCATAGTTTCACTACTTGGAATTTTAATCATAAATAAGAAAGCTGTAAAACTCCATAGAAAATCTCTATGACGACTAGGAGTTTTGATCTATTTTAATTTATGTTCTCTATGATGTGCTTGTCACTACATACTACCACTCAACAAATCAGTTGAGAGAATACCTTTAACATTTTATAATTGATCAGAATTATATAGGCGAAAAGAACGAAAAGAATATTTTAAAAATAATTCCTTCAAATGTTACAATAGCTGAATAGGTGTTTAGAAAAATTCTAGTAATATGAAGAGAAATGGTAATCATTAATATTTGGGTAAAAAGAATTGTATATTGATAAAAACTAACCAGCATTTTATAAATTGATGAGAATTAGCTGGTTTAGAGCTGAGCAAAATAACAAAGTGTAGGCATATATTATGAAATCTATTGTTTTCATGTGATATGCAGACTAACTGAGTACAGAGGCTTACTTTCTTCTAGTGATCTTGTAACAAAACAGTAATTTCAGTTGAAGCTGTTAAATTAATTTTAACTCAAATAGAACTGTGAACAATTATAATGTCAGAAGTTTAAGGATCATGAAACACTGAAGGCTTTAAAAAAACGTGTGAGTTGTACAACGTTTCATTCAGAATACTAGTTATTCAGTCGGTCACAATCAACATAGAGTCTAGAACAAATAGTGGGATGAAATTAATGAGATGAATAGCAAAGGAGTCTAAAGAACGGTATTAATTATTGTACTAACATTAATCATTGAAAAATATGATTAAAAGAAAGTAGTTTTGATTGATAAAACGTATGAGAAAATATTGAAGCCCAGTAACTCCATGGACTGATGTCACGTCTCAGTCTAACCTCTTCTAGCTTTTTTACAATCAGGTGTTGCGTTAGACAGGATTGAGTGATAAGGTACGCAGTATTTGGGTATTTGGAACACATATCTCAATCACCTGTACTTGTGACCCGTATCAAACCGCAGAGCTCTTCGCCTGGTGTCCTCAAAGCATGCGACGAAGACATAAACGACCAAGCACTAATAAACTAAAAATGTTCACTAATTTAACAGACCATGATTTATAGTCATAAATTAATACACAGCTGACTGCCGCAAAGTAAACTGGACTCTTAGTTGTCAGGTTAATATTTCTCATACACTACAAGTGATGTATGACGGCAGAAGCTGTAAGAGCGTTCTGGAGTTGTGCAGTGATTTGAGACGTGTATATAAAGTTAAATGTCATTTTAAAAACCTCAGTTGTAGAAGTTGATCGATGACTATCCACTACTGCTCACGATCACTCCGTAGACTGGTTGTCACTATAAGTTTAAGTTGCCTTCGCCCCTCCTTCTATTCGGAGCTTAATGGAACAAATTCCCGAGGACCTATCAATTCAGTAGACGTTGTTCAAACCCATCGATTTTGTTGATCTTCTGGTTGTAGTCACTTTTAAATACTGTTTTCATAGCTGCCGGATATCAGCCCAACCCACGTTAGGATGAACATCACTTCCACGATTTACTAACTCTTGTCGTGTTTAGTAATCAATAATGTCTCATGCATTAGGAGTAGGTTAATAGCTTCCTTGAACTTCTTTGTTACTGCTTTGCTAGTCGATTCTGAAATATACCCTTGACATTTTCATCCTTGAGTTGAACTCTGAAGGATCGGTAGTAACCTACTTTTATCAAGAAAACGCGTTTGGTTTAATGGAAATAATAATTATTATAACCAATTGTACCAGTGATTGTTTTACTGTACTTGTTTGTTTTACTGTACTAAAGACATTCTTCCTTCCGTTGATTGTGACATTGCACGCACTTACGTTTGCTCAATGATTCCATTTGTACTCTTTTGGCACGATCTCGGTATTCTTTCGATACCACAAAACTGCCAATAAATATATCTCGCCACAACTTCCAATTACCTTCTGATATTTGGTACACAACCTTCTTGTAGTGGTGATCATAGTCAACCGCAACTCGATGCCACACTACAGATCTTCATGTGAAGTTTATGAGTCCAGTGAGTGGTAGACAAACATGTTCGCGTACTAGAGCATGATCAGAGTCCAGACATGTGCTCTGTAACAAGTGATAGTATTTTATTGAGCCTCCACAACAATGGCTGGTGACAATATAATCTAGTTGTGTTAATCGTTGCTTTGACTGTGAAGGTCACCATTACAAACGATGTCTCTTAATGTTTACGGTTAGAAAGTTGTCTGAGGATATTAGCAGCAGACAGTCACTTCTGTTTTTTTAGTTTAGATACTGTAAAACCCATCTAAATGTCTGCTAATCTGGGTTGAAGTATCTAATTGGGAGTTGACATTTTCTACTAAAATTGTGACCTCTTTGTGTTAAGCTTTTGAAACAAAACAGTATGCTCTAGATGAAACTCATCCACTGCTTCATCCAAACTAAAATGAGTAAGAGCGTAGGCACATAACGACGAGACAACGGCCTGTGTCAATATTTCAGTGTTCTTACTTTTCCATTTATTTGGGTTGCGCAAGTGATTGTATATTGGAATTAAGCTTAAAAGAACCTGATCGTATTCTGAACTTGGTGTTACAACTACACCAGCGGGGCTACAGGAATTAACGGTAGGCTCTTCATATACTCGGGAGAAACATCGCTACGGTTCTCTGCACTGACTATGTGCTGTCAAGTGAATGATAACACTTGAACCCTGTATTTATTTTTAAGAGACGAAAGTTGCAATGATGTCATGAGATTTCAGAGTATCGAATGAAGAAGCCTGTTTGTTTGTTTGAATTACAGTTTAAACACTGAAAGCTTCAACATACGGTTTAGAGGGTAGTTTCAATAGCCTAAAAACAAAATCTCGTGAAATAAAATGGTCAGCATTAGCGGATAATGGGGATAAAATCATAGAAAAAAAGAAATGATGAAGCGATTCGATTTTAAATATGAGGATATCTGTTGTTGTTACAATTACGAGGGCGGTTGTTACTTCCAAATCGCAGCACTATGGAGGGATATTTCTTGTTGAAAAACTTGAGAACCGTGATTATTAGTGGTTTTATTTACTTGCGATCGTGATCAAAAAGTCCCGGGGACAGTTTCTTTCGCCCGGTCACAAACGGCTATTCAGTGAGAGACTTTCTGATGCATCAGTTCTTTGCTTTTAAAAAAATTACTGCAGAAGACGGAAGCTCGTGAGGTAAGATGAACTGTGACACTTTTAGGGAGGTTGATGTTTTTAGCTTTGCTGTTCCCCAACCAGCATGCTTTGCAAGTTAGGATCTGACGGAATAAATGCCTCAGGAAATATAACTCGATAGTCATTACGAGAGTTAAGGTAGACCACCACATCAAGACGAAAGTTGTGGTCGGGTAGTTTCATTCTAAATCTCATTATGATCCCTAAGACAAACTGCAAGAGTAGACAAAAAACAAGCGGTCATCAGTTGGATAAAAACAGCAAGCAATCTATTCTTAAGGATTAAAGATAGTATCACACTATGATTTATGAATTTCTTTTTCCTCTTTTATTGTTAACATACCTAGGTTCCTGCCTGGAGGTACTCGTGATCCCCGGCTACTAGACACGAAAGCTTGTTAAGCGGAAGCTTCTTCTATTCTGTTCACAACCATTTGAACCATTTGAATCAATATGATTTAGAGATATGGTGAATTAATTGTCACCATAAAGTTTACCAAATTTATTGATTTACAACTCCTTGACTTAGACTTTCCATAAATATAACTTTATAACTGTGAGTTTTAAGCATATATACGATTATTGGCGAGCAACAAGGCTTTCATCTCTTGCGGACATTATTTCAAAACCGCTCGCGACACTCTTCAACATGTCCCTTTCACTCTCTCAACTCCCTAGAGATTGGAAAGACGCTATAGTCAGTCCTATACTTAAGGACGGTCAGAGACAGATAGTATCTAACTACCGGCCTGTCAGTCTAACTAGCATAGTCGTTAAGTTACTTGAAAAGATAATTCGGGTTAGGTTGCTAAGCCACATAGATTTACACAATCTGTTAGCTCATGAGCAACACGGATTTCGTAACAAGCGTTCATGCTTGACTAACTTGCTTATTGCGAGGGAGGATTGGACAACAGCCCTAGATAACGGTCTGTCTGTCGATGTGATATTCCTAGATTTTAGCAAAGCATTTAACAAGGTTTCACACGTAGGTCTTATGCAGAAGCTCACGAGCTTCGCAATAATAGGTACTGTACGGGAGTGGATAGAAAATCTCTTATGTGACCGCAAACAGAGAGTTAGGGTCAACGGAACGCTATCCAATTGGAAGCCGGTCAAAAGTGGTGTACCTCAAAGCACCATCTTAGGCCCTCTGCTCTTCCTTCTCTACGTTAATGAGTTACCGCGGTTACTTAGGTCGTCGACATTATTGTTTGCGGATGATGTAAAAATCTGGAGAATAATAAAAAGTGCGGCTGATCATCTGGATCTTCAAGCTGACTTAGACAATTTAGTTAGATGGATTCGAGTTTGGGGCTTAGAAATCAATGCTAGGAAGAGTGTGCTAATGCCCATCGGTCACGGTAATAGTTACCGTTACACTATTGAGGGTAAACCTCTTCCATGCGTTCAAGAGCATAAAGACTTAGGAGTAGTATTAAGTCATGATTTAAAAACAACTAAGCATTGCAAGGCAGCCGCTGTCAGAGGTTTTCGTGCGTTATGGTCACTTCGCCGAGCGTTCAAATCTCTTGACGAGGAAACGTTTCGAATTTTATATCCCACCTATGTAAGACCACACTTAGAGTACTGTATCCAAGCAGCTAGCTCGTGTCTGGTAAAGGATACTAACTCCCTTGAGCGTGTCCAGCGTGTGGGAACAAAATTAATGAAGAGTCTTTCTAGACTCCCTTACGATGAGCGTTTAAAACGCCTAAATCTTTTCCCCTTGTCGTATAGCAGGACACGAGGTGACCTTATGCTAGCATTTCGTATCTTTAATTATGATTTGGGTGTTAATATGTCTTATCTTTTTGCTCCCTTCAGCACTAATAATCTCCGCGGTCATAGCAAGAAGGTTCATAAACCACGATCTAATAAACTTAAAGTTGGGTCCCGTTTTTCTCATCGAGTAGTCAATGATTAGAACGCCTTACCCAAACAAGTAGTATCACCCCCATCAGTGCATACTTTAAAGGAGAAGCTGGACCTGCACTGGAAAGCAATGCGTCAGGATTAATACAGGTTCACCAACCTACTATTCTTATAACTGAAGACTGAAGGCTGATTATGAGCACTACGAGAACTATCAAGATTTTACCTCAAACAAAATATCTGTTAAGCCTGGTTCGCAGAGATATTGATAAGAGCTGAAAAAACTAACTACAACTTGTTTTAAAACTACCTATTGGTAGTTAATTTACAGAAACTGTGATCAATGGTCGTGTAGCCTAATATATCCACAGCGTATCTGCTTCGTTTATGACAAAAAGGGTTAGTTTCAAGGTCTCACAGCAAAAGTAAGGTCCAGAAAGCGTCCATACCAGTGTTTAAGAAGGCTTTACAAAAAGAACAAGCAATCCAGGAGGTTTTAAGCATTCTGATTGAGCTCGAACAAAATTATTCCTAATCAAATTCACAGTCGCACAACAAAATCGAAGGTTATATAATGCCATAAATTAAATAATATTTTTTAGATGACATTTTACATTGAAAAATATAGTTGTCTAGATAAAAGTAAACTGAAAATTCCTTACAGTCAGAACCCTTAAAAAATCATTACCTTGACTATCGAACTTCTGTATTAGTGTGTCGATGAATGTGTTCTGAGGAGCAACATGCCCTCTTTTGATTGGCATCTTAAGAAAACAATCCAAAATTATTTAACATAAGATGACCTCAGAGTACTACTTCGTTGAAACATATAAACAATCGACTCTTTAGTAACAGTGATAGTAAGTCAATAGACCTGTGCTAGCTTCCGCACCTTGTTTTCAGCAAAAACTCTGCTTTTCCTTGAAACTGTTCACTGATGTACCTGATACCACTTGTTCTGGTAAGACGGTTCAGTAACTGACCACTCGATTAGAAAAACGGTATCCCGCTCTGAGTAGGTTCAGTGGCGATTTTTGAACCTTCTCGCCATGATTTAGGATAGATAGCAGAAAGGTGGGACCTGTCAACATCATAGTCAATGATAAAATTACGAAATACCAATATTGAGTCACCATGTGTTCTAATATAAGGGGAAGAGTTTTATGCGTTTTATGTGCCCATCCTGGGGGAGTTTGGAAAGGTCCTGCAATGACCTGGCTCATACACGCTTAATACGCTCGAACGTGATAGCATCTTTAGCAAGACATGGACCAGCAACTTGGGTTCAACAATATAGTTGTGATCTCTCAATGGTGTTATGGAACCCGAAACATTTCTTCACCAACCTATTTGAATGCTCACTGAAGTGACCACAACACTCGCAAACCTATGGCAACAGCTGCGTCATAATGCACACTTATTTTCAAGTCATGGCATACTGCAACTCCAAGTTTTTTTTCTCCTGCTAGCGTGGAAATTATGTACGGTTGATAGTACACTAACAACTACAGATGTGCCTGCTATGTATTGGCATCCTCTTTTTATAATTAATTTATAAGCCGTAACTTTCGCACCATCGAAATAACTCGTTTATTTCAGCTTGAAGATGAGGATGACCATCCTCACTATTTATTGTTCTCCAGATTTTGACCGCCTGCAAACAACAGTGTCGCGACTTGATAGTTCTCGGTAATTCACTGACATAGAGGAGAAAGCATGGTAGACCTAAGATGGTGAGGTGTGGTACATCGCTTTTGAATGTCTTCCGTTCAAGTAATCTTCCACTACTCCACCCTCTGTCTTCTGTCAAGGAGTTCCTTATTAGCTCTTGTACTGTACGTGTTATTCGAAAGCTCAAGAGCTTCTGCATAATTCTTCAGAGAGAAGATTTGTCAAATGTTTTCCCAAAATCCATGAATATCATATTGACGGAGAAACGGCCAGACGGCTACCTTTTTCATCCCTCCAACCCTAGAGTGTTGAGTTTCGGAAACGGACTTGAAACAGAGTTCGTGAGGGATGTCAGCAGTCGTGAAGATAAGCCATAAGGACCCGATGATTTTTCATGTCTGAAATTAATGAGTAAATGGATTAAAACTCCTCAGTCACACGTACAGTTCCTATAGCTAGTGTCAGTGATGCGATTATCAGAAGTGTTGCTAACAACATCCACAGAGTATATTTCACTGAAATAATCAGAAAAAATCTTTAAAGAGATCTAATTCAGCTAAAATATCTAAATTTTCATGCAGTAATAATGGAAGACTTCAGTCAGTGCGTTCAGTCTTTAATTTAATGTACGAAAGTAATAAATTTGGGTAGGTGCATCTATTGTACGCTAACTTTTTTTCATATGTGAAGCTGCTTCTAACTATGGTCATATTTCAAATATTTCGGATTTTTCCATGTTCATCTCTAAATCATTCATGATTCCGTGATGGAAACACATACCTCAGATGCTTTTGAATTTCCCTATCGACACATGGAGAGAATGCAAACCAGTACGTTTTGACCAAAGGATTAATTGTAAGGTTGTGGACGTGAATATTTCATACAGACCAACAAAAAACCTCGACTAGTGATATCTGGCGTGAGAAACGTGTGCAAAGTACTTTGCAAGACCCCGAGGTTATAAAAATGAGTTAAAATCTAACTTCATACCCGATAAATGCGTCAATAATCTAATATCATAATTTGTGAAAGCATTCACTTCTTATTATCGAACCGTGAACTGACAAAGTCCATTACATGCACGCTATGCAAAACTTGAGAAACGTCGGCTAGACTGAATTAGTCGAAAGTTGAATACAATAAAATGTTATCATATCCATTTTGCTAGAAATCGTAGTGTATCTTTATATCTGTCAGGCGAAAACACAGCAGAGAATATTCTCTGAATTCTGTATGAAAAGTATGGAATGCATTTCTTCGATTTTACAACATTTAAACTTATTGACACTGCTTGAATGACATCGCTTTTATGAACTAGATTTTTTTCGGCTTCGTTGATTGCAGATGAATCAGGAAAATGAATTATTAACTTCTTTCTTTGATATAATAATGAAGAACGCATAAACGTTCTGCTTAACTTTCCGTACCTCATTGCTTCACTGATGAATAACAATTCATCAGAAAGCTACTTCTGGAACGCTGTTACGTCATGGTCAGTCTCAAACCCGGATTAAGGTACGAGTTGAGTGTAGGGCTTACAAAACCTTCTGGTAAAATCCACATATGCAAAGAATAACTAGCAGAAAAATTACTTAAATCATTTTAACTGTTCTCTGGGAGTAAAAGGTTTTCAGGCATAAGAGTGGACGCGCCATAATAAGAGGTGAGTGAGGTCAGTACTCTTTTTGACAATCGGAGCGAAGGGACAATTATAGACATTATTGGAGACCAGGTGGGTTATCCAAATAACAGAGATGACAAAATACAATCTGGTCTCATTCAAAATAAATGAAACTCATTTGATGCAAGCCGAATTTTTCCTACTTTTCACAGCGGATTACCGAACTCTGGGCGATATCTTAAACACAGTCAGGGTCAAGGATGACTACCACTAACTAAATGATTGCCCACCATGACAAACGTATATGGCTGTGATTTCTTCCCTCACACCTCCTATGCGTTCTTATCAATACTTATTTTTGGTAGTCATATAATTTGTTCCTGCCAGTCAGCAAATAAATCCATCTACATGGAATCACCCTAGAATAAGCCAGATGTTAGGCGGTGGCACAACTTTGATGTAAGCTCAGTCACACCATCTCCGTCCAATCCAATAGCACCACAATCATAGATATAGGTTACATACATCAGTAATCTACAGAGACATCATGAAGAGACATGAATTGAGAGAGAAAAGGTGGAATGATTACAGACAGGTAGATCTATGTGCTTCAAACTACATGGTATAATGTGGCAACAAATTCCTCACGAACGAATAAACAAAACTACATGGATTTCGTCGGATCACACTATAGCGAACCAGATAAACCGAATTTAGAAAGTGTAACAACTAAGAGAGTAGGTGATATAGTTTCAGATCACCACGTGGTAGTTACAAAGCTGATAATGAGGCAAAAGGATGACTGGAAAACTAGACAGACGGCAACAAGGTATCTCAATGTGATCTTTCTTCGATAAACTAGCAAGCTCCATGAATTACAGATAGCTCTCAGCAACAAATTCCAAGTCTTATTACTCCTAAAAGGAGAAGAGACTACTATAGATAACAAATGGGAAAGGATTAAAGAAGCAACAGCTTCAATATGTAAAGGGGTGCTGAGCCGCAAGGAGCACCAACAAAAAAAGTATTTCTTCGTTAACAACTTGCGCAAGAATTAAGAAAAGAGGAACAAGAAGACACCAACCAACAACAGCAGAGTAAGTTGAGGCAGAGACCTAATAAAAAGACGCAAACAAACGAGTATAAAGAAGCATTAGAAATGGTAAGCAGAAATATGTTGAAGACCTACAAATGACAGCGGAAAAAACTGCAAAGTAAGGAAATACGATACAGCCACACGATTAACCATCAAGCTAGCAGGGAAATATCCTAAACCGCAGTAGATAGCCAATAACAAACAAGGTTAACCGACCACTGAGATTCAAGAGCAATATGGATGGCTCTTGTGAAGACTGATCCACAAGATATAGGTAACAGACAAAAACTCCCTGCAGTTCTTTAGTGCCTAAAACCGGAATTAGCTAGGCCATCCGAAAAGTAGGGAGTAAAATACCAGCAGGATCAGACAGCATTAGTCAGAAATTGTGTTAGGTGAGAAGATTGCTCTCGATCTCTTAAAAATAATTTGGAAGGCATGACAAGCATAAACCGACTAGATATCTCACTAAATTGCCGACGATTCTAGTAAGTATGAGAACTTCCTTTGGATCATATTACTGTCAATGTACACCCCAAAATGTCCTGGTATGCCGAGAGTGGGGAGAACCCGCACTCCCCTTCAAACCGCTCTAGCATGGCCACGCGTACGCAGACTATACCAGGTAAGCCCAACTCACTGCCACCTAGCGGTGGTGATGTTTACGAAATTAAGAGGACTAAAAGCGAATGTCTGGTGCTTTAACCGGGTTGATGGATATGGAGAGTCTACCTAGTGCAGTGGGAAGACCTTGATTCCAAAGCAATGTTGCACATGGGAACATGTACCCTCAAGGAACGAATGGTGTGTTAACCAGTTATTGGTCACCGGCCACCATGGGGCTGCATCTTATGATGTTGCTTCACTACCTTGTGGATCAGACCTTTAGGTCGAGGGCTCCGAGTGTGACCCCTAAAAAACCACCTGCTTCTGTTTGGGCACCCGGGCAGTAGCCTTCACACAACTAAAATGAAGTGATAATGATTATTGAATATAGCTCCATCACACATATTACAAATCAAACTAAACATACCCATTTAATAAACATTCACTTTCACCTTTATGTTTTGTATTGCGTCACTTATCTACAATTTTCCATTCTAACCTGCATATCTTTACCTTTCAAATTATACAATAGCTCGCCTATGGTGGAAACTCGGTTCTATCTAAACGTTCTCGAGTCACAGCCTGGTTGAAAATTGAATGCTACCACTAAATACGAATACTGAAGCAGTTTTCCTAGAACCACGTGCACCATTCAAACTGGCTGCCTTCAACGTTCGCACACTTATGCAGGTTGGACAACAGATAGGGCTGGCTATGTCTTTGGAAAGTCTTAATATCGGCGTCTGTTGTCTATCCGAGACCCGTATTCAAGACTCTGGTGAAGTACTACAAATTCGCTCTCCATCTGTCGCTTAGAAAAGCTTGCTTTACGTGCGCTTATCCGGGGACCCTGTGGCATCTTCGTCTGATCTTGCTGGCGCTGGTGTCGCACTAAGCGTTAGAGCTGAGGCAGCACTAATCGATCGGATCCCCATTAACAGCCGGTTATGTGCTGTTAGATTAGAGAGTTCCATCAAAGTGAGAAGAAATCGGCGTGAGAAACGATGTCTTTTCGTCATCTCCGCCTATGCCTCGACAGACTGCAGACCGGATGCAAACAAGGATGAGTTTTACCACCAGTTATCTGTTCTTCTCCAGAAAGTGCGTTCGACAGATATTGTAGTACCAACCGCAGACTTGAATGTTCAGGTCGGGCGTCTAGGCACAGTAGAGAGTCGTTTGGGTGGTCTATGGGGAATTGTTGGTCACAGGTGAAATAACGGGGACCGTCTACCTCAACTGTGCGCAGCCCATCGATCCACTCTGAGAACCGTGAGTTTAATCACAAATGAAGGATGTTACGTAAGGAAATCAGACAAAGCTTGCGTAAGGACCGAGAAGCCTGGTGGACGGAGCGCACTAATGAGCTGGAAGCAGCAGCTGCATCTGGTAGCTACAGAAAGCTCTTCCAACTCACCCGAGCCACTGGCAGCAAGAAGTCTGGTGTGAACGAAACAATCTACGAGGATGACAGGATGCCAATCACTAACATCCATAGACGTCTTGGATGATGGGCAGAATTCTTCCAATGGCAGTTCAACTGACCTGCTGCTCCGGCAACATCGGACGAACTGTCCTGCCCTCCATGACCGGTGACGACTGATCCACCAAATGAGGCGGAAATCCGCAAGAAACTTCAACTCTTGCAGCGCTACAAATCACCTGGCCCAGATAACTTATCTCCGGCCCTTTTTAAAGATGGTGGTGACTTTCTGGTTAGGGAACTGACGACGTTGTTTACAAATGTCTGGGAGCTAGAGAGTGTACCAACGTCATGGAATGAGTCGATAGTTGTCCCTATCTTTAAAAAAGGTTCACATCGATGCTGTAACAACTATCGTGGGATTGGTCTACTTCCGATTGCGTCCAAACTATTGGCAATCAGTGTCCGTAAGTATGGTATGTGCTTTGCAACTTCGAAGTGCAAAGTACTTCTACAAGACTGGCAGTATCCTAATCCTGTACTCACCCTAGATGGTGAGCAGATAGAAGTAGTCGTGAAGTTCGTGTGTCTAGGTGGCTGCATAAGTGCTGGTGGTGACGTGAGTGATGAAATCAATGCACATATAGTGAAATCCAGAGCGGCTTATGCCAATCTGGTCCATGTTTGGCGTATTCGTGATGTTGGTCTGGCTGTAAAAGGTCGGATCCGCAAAGCGTCGGTGAGAGCAGTTTTGCTCTATGCTTGAGAAACCTGGCCTCTCCGAGTTGCGGATGTTGGACGACTCTCTGTGTTCGATCATCGTTGTCTCCGGAGGATTGCTGACATCCAGTGACAACACCATGTTAGTAATGCAGAGGTTAGGCATCGTGTGTTCAGGCACAGAGACGATGATGCAACCAGTGTCATCATCTTGAAACATCGACTTCGGTGACTTGAACATGTTCTACGAATGTCATCCCAGAGAATTCCATGTCTTGAGTTGTTTGCCGACTCTGGGACTGGTTGGAAAAAGTCGAGAGGTGGTCAGTGTGTGATATGGTGTTGTGGTATGAAATAAAGCTGCAAAGGGCCGGTTTCTGTTGGTCCTTCTCGACTGCCTGGCTGGTTTCCGAGAGATGGTGCGACACAGTGGCTAGAGACGTTATCAGATATGGCTCAGAATAGAAGCTAGAGGTGATCCAGCAGTGAGCTTCTTTTACTTTCTTTATAAACAGCGATTCCAACTTCCGTATTTGAAAGAACACTTCCAGGTTGTACATTTCCGTTTCCCTCATTATTATTACACTATCATACACTAATCTGTGGTCGTTATTTTCCTTCTTTTATTTTCTTATACGCACCTTACTTTGCTTTTTCTCTTCTCATTCTTATTGTGTGGCGCATATATCTCTGGTGTCCCATTGTACCAATATTTATGTGTTCAAATAAATAAATACAGTGCATACATTGGAATGCATTTCGGTGTGTATGAGACCGAGGGAAGTTCCAATGTTCATGTTATAGGACATCAACATCTTAGTTCTTTTTGATTAGTAATTTTCCTAATTTGACTTTCCTGTACATTGAGTTTAATCATTGATTCAGGGCAAAGTTAATGTTCACATTTACGTGCAGTTGTGTCCGTCCTACTGCATAATTCCTATTTTAGTATTCCCTGACTGATAAGCATTTTCTTCACTCAGACCTGACTATGCCAGCTTCAATATTTGTCCCCCGCTCTTTGTTAGCATTTTTTATTGGCTCGTTTTTAGATTGAACGTATTCACTACTCTGGAAACTTCTACTGCTTTAAGATGCAAAGACTTGCAGTCATTAATATTTCCGTAATTAATAATTTCATAGCTTGGTTGGATCTGATTTCTTAAACCTGGCCGTTTAATTTATGTAACTTATTTTATATAAGTCCGGTAACACATTCATTTACCGAATCACCACTTTAGTTGTATTTATCGGTGTGTGTGTGTGTCGCTCACTAGAAAATAAGGTTATAGAACTTATGGTTCAGGACTCGAGCGTTTCTGGTAGTCATAGCGAGTACCTGAGTTTCAGAATTATCTTGTAGTTTTAATCCCATGGATTCATTATTTTTCAACCCCTTTATTAACGTCTAGCCCCTTCGCCTATTACTGATATACCGTCACTAATTATATTGCTCTAGGATTAATCTTGAGGGCTACATTTAGCAATGGTGATGTGGCATGACAATTCGAACCGATGAACACATGTGATGGGTCCTACGCTGCTTAACGATAACTGAATCATCAAATTCAGTAAACACATTTGTATATACCAAATTAAGTTGAAATATTAGACAGTTGTTGAAAATAAAACCTTAAATGCACGAAAATTATGTTTAACTGTACAGTTATACATACAATCATTTAAGAGCATTTACACAAATATATTAAAGAGAAATGCCACGAAATATTGGACAAACAGGCAACGATAAATTATATGGAAATTAAGCGTTTGTGTAGAAACGGTATACATAAAGTATCGTTCTGAGCTAATTCTTGTACTTCATTCGACTGGATGGTTTCTGTCCTCTTCTAATTTACCGATTAAATTTTTAACACGATCCAATATAATCATATTTTTACCAGAACAACAGTCGATATTGTATGGCGGCTTAATAAATACCACATTATGAATAACTACTTCCTCTCGATCATTTACACTTACTTCATTTAGATGATTTAAAGAAAATAGTTTAATGATTCTCTCACGTCGACACCTTAATTCATCTGATGTTAACGTTTTGATCGCCGAAGATGTTGTTTGCATTTCTTCACTTGTATTCAATGAACATTTGTCAATTGATGTGAAAGAATCAAAAATTTTTATTAACTCGGATGGGATTTCATCATCAAGTATCTGAATAATACAAAACAATAACAGTGGAAAATAAATATTGGAATATTTTACTGATTTATTTATGATAGAGAATTTAAAGAAATATGAACGGTCTCCTACATACAATTAAGGAAAGTATGGGTCGCCATTTTGGATAAATCAACGGTTAGACTTATGGCTGACAAATAGTAATCTGTAATCATTTAAGCGGCTCACTGTATAGTCACAAAAAAGTGTAACATACAAATAAACCAATTAAAATTCGGAAAACCTCTTAAACATTATCCCACAATGATACAGTTTGGAAAGAATCACTCAAACTTGAAGATTATTTCAATTTATTACTAACGAAATCTCAGAAATTCATCAAATGGTAAAATAAGTACAAACCTGGTAGCAGTTTTTAAGAAAAATGCAATATCAGATAAGGATTTTGATAGTATGTCGCATTTTTTGTGACATCAATTTAATGACAAATCTTACAATGTTATACAGTTGATCTGTGAATATCTGGAAGTTAACAAACATTTTATTGTTTTAAGTAGATATCAACACAACTTACAAAAAATCGATAATAATAAACTGGAGCATCAAGGCAATTAACAAGATGCATGTTCAGTAATACAAACACGGAGAACAATAATCATTAACATATAGAATCATCAGGAAAGACTGTTATGCAATTTGTAAGAAATTTGTTTAACTCATAGATAATAGTAACAATTTGTCAAGTATTAAAAATTAATGGGTGCCTCGAGCAACGAGTGACTTTGAACGCTATTTATTAGAGGCCCTCAATCATCGGTTTCTAAAATGTTAAAGACAGCATTAACATTGTTTGTGCTTCCTCACATGACTTAGACAGTCAGGTGTGCTTCTAAGGTTAATTTCTTATCTTAGTTTGCTTACCCTTGACTATCAACTTCGTCGCGCTCAAGTCAGTAAAATGAATAGTATACCATTAAAGTATGGTAGTAAAGATATGCATGTTAGCTCCATGGGTAAAATTATAACCAGTTACTACAAAAATTACTATACGCTAATTAATTTCTCTTCCAATAAAAAGGCATGTGGAAAACTTTGCAAGCAAGTCTTCTTTCTGTAATTCCGAAAATCGGTTACGACTAAATACTTGAGGTTTTTGATACAAATGGCAGATTCACAAATAAAATGGGATTTGACTAAATGATAAACGGTATAATTCGCAATGAAACAAAAGGAGCCAACAAACTAGAATAATTTACACTAAATAAAGTGATCTAATGACGGAGACCAATCAAATTTGAAACTAGGAAAAGTGATATATAACAAGTAATCAATCGACACTTACAGTTTAGTCACAAGAACAACTTGTCCCACAGTGAAACTGATATTTTTTACGAATAAAAATAATCCTAAAAATACTTTCCAGATGACAAGCATTCCTTCCAGCAAAATCGCTGGAGTTTGATATGTTCATCTTCAGAAATGCATATCATGGTAACATTATATATATATGGAATTTCTAATATTCAAGAGGTTCGATTAGTTACTTACTTATGCCTGTTTAAAGATTGTAACCAATTACAAAGTGGGTATCAAAATATTCTGTCTATGATACATTTAAGTTCATTAATCACATTAAGAGTGCCATGTTGTTTAATTAAGAGTGTAACACTGAAACAAAATATGTAAGATTTACGACTACATTGATTCATACGAGATGAGTATTGGCTTACTGGTTAATCACCAGGATGAATTATTGTTACGTTGCACATTTAAAATCCAATTGAGATTTAACAGTTAGATATATGGAAAAAAAAGGAACAGCAATAGGATCTCCGTCAGACCTAATCCTAAAAGATTGGTTCATGTATAGCTTGAAAACAATTAACTTCATTCACCATAAGCTTTGACTTGTACGCAAAACATGGACGATATGTTTACCATTTGTGACGAGAAGTGGACTTAACCGATATTTTAAATTCCTTTAATACCAGTAAACTGGACCTGGAATTTACATTAGAAAATAATGTGGGTTCACTCATTTCATTTCTCGTTGTGTCTTTAAGACAGTGTAATCAACATCCAAAACGCTTTATCCATAGGGAAAAAACATGGAAAGGTCAGGTAACCAACTTCTATAGTTCAATCAGTCAACCAAAATGTAGAACCAGGCACATATGCATTAGTCCAAGTGCCACACCTCATTAGTACAATAAGATGAACACCAAACTCACAGAAATGCCATTAAACGAGAACAAGAAACTTATTCACGTTTTGTGTTATCCGATATGTGAGAACTGTAGCCCGAAATGTGATGAGAAAAAGTTTGACTTCCTTAATAGAAAATCACCTGAAAAGAGCTGTTCAAGCTACTTTATACTCAAAGACATAAGGGAAAACTAAAACACAGACCTAAAAAAAATGGTATATCTTTGAAACGTCATTATGTGGATCGAGAATTTAAAGGTAACCAAACTTTAGATGTACTTACAAACATGTTATCTTTATCAAATAGGTGAACGTTTCACGAAAAACTGCGATTAACCATTACACTCAGTTATTCATTACCAATATAGGGTCTGGTACATATGTGTGTTGTACTAACTTCCCATACCTAATTAGCACGATCAGATGAAAACAACTAAAGAGATCGAAATAATTTAGTTGCAATAATGATGAGAAAGACTAAACATTGAGGATATGGTTCGAAAAGGTAGTATGTAAAAGTTCGTACAAATGAATACTGGGATTCAAGATCGAGAAGAAGATTAAGAGGGAATACATTTGAACCATTCTGAACAATCCCAAGCCATGTCATACAAAGCTCCCGACTACTGATCGCAGTTACCGCATAAAACACAATCAGATAGCCTGGATCCACCAAAATGTCCCAGACTAACAGTCCACAACTTCATGGACTGATGCCACGTCTTGATTTGCCCTAACCCCTGGCTTTTTTTCAACCTACTCCTAGACCAGACGTCCCGTGCCGAGGTAGGTGGTGGATGGGGATACCCAACAGGTGTTTCTATTATCTCAATCGGTGAATGTTTACAATCTGAATTACCATCTTCATCTTGTACGCTACACCTAACCTTAGCATTGCTTGCTCGGTGGTCCAAAAAGCCACAAGCAGTGGTTTGAAAATACCTACGATCCAATAAGGGTGATCGACGAATATAATTTATTCTTGATAGCCATGCTTCACTCCCGTCAATAAGAACAGAGCGAACTGCTATGTGTATATATATATATGTCAAAATGAGGTGGGAAAATAAAGGACAGAGACATTACATTTTGAAGGTCACTGCTTACTTCTACCCTCTCAACTACTTCACAGCGGACAATAGTTGGTTGGTATTTTCCATTCATTTGTGAAAATAACACATAGTTCCCTGTCTTTGGGTCTACAGTGTATAAGAACCCACTGAAAATCCTGTCTTCAATACAATATAATCGAATCATTTTATTAAGCAAGGTGGACGGATTAGTAGATAAGTCCATTACACCTTAGTGTGCACGTTATGGGCTGGAACAATCGTGAGCTATTTAAGATAGATAAAATTTTGGTTAAATTGGTAAAAGTGGGAAAAAATAGACAAGTATATACAAAGTGTAAACAAACGGATCTACACCTTAAAAAGATCTATCATCACTGGTTAGGTGGGGTTACTTAGATTGATTTCCTGACATGCCACTTTCTAATTCACAAAGGGTAATGTACGAAGAAGTGTCAAAATAAAACAGCCAATCTAAACTACCAGCTATGAACCAAATAACTAGTTCAAGATGAATGAGCAAAACTAGCTATTACCTAAACCTTGATAAGTCAAGATTCCATAGTTTGTGAAGTAGTGGTTTAAATTTGCGTACTTAAACCAGGGCCATATTTCGAAATTATCTTCAAAAATATTTTACATACGTAACAATATCTTTAATATGGTCATTGTTTGCTCCAACTCATTAGTACATCTCGCACATAGAAGGAATGTAGTCAGAAATTTTTTTAGTAAGTTTTAATTTCTTTGCTCTTTGCTGTAATTAAACGGTTTATTTATTATTGTGAAAACGTCAATGCAATCTTTGGCATGTTATACGAATTGGGTCCTAAAACAAACCATCTGTAAAAATATCAGGCCTTTTAAAATATCATAGTTTACGCGTAAACTATGGAAATCTATTACCAAGAAAAAACAATGAACATTCATACCCTTAGGTGCATTTTCCTACCAATGGAAAACGAGTCATTGAATATACAATCTAACAAAATAATTAAGACCGTATAGAAGGTATTGAAAATTCTGATGCATGATTCTACTTTCGATCGGAAATTCGTAAAAAAAGTAAAATGCAAGGTTCATAATCAGAGTAGTATTTGTTGATTACAATGATGATAGTACCCATCATTTGCACAAATAGCTAAACTAATATAAACGAAGCAACTCAGGTAGCAATATAAATCAATACAAATGAATAAGTAGGAGAAAAAACATCCCTGAGTTCATCGTGAGCTATATAAAACGACATATCATTTAGAAATTTAGTGAAGGGATGATTTTTGAGTAAACTAGTACGAAAATAAAAATCAGTGAGGATGGTCGGATACTATCTTGTATAAAATAAAACTCGCTCTTTTTTGAAATATAATTGACTAATAAAACGCCTTTAGTTGGGTAGAATCACAAAGTATTATATAGAATTTTGCAAAGACTATTGTAGATTCCTGTGTACTTAGTTGTTGAGAGAAGCTCAAGCTCCAAACAACCACTTCGTAGTGGTTGGAATTCCTGCGTGGTTGAGTGATGCATAATACGAAACCTGTAAACTTATTCCAAATGTTAGAAAATCAAATAATAATAATTTCTTCATTTTGGCCTGTGTCCCTTCAATTAAAGACCAATAGCGCACAGAACAAATTATGTTAAAGGTGTTTGAGAGGTCAACAATTTTCGATTACTCACGTTGGGAAATGGGGAATCTTCAAGATATGGGGAAAGAAATACTTATCGACCTGAGAACGTAATCACAGGGTTCAGGAGATAAGTGTATAAGGATGAATAGATTTTGCGGAAAAAATTGTAGGTATGTGTAGTACTATGTTAAGCTGTAATCACATGATGGTATTTAACACTATTTTCCTACTAATAAAAAGTAACAACAGAAAGAATATAAAACCTGGCACAAATGTATATTGGTCAAATTCTCCATAATTTACATTAATACATTTTACGAACGCCAAGAAATAGACAAAAAACAAGTCAAGATAACGTACCAAAATTACGGAATAATGAGATGATCAAAATTTGAAAGGAGATAAAGGATGTTAGTTCTTTTAAACTTTAGTCTGAAGACTATTTTGATGTGAAAGCATAATCATAAATCTGAACACGTAGGTCTATAGTTAATAAACAGCAACTTCAGTAAAAAAAAAATTCACTCCAATATGGCGGAATAAATAATAACTTACTAACTGGTGAGGAAAAAGGTTAGCTTATAAACAAGCAATAGATCAAGGGGATCGGGTAATCAAATATTAGTTACTCATAAGCAGTAAAGTTAGATTTAAAAGATGTGTTGATTTATCCAACATCTTATAATATTGAGTCACATTATTTGAATTCACCAACGATCGAATTTTTCGGCGATATCAAACACCTATGTCTACCGCCTAAAATTGTACTCAGTGACTTGGTGAACTCATTTCCAGAACTGACATATTCATTAGTATAATTCATAAGAACATATTGCAACGTTTTATTTGCCTGTTGATTTTATTATCAAAAATAAGAGCTTCTACCTGAAGTTTGAGCTGATGTCGTTCAGAAGAACGATGAGAAATCCACGACCAAACCATCCAGCTCAGAGAACAAAACTCCATCAGAATCATCCGCCTGAGCTACAAATCTTTCCCATCATCTTTATTTTACGGAAACAACGCTATTTGAAAGCACCATATTATCACATATATAGTTCAGCAGAGAAAATCAGACTTTACTTCTCAATTTCGTTCAATAAATCTACTTACGGCAAACATAATCGTATAATCAGTAGTTATCCTCATCTAATTTATTTATCACTTACAAACTTCGTGGGTTTTCGCATTTTAGGTAGTTTTAAGTTTAAAATAATGTACGTAATGACATATTTCTAGGTGAGAAGTTGAATATGGACTAAATATTTCAAAAATCATTTATCAAAATGCTATTCTGAAAGAGATGATACAGTAAATATGAGCAAAAAGTGAATTAGAAAAATGAACTACTCAAAGTAACAGTCAGAGTCCTTAGCAGATAGCTTGTCAAGCTCTGTTTTTAACAAACAAGTTAAGTGGCGTTTGGTAACACAAGAATTCGCAACAGCAAGCAGTAGTTTTTCTTGAGCAGGGACATCCAGATCACAGGTACTAAGTTTGCGGGCTGCTTCTTGAGCACGTTGTATATTCGAACGCATTCGGCTAATTCGACGAACCAGATCAGCAGTATTTGATCCACTGGTTGCCAATGTGCTAGTAGAACTATTAAGACCAGAGAAACCAGAGTTATCCGACAACGAAGAGCAGATATCATCATAGTGAAAGGCTAGTAGATCTTCCACTATTTCACTTAAATCAACCCGAAGGTCAGAAGGTATTGAAGATGTTGACGAACGTAGTTGTGACATTCTGAAAACGTTGAATTCAAAGAAATTTTTGAAATATATACTTATTTGATAACTTGAAGGTAAATGAAATCCCCAATAGCTATAACCAATACATGATCCAGTTAAGCTTTTCTTGCATCTATAGTGGTCTTGAATGAAAACAGGTTATGTGTAGGCAGAAAATAAGTATGTTACTGCGTAACGTCCGCATGCGAATACTTTAAATATGTGGCTTTACCAATGTACTCGGACCTATAGAATAATGTATCCGATACTCAGACAAAAGTAATACAAGATACTAGTATCACTAGTAGTACACGCTCAGTGTTTAAACCAAGAATAGCTTTTCTAATACTAACTCTAATATTCTGAATGTCAAATCTTACATCAAAACATTAAAATTTTTAAAACAAACTTGTGCCTCGAAATAACCTGCGAAACAGGACATGAGCAAGATCACTTTCTGAGTGCATATTCGTCTATGAAATTATATTGAGTCTATACAAAATAGAACAATGAGTCACTGCGACTTGGGTTAACAGTTTTATACGAAAGGAAAGATATTAAATAAAGATGCTGTAGCAGTCTCTCTATTATAATCCCCATGTAGTTTATCATAACTTTTGAACAAATAAATTATTTTATTTATTCGAGTTGTCAATCGTGAATGTGGTCCTGAGTATGTAGGTAAGATGGTACGTATGTGTGTAATGATTCGATATGCTACCGAATGTTGGATGGTATTTTCACTGTAGTCTGGTTTCGTTATTTTGGGAAATTTGGATAAAATATTGTTTATTAGGGTGTTGATTTTAATACTATGTATGTGTTAGTCCGACTGAACTCCCAGGACTTGAGATTTTGTACAAGAATCGATAAGTTTTCGTTTTTCAACATCAACTAATAAGTTGTAGGGGCTTAGGAAGTCTGTGACTAATATAGGGTGACGGACATCGGTGATAATAAACACCCAGCTTAGACGACGCCTAATTCCCAAGTTTAATATCAGTTCTCCAAATGTCTTTATTTCACTTTTGTTAGCTGCTCTCAATGAGTATTTTCCACAATTCGCAATAGATCTCTTAGCTTAGGTAACTGGAAGAACACTGACTTCGGCTCCAGTGTCTACTAAGAATTTGTAGCCGGAAGCCTTGTCAAAGACGTGGAAGAGGCGACTAGGGGCATAACCAGTAAAATTCGTCACCACTAGTGTCTGGTCGATAACATTTGGCTAGGAAAATGACTCAAAAAATTTCCAGGACGTAGCACACTCCCCAGCTTTATCATCATATTTTCATTGCTGAAAAATCCCCATTATATTAAAAACACATATTTTCTATGGTACCAACAAATATGGTCGTCATATTTGTTTGTTCCAGTGGTGTGTCTATTAAAACTCTTCCGAGAATTAGATCGGGACTTTAAATCTGTGAGATTGGAAATTAATAATTGCAATGCATCTAGCTTGTCCTCAAAACTGGAAACAGTACGTGCATGTGCACGCTGTTAGAGACGCCATGGTCGGAGTTTGTGCGCTACTCGGTGTCTGGTAACGTACTAAGTGTTACTCCTAAAATCTTGTCAGCCATGGCGGCTAGACTCTAAATCTAAATGTTGGTTGGGAGCACAGAGAATATTCCTGACTACCGTTGGTAAGCGTTGAAGCCAACTTTCAGGAAAACATCAACATTATGAGGTCTGATCAACTACTTTATATGGCGTAATAATTGAAACGGTGACTTGCCACCTAACTCGCACTCGTGCAGCAATTTTTAAAACTTTTTTCACTACCCGGACGAAGAGATGTTTAGAGTATTATACCCAACTTTCGTGGGACCGCATATGGAATATGGGATTCAAGCAGCGAATCATTTTTTTCAAGTGTCAAATGTATGTGCTGGAACGAGTCCGACGGGTGTCTAAAATGGTAAAAGGTCTCTCTGGCCTATCTTATGAAGACAGACTGAGAAACCTCAACTTACTTCCGTTATCTTACCGTAGATTACGGGGTGATCTAATATTGTATTATTTATTTGAACAAAAATATTTGTACAAAGGGGTACCGAATACATATGCGCCACACATATCACTTGATTTGTGTGTGGGCTGTGATACTGCCCGGGTGCCCAGATCGAAGGTAGTTATTTTAGAGGATCACATCCGAAACCTTCAACCTAAAGGTCTGATCCACGAGGCAGTGGAGTACTACCAGGAGATGCAACCCCATGGTAGCCGGTGAACAATCATTGGTTCATACACCATCTGTCCCCTCGGGATTCTAGGGTCTATGTGTACCATTGTTTAGGAGTCGAAGTTTTCCAACTTCCCTAGGTGGACTCTCCGTGTCCACCAACCCGGTTAAGGAGATGGATATTCGCCTTTCATCCTCTCAATTTCGTAAAAAAACACCATCGCCGCGAGTAAACAGTTAGTAGGACTTCCCTAGCAGTGACTGTACACGCGTGGCCTACTCTGTATACACCAATGCTCACAGTTACCAATGATATGCCAAAAAGAGTTAACTCCAAAATAGAAGTCTATCTATGAGTTAAGCAGAAAGGTAACAAATAAAACTTACAATAAAAATGGTATGTTAAATAAAAAAATGACAATAGTTGTTATGAAACGAGTGTTACTTGTAAACCGCTTCTGAGATGACAACCACAAACGAGGCCACTTGATTACCGAAGGTTCCTCTGCACGTGGTGAAACCAACGACGTTATGAGAACGATTAAATCTGATAATATTATCCAAATAAAAATCCGTGCCAAAACTCCAACGTAGTGTAGGATTACTTAAAAGGATGTTATAACACTACTATAATCTTCGATCAAATAGCTTTGGCCAATAAAACAATTCAAACGGCGGACACAGAACTCATTTTCAATCAGAGCGGCAACATTTGTGAAATAAAATAACACCATTTCTCTTACCATTAATACAGAGAATATAAATGTAATTACATATAAAATGTTACAAATGAAGAAAAACGCGATTCTCAATTGGTCGTAACAAAAAGCATTGTTAATACGTATATAGTGTGGTCACTACACATGGTAGGAACTTTAGCAAAGTCAAATGGGTACTCTGATCTCTTAACTTGTGTAGACTATTTCACTCGATGGCCAGAAGCGGTACCCATCAAGGACATCACTGATGAAACAGTGACCCGCGTCTTCGTCGAACGATGGGTAGAATACTTTGGCTGCTCTTCAATTATCATCACAGACGGTGGACGTCGGTTCAAATCTGGACTTTTCTGTTGTCTGACAACATTATTACGAGTCACACGATTGCGAATGACCGCCCACCATCCATAAGCAAACGGTTTGGTGGGACGCTTTGACCGACGGATACTTGCTTCACTATCAGCTACAAACGTTTCACAGTGGACCGACGATCTTCCACTCGTCTTACTAGGTATTCGCAATGCAGTGAAAGCTGACATTGGATACACTGTAGCTCAACTGGTTAATGGAACGACACTTCTATTTTCAGGAGAATTTGAGGATCCTTCATTTTCTTCAACGAATATGGATCTAACCCCCTACACGAGCATGCTTACAAACGCAATACTTTCAGTTAAACTTGTTTCCACTCGATCACGGTCAACTGATGTTTCTGTTCAACCTGCTTTATGACACAGTACACATGTTTTCGTACGTCGCAAATCACTTTGATGACCTCTCGAAATAGCATATGAAGGACCCTTCAAAGTTTTTTAGCGCGGACCTCAGTACTATATAATCGATAGGGATGGAACAAACGATAGCATCAGCATCGAACACATTGAACGCATTTAGAAGGAAATCCTATTCACGTCGATTTTCCTTCGGTACAATCGAACGACAGTGCTGCTATTCATGAGGTTTACAAACGACAGAGTCGTTGAGTTTAAACTTCTAGCTGGCCACGCCTTAGCGTCAGCGTTACCCCACTGGGGGGGAGTGATCTGTAGCGGTAAATATATCCCCAAAATAAATAGCTCTGTACGTTTTCGACATTGGATGCTGACCAATGTAGTTTTAATGGACTCACCTAGCTGAAGGCGCTCAGTCATGCATCCACACCAGATTACGAATGGGAATGCCATGCTGAACATCCCCTGCAATCGCTAGCCAGTCTAGATCAGTCGATCCTCGATATATTGATAGCTTATAAAATATATATATTCGAACCTCCTCGCTTCTGTCTTTTGATTTCTCTTGGTGGGTACGATTCACATTGGAAGGTGTTGCTAGTTAAACCGTTATCAAACTTCAAATACCTGTAGCATCTTCAGTCCTTTTATAATCAAAAAGACCGGGTCATTATTAGGACTCGGTTTACCACCGAGTTGTAATGGTTTGTACTCTCTGCATCTCTTATTCCCTCTGTCATTTGATCATAGTATGTCTAAAATGTACGTCTCTCAAACATAAATTGTATGCTAGCCTTACTATATAAGCTGTATTAACGTTATTTGTCGGTAGAATGGATAAGTATACAGCATGTGCATCCCTTCAGTATCATTTTCGTTCGACCATAATAATCATACAGGTAATAAAAAGCTACAACACCAAGAAGATGATAACAAAAATAAGTAACTGGTCAAGTAGAATGAATATTGGTGAAGGTTTAAAATTACTACAACAACTAGAGCTCACTGGGCTATCAGAATGAAATATCAATAAATTAATAAGTAAAATTTCTTTCACGTTTATGCAGATCAGAAAAACATAAACATTTTGAGATACCGACCGAGGATTACTTGATCTGCCGATAATCTAGAAATCCTCGGTTGTAATACTTCTGTACAGTAACGTATATCAGCAAACTTTTATGTGTTAATCCTTACTACTTCGAGTCTTGACTTGGCACTCTCAGATCCTTATCAAAGTAAGAGCCGTGTGATTTGAACAACCATGAGCGTTTTTGTATGTGTAGAGATTTATGGCTCCAAGTAGATTACTGTTTTTCGCTTTTGTGAAAATAATAGCGCTATATTCACGATACAATTATTCATCTGCTTCAGTTTTAG